CTCGCTCCTGCATTCCATCTTTCCCACCTTCCTTACCTCTCGCTCTGTGCCTTATTTTCCATTTTTTTTCTGCTCCTGACCTTTTCTCTTTCTGTCTCTTTCTTCTTTCTTTCACATACTCTCTGATTATCTTTCCAGACTGACTTCATTCCTGCAACTACGGACCTATATCTTCCCACAGTTTTCTGCCACTTTAAACCTCAAGTAAATTCGCTGTGAATATTGAGAGGGGGAACAGATTGAATGTCCAACTACTACTAAATCATAAATCTATACAGGAGACATTAAACTGAAAGTGATAGAAATAAAAAATAAAATAAAAACTTGTTGCTACAGTGCAGAAATTTTCAGGTAACCTTTGTTAAAAACGACAAATAAGCCAAATTGGTAATGTGACCCACAGATGACTGCGTCAACATTAAACTTTGAGTCTTTTACAAAGAAATCGGTCATTTTGAAATACATGAAAACTTATTCACAGCATTCAGGACAGGGATTTTGAAAACACAAAATTTGCAAAACAAAGATTTCCTTTATCCCAGATTTAAGAGGAGTAATCTCTGGGGCTCAAGGGACGTACATTTGACTCCTGAAGTGCCAGAGTTTATTTTCTCATCCCCCCTGAAGCATCCAGAGCCTCTGTCATCTTTGACCCCTCACCCTGTTGGAGGGGGGCACGTCTGTCAGTCCGACACAGAGACACTTTGAACAAGTAATCAAAATCAAGCCACAGGACGCTGCAGCACATCTCTTTTTCAGTCAAATATGAAGGTTAGCAGGTTTGAAACAAAGCACAGTCTGTCTTGGTCACTGACACCGAAGCTCTAATACTTAAACCATACGTGCTTCTCTCTCTCAGCTCTCAGACATAGAGCTGAGAGGCATAGATACCTCTGCTCAATTCACTCTCTCTACACTATAGCAACATAAAACTGTGTCGAGCAACACAGTTTTATTACTTGACACATTTTCAGTCTGACCCAGAATGAAGTTACAGCCAGCAATCAGAAAACAAGAAACTACAGCTGATTTCAGGTCTGCAGCCTATAAATAGATAATTGATAGTTGAATGATCCAGAGTCTTTGATCACAGGTTGTGTGGGGTTTATGAGCCCGCCACAAGATCACAAAAGGGAAACAATTATAATATGCTTTAAAGCTTCTGTACATAGTCAGACAAGTCTTTTTTTGTGCAGAAAATGTCTAAAACTATGTAAAATTACATGTTGTTGAACTTTCATGTAAACTTGTGGAGTAGGGATTACATGAAAACACAACTCTGAGGGATTTTTAGGAGAAACATACATATTTACATGGTTTGTACAAGTAAAAATTAAAAAAACGGAAGGACAAAATTAGCTGTGATTCAGCTTTACTCATAGGGTTCGAGGAGAAAGTCAGGATTTATTTAGATCATATATTTTTCTTCCATTATGAAACTCACAGACTCGCTTTTAGCTAGCATTAACAGCCAGTTAGCCCGCTGATCTGCAATCAGTTGTTACTCCAATTAAACCCAGAACATAGACTGTATATAGAACGGACGCCATCTGCCTCCTCGCTGGGTGAAGCCACCGCGAGAACAGCACCCCCTGGTGACAGGCTGCAGTATAGCTCATAAATCCCGCCTCTTCCAGCAATCCCTATGGAGCTGTGGACAAACTTTAGAAATTAATTACACAAAACATAAATTTTTCTCCCCCCTGGTTGCGATGTTGACATGTAGTTACTGTAAGACTGGTTTGTGCTCAAGTCCTCTTTTTTCTATGCAGCTCCATTTTAAAAATCATTAGGGGGTTCATGTTTTCTATGATTGACACTTGATACAGCCTATGGGTGTACAAAGATTGCGTAGCTCACCCAAGGAATACGCTATTTGAGTTGAGCGTCATCACAGTGACTCTCAGTGACTCTCCCGCCGAATGCGCACAATGCTACTGCACAATGTTGGATTCAGGAAGTGAAGGAAAAACGCGTAAGTACCGAGAGATTTTTCGGCTTCAAATCTGTATACTGGTGAAAGGCGGAACTATGTTGTCTGTAGTATAAACAGTCTATGACCTAGACTCAATAAATGACCTTCAAAACAAACTAGCACGCAGAACGATTCTCTAACCTGCTGGACCGCAACGGTTCAACTGACACAGCCGGGCAGTGCAGAGCAGCATTAATGCCGCACACTGAGGATCCACCAGCTGCCACTAGTTCCAATAAAGTGTGAGGGGTCAAAGGTCAAAGCTCACAGGTCACAACCTGCAGAGGGATTAGGACCCTGCACTGATGACGACACCGAACCGTCCTCCTGCCATGTATATATAGCTCGAGTTGCAGCCACTGAGCTCCAGTGAGTCTTGGTGGCATCTCGGTTAACTGCAGTGATTTATAACCCCAGGTCATGTGACTGGGTTAAAGTGGGGACAAGAGTGTTGGTCCTGCACAAGCTACTGTGTAGACTCTGCTCAGAGGTCTGACGGCTGTTTTGGCTGTGTTTGGAAATTCATGTTGGAAAATTTAGCAAATGCAAAGGTGCAAAAATCTTCAATTCTCCCTTTAAGGCAGATTGTTGATTTAGTAAAATATCCATATTAATCGCAGAATCAACCATGTTTACATACAAGCTTAGAAATGAGTTTTGGGTATGCAGTATTATAACGTATCTCAACCCAAAAGGTTAACACATTCATTAAGAATAAATAGAAGGTAATAATTAAACATAAATTAGCATAATTATTGGGCATGACTGGGTTGATGGACAGGTTTGCACATTATAGTTGTTTTCCAGGAGACTCAAAGCTCAAACTGATCAAAAGTCAGGTAAAGGCAGCACTTCCAATATGGCGCCTACCATTGTTGGGCTTCAAAACATGCTGTCAGATACCAGTATGTGACATCACTTTGACTATGTTCATGTTTTACAGTCTATGAGTCCTTATCAAGAATAGAAACACGCTCAAATTTCGTTGTACTGTGTACAATGACAATAAAGGCGATTCTGATTCTGATTCTGATTCTGAATAGGCAGACATTAGGATAAAGCTAACAAGTCTTTTATGTTTAATCTCTACTTAAGTGTGTGACTGGTTTATGTAAATAGTGTCCAATACAAGGATTTACACATACACTTTTTTGTAAGGGGACAGAAAACGTGGAATCTACCTGTAGCCATGACGACAGATTTATTTTCCCATGGTGCCTAATAAGTCTGTTGCTTTTCATATAAAATCATCTTACTTGCACAACCACAACTTCGCAGAGTAACATTACTCAGACTAAGAGTGAGTTGAAAATAGACATACAGGTTTTTTTTAATCATAAAAACTCACATGACCATCAACATAAGCAGCTGAATTCAAGATAGTGGGCTGTTAGTGGCCAGACAAATGAGACATGACAGAATTTCTCAGCGGAATGAATTGATTTTAGGTTGACTTGCAGAAATGAGATTTTACACCAAGAACAGAACAGACTATGGATGATTGTTGATGCGATGCAATCAAAAACAGAAGCTAAGAACACAAAACCACCTTTTTCATGGAGTCACCCTCACAAATATCTCCATTATGTCTTCTGTGATTATAATGATCTTTAGGGTATTTCTTTGATCACACAGCTTGTTACACCACTACAAAGACAGATACTTGATTGATCCCATAAAGTGCAGTTAAGCTTAAAAAAATATCAGCATATTCCTGATACCAAAACCCAACCGCTTGAATTCAATGCATCCACCATGCACGGTAAAAACACAAATTATTCTAGTTCACTGTTCATGAAAGATTCAAACTATTTTCTGCAAAATTACTGTAGCATTAAAATGGATGTCGTAAAAAAATCTGTACCATATTAAATGATGATTTAGCAATTTCAGTAGCTGTGAACATCATTATGCAGGAATTTAACTCATCTTGTGGCTCAATATTAGTAGATGAGGACTTTGAATGATGTTCACAAATGAACTGCTTCCATGTTGGGTGATCAGGAGTGTCTGATAAAGTACAGTATTTAGCAATTAGCTTATAATTGTGCTACATGCAGTCACCTTCATAGGCAAGCCAACAATTACCTATGTATTAATCATATTAACCATTTATTTCTATTGGATCATGGGTTTTTATGACATCATTTATGTAATAATGTAGAAAATTTCCATAGTAACTGATGATTTATTAATTTCTGTAGCTGTGAACATCATTATGTGGGAATTTGTCTACTCTTGTGTCTCAATATTTGTAGATGAGGACTTTGAATGATGTCCACAAATGAACTGTTTGCATGATGGATGATAAGAAATGTCTAAAATGTTTAGCAATTAGCTTATAATTGTGCTACTAGCAGTCACCTTCATAAGCAAGCCAACAATTATCCATGTATTAATCATATTAGCCATTTATTTCCATTGAATCATGGGTTTTTACAACATTATTTAACTTATAATGTTGCAAACTGTAAAAGGAATACATTTGTGAGGACTCTGGTATTATTGTTTTTGACATTTCACATCCTGACAACCACTGCTTTTCAGGTAAAACTAAAGTCTGTCACGGTTTTTAAGCAGCTGTAAAACCTACATTTGTAGAAGTACGACAGGTCTGAACATATTCTACTTCAACATGAAATCAAAGAAGAGTCTTCAATTAGCATAACCTCGAATTTCTGGAGCTTCGGACACGGATATGCTTTCGATGAACGGGGCGGGAAATGCAGGAAAGGGAGGGGGGAGAGAGAGAGGGCGTAAAAGTTGGTCGGAAGAAAGTTGGAGTTTTTTTGGGTTCAGTAGCAGCACGTGTGGAGAGGAGTGGTCTGGGACTGCAATAATGGAAACCTGGGAGACAGAATGGGAGGGAAGCGGGGCTCAGATTTCAGCCTGACAGGGGGTAAGGGGCTGGACTGATATTTGGGAATATACGAAGATTCATTGAAGGCAGCGGGGACATAAAACTACAGCGTCAGGCCCGAAGCGGTCGGTGCTGAGTTTGTGCTGCAGGTCCCGGTCCTGCCGCTGGATTCCCCCCATCGGTGTTTCTTTTTGGGAAGGGTGATTTTCGAATGATTCGGCTTTTGTAACAGGGGACTCACACACCAAATACTGAGAGAAGCCCCCGCTCCTTCATTTCTCCCCAAAGGGCCCTGCATGTCTAATATTTAGACATGTTCAGCTTTATGGATTCCAGGACTCTACTGCTACTTGTAGCAGCCCAAGTGTGTCTATTAACCGTGGTGAGATGTCAGGAGGAGGACGACCGTAAGTGACACTTTCATTACACCTTACCCATGAATCAAAGCAGCCAACAAGTGCAAAAAAAGACACTTTATGCAATTCCACGTGTAATTATTCTGAAATATCTTACTTTTTTAGATAGTTACTTTGACTCTGAGCAGTTGGAGCGATGTGGGTTTTCTCTCCAAAACTTTTACGCGCAGAAAGTTCGTGATTGTTTAGATTCTCCGTGGCATGTCAGGTGCTCTCGCGTTTCATTTTTATAAATCTCCTTCCCACAAAGAATTCTGATCGTTCCTGGTATTCAGGGTGTGATAAAACCGAATACATTAGAGTTGTGGACGTGCGTAAAAGCGGTGCAAAGTTTGGAGAGATATGGCGAGTTTACGCAAAATAACGCGCACATTGGAGGAGCTGATTGTTTTCTTTCTTTAGAGGAGTTAGTTTTATATGATTTTGTGTTTTTCAAAGTACTTATTCATTCTCGTTCGGGTTCATAGTTTGGCAGAGATCGTCAAGATTCAGATTCTGATCCCCAACAGAGGAGCTTGATACTCTGCCTCCCCCTCCTTTCTCAGGTCAAGCTGCTGGACACCTGTGGGTGTTTTAGGGGCCCTGACAGGCTCTCTTTTTAGCTGCAGATTCACTTAATATAGAGGGGGGAGAGGGGGAGGGGATGGGCAATAAGTGAAAGGTGGCCAGGCTCAAGGGCCTGTGGTGAAAAGTGTTCACATTCCTTTGCTGTCAGAGGGCACCCAGACAAATCCTGGCTTGTTGGGGGGAAAAGCCGGACTTATAACCCAAAACTTTTTATTAAAGTGTTTTTATTTTATTGATGGTTTTAATATTCACTCCCTCAAGGATCAAATGTCCCTGGTGTTATTCATCATACCTGCAGACTCGCTCCTCTCTCTTTCTCTGGAGTTTTCTTTCAGAAAATTGGAGTATCCATCATGGTTATTGATTTTAGCATCCACAAGAGACATAAGAGAGTAAAGGTATGCCAGCAGATCAGGGCCAGAAATAATGTTCCATATGATTTCAGCATTTCCATCTGCTTAAAAGATTAGCCATAAGCTGTGACAGTCAGCCTGGGATAGGACAGAGCCAAGGTGCAAAAGAGAGGTGATTGGAAAAATATAAAACTGAGGGGACTTGTTATTATTGCTCTGAGAGGAGAAGCTTTTTCAGTGCATGAAAACTCAAGCAAAGCAAAGAAAAGGTGTATTTCTAGGATAAAAAGGAGAAAAAAGGGGGAAACTCGTGCCAAAGCAATAGAAAGTCTCGGGTTACCTTTTCAGAGGAATAGGCCCCTGGTTATAATGCAAACCTTTCTTTCCTCAGCATTTTTCTGGGAGTCGCTGAAGTGGTAGATTGTGACCTTCATGGCCTGGAGTCACACAGAGGGGACAGGGGTCAGATTTTAGGCCACTGGGTGAGTGTTCATTAGAGGATAAAGGCCACGAAGCTAATCAGACAGAGAGAAGAGGAAGAAGAAGACCGAAAGTTACCGAAAGCAGAAAGAGTTCAGTCTGAGTACACCTGGGTTCACTTTAGTATTTTCATTGTTCATTCTCCTCCCCTGAAAAGCAGTATGGCTGCCAACACACAGGAGTAGGGTCTAGCAAATTATCTTCAGTGATGAAAAGCCAGCTTTCTGTCAGCTCATACATTAACAGAGGAGCTCTTGTCCCGGAATATCAGGGGAATCTTTCATATCAGAGCCAGTGAGAAGACAGGTGCGGTTTTATGACGAGCCTGGAACACTGGATGTCAAACCTGCGGGGGTACGTGCGTGAAAGCTGACCGCTTTCTTTCTCCTGTGTGTTTGAATTGGCATCTGATGCAGCCATGGTTTCCAGATGGGGGGTTTAAAAAGTGCCCCCATGTTTATACAAGGCGGTAGTTTGTGAATTGCCCGCTCTGTCCCCCTCTCCAGAAAGAGCTCATTCATTGCCGCTGGGGTCCGTTAGGTTACCTGGACTTAAGCAGCGCTTAAAGGTAAATATAGCTACTGTACTTACTCTCACTCTGCACTCCGGACCCTGAGGCCGTTTCTTTTGGTGCGTTTAACCACTTTAACCCCTCAGGTGCAGGTTCAGCAGCTCTAATCAGAGCTTTTCTTTCTGTACCTGTTGACTTTTTGAACTGTCAGACTGGAAAATGAGCAGGAAAATGACTCATTACTGAGCTGATTGTTAAAACCAGGTACAGTACCTGCATTGAAACATGCCCCACCTCGATCACGTTCAGCTGGCACACTTTGCCAACCTGTGGTCGAACATTTTTATGAACTGAATGCGAAGTCTGTCTCCTTTGCAGTAAATGAGGGTGTCTCCCGCAATGTAAACTCGCCCTATATTTAACTTGTCGAGGAATTCAGGCTCATGGGCTCCGGCTCCTGTGAAGTTGCTGGAGGTTTCCTGCAGGTGTTGCTCAGTTTCACTGTGATATTACACTGACACCTGGTGGCAAGTTGAAAGAATGCATTGACACTGCACGCTCACTGTAGGTTGGTTTTAAAAAGAACATCATGAAAGTTCTTTTCTGTAATTTGAGATCAGATTTGGTGAAGCTGCAGAAGTGAGAGGAATATCAGGAACATGCACGGTGTAACAGCTGGATCTAGTCTAGAGGGGTTGGGGTTCATGTAGACTACAGGACTGCAGTTATGAGTTAATTGAGTAGACTTTAGCCAGTTATCTATCCAATCGCTTAACTTTGCAACTTTGAAATAGTTGTCTGAACTTTTTCTGCCAAAATGAAGTATTTGAAGTTTTTTTCTAATGATGAATGACAATAAACACTTAGATTTGAGATTTAACTCTAACTGATCATATAAGCGATTAGCATGCATCCTCATGCATTAATGGCATCTCAATGAAAGCTTCTTTTGTCCGTTGTATTGATGTTTTAAGATTCAAGATGCATCTTGTTAAGAAATCGACAGGCAGAAAAGTTCTGCTGCCCTGACGTCATAGATGTGAATCCTCTACAGAACGTGTTTTTATAAACACAAACTGGTAAATGTTGTTAAAAATGAGATTTTCATCCAGAGTTTAAGTTCCTCTCTTTAATTTTTAAGTTACTTTTTGGGGATTTTTTGTGTTTATTAGATTAGACAGCTCACAAAAGATTGGGGGAAGCAGAGAGAGGGGGAAGTCATGCAGTACAAGGTCCCGACTCAAGAGTCAAACCAGCTATAGCCATGTTGAGGACCAGCACCATCTGTACATGTGGTGCACCTCAAGCTGTCAAATTGTTACCTGCCACTAAACATTACTATTCATTTCTACCTGCTGAATATCATATCAAATTAAATTCACATTTGTGGTTCTTTTTCATCAAAATTAAGCTTTATACCGTAGTTTTTGCAGTTAAAGCTCCTGTGAGGAATATTCTTTGTTTTGATTTTGGCGCCCCCTGTGGACAGAGTGATACCTCTCATCTCTTTGCTGATCTGTACTGTACATGTGTGTACTGTACAAGCTGTGTTTTGCATAAAACTCGTATCCGTCTCCCTTGTGATAGTCTGCTGTGTCACTCACAGTGAATATTTGTGGTAGACAGAGTGAAAATAGGGGATTTCCTGAACCGTGCTGTAAAATATCTCCTCTGGCAGGTACACCCCTGCAGTAGTAAAAAGCAAAGAAAGAAATGCATCACAGGGATTATTAATTTGCAAAAGGTTTTGTTTGTTTTTGTTCCTGAGAAAGAGACACAATTATAAAGTTCATTTTTATTCATGAACAGCTGCAAACTCCTCACAGTTTCACTCTTGCATGTGTTCCTCCACTAAACACACAGTTCTTTGTATTTGAGTTTGCACACATGTTAGCACTTAATGTAAACACAATACTAGCTGATGTTTTTGAGTTGCACATTGCAGTGAACCTGATGCATAATCTCCTCTTTCCTCCCACCATCCACCTGCTCGGGCCTCTGTGTGTGTCTGTGTGTGTGTCCTTCACTCTGATCTCACACACACAGAGGAGGATGTGTTTAGCTGTATACAGGACGGACAGCGCTATAGCGACAAGGATGTATGGAAACCAGAGCCATGTCGCATCTGTGTATGCGACACTGGAACCGTCCTGTGTGACGAGATAGTCTGCGAGGAGCTAAAAGACTGCCCCAAACCTGAAATCCCATTCGGAGAGTGTTGCCCCATCTGCGCTGCTGACCCATCTCCACCCATCGGTTGTAATTTATTTATCTCACACCTCTCATAAATAAATTACCTTGCACGATCATGTTGTTTGTTTTGGGGAGAACTTGACCGTTTGGTGTAAATCAAAGGTTGATCAGGTGCAGTATAACGTCTTTAACGCTTTTAAACCTTCGATTTTCACACCATTTTCTATCCCTAAAAGAAACAAATGATCAGAAATTTAAGACCACAGTGACACATCTGAGCAGATTTCTGTGAAATGCTACCAAAGCGCCATTTTTCCATGGCTGGCTCACCTTGGCCCCATCTTGTTTGAATCCTTTCTCCTTCTCTGAGTATGATGAAAACATGTGGGAGTCATTAAGGAAATACCTCAGTCAGGCAGACACAGCCTCGCATTTCTACTCGATATCCTCTCTGTGGATTTCTGCAGATCTGATGGCAAGAAAAACTGTGACACTCCTCTGAGACCTTTTTTTTTTCTCTTTAAAAAGGAGCTATTCACCACATCGCCTCCTGATAAATAAGAGGCTTTGTGGGTCCGCTGTGGAAAAAACAGGCAGAGGAGGCTGAGGAGCATTGCTGAAATCAGAAGTGTCACTGTTTGTCACAATGCATGCTTGTGGATTTAAATGCTTTGTAAGATACATTTTCTTCCATGCAGGGCAAAAGTAACATATATTAGTTATATACCATCAACAAAGGGCTGATTTTAAAAACTTAAATCCACCTGAATTGGCTCATTTGACGCTTGATATTGGACATAGTCAAGTTTGCAGTTGTTTTTATGTTATTTTGGCAAAATCTTGTTTGTTTTAGACCAGTTACTGAAACAAGAGCTTTGTAAGGCAACTTCTATTTATGTATTAGTTTGGCTTTTTGTGAAATCACTTCAAAAATGATAAAAAATAAACAATTTTTGGGTTGATAGTTCATGTTAACAACATTAGAATCTAAAAAATATTGGAAGAAATCTCAATTCTCAGTCATACCCAGCCCTACTTGGAAACATGCAGACTCATACTTTATCCATACTGCTACCTAACACTGCTTATTAGAGAGCTTTGCAACATTAAATTGTCAAATCATGGCTTTTATTTTAAAAAATTCAAGGTGAAACAGCTTTATTGCTTTTAACTTTCTTTTACCTGAAGCTGTTTTGCTTCTGCTGTGAGCTCCTAAGATGGTTCGACCAACACTTTTCATCCTGATGGGCTCTTTGAGTGGTTAAATTTGGTGGTGGTCTTCATTCTAGTCTAGTTAGGACTCTCTTGGATCCGAGGGAATATGCTGCATAACTCAGATGGTTTGTTTCTGTTTACTACGTTCACTAACTGTGATCTGTTTCCCCCCTTTGACCTGCTGGACTACAAAACAGGAGCACCCGGAGCCAAGGTGAGACACCCTATCTGTCTGTGAGGATAGGTCTGTGTGTGTGATTTTAATGTGGATGTGTGTGTGTGCAATCAGACGTGCATCAATCCCAGACTGATATTGTTGCTGTAGGATCTGTTGTCAGTGGATAAAGATGAGACTTTGATGTATTTTAGCTCCACCAGATGGATGATGGTTATTCCCATCTAGACAGTCTATGCCATATTTATCTGTCTGATTATACTGGTGGGGTCCTCATTTATAGTATTTGGCCGCCGCTCGTGTCCTCGAGACACCCGTCTTTAAGACATCTCCGTTGTTACTTCTTTGTAGTTCTTCATGTGTGTTTGAGATGTGAGATCCAGCAGGTGCCTCCGTCTGCTGAGTAAGAAGCCTCTTCGCTCAATCAGCGGTTTGGAGCACAAGCTTACAAGCCTTAAATTGAGGACAGAAATAAGATGTGATTAGAAAAACTTGGGTTACTGGTACCTGTTATTTACCAAAGAGCCAACAGAGCAAATTATGACTGATGCAAATCAGAGAACTCCCCCGATTCAGGGTTAGAAAACTGACATAGTTGAATAAATGTTTGAGAATCGTTATTTTAATTCTGACTGGTTTTTTTTTCTGCTTTCTCTTTTCATCATCAGGGTCAGAAAGGTGAACCCGGAGATATTACCGATGTAAGTTGACACCACAGGGCTCCTCAAGTCCAACTTACTATTGCTGTCATTTTGCAGTGTTTGGTTTTTGCTTTTGGGGTTAAAACTCTCAAACTCCTACGACTCTTTTTGGGTAGTCTCTAGTGCATAAGTTTTCATATCTATACACTAAGATATAAATATGCAGCATTTCGAGCCATTTTCTCTTCTCCTCTCTTGGCTTTAAGTTCAATATCAGCGCTGCATTTATCTGTTGAAAGCACAAAAGTGGTGCTAAAGACAGGGCCGTTTCTAAGGGGTGCCCCCCACCCCTAACACTCTTAGTGGCCACTCCAAACCCTTAAACCAGGACTGTCTTTCTGTCTCATCAGAGGTGAAGGTTATACTTGATATATTTTAGCACGTTTACTTTTGTTGCTGCTTAAATTGTGACTTTTGACTATAACCTTTTGAGTCTTTAAAAGATTTTTGAGTAAATTTACATGTTGCCACTATTTTTCAATTATTTTTTTGGCAATAAACGTTAAACAGACGAGCATAGTTTCTTTTAGATACATCACTGTCAGCATCAAATGTAGTTATGTTCAGTCCAGATAGTGAAGCTGAACAGATTCTGTTCAGAGCTAAAGCTGTAGTGCCCCAGTTTGACCACCCCAGTCCAAAAAGTCCAGCCCCACCCCAGAAACTGAACTTGTTAGGCGGTGATCCATCTCAGAGCATCATACTTTACAAGCCTGTTTTTATATGTTATGTATGTAAACTCTTAATCTGCAAAATCACCCATAATGCAACCTGTCAAATCCATCCATTGTAGTAAAGATTTTAGTTGTAGATGCTCTTGTGCTGAAAAATCAAGTTTTTTTCAAATGTGCACCATATTACCACTCTTGGGTGAAACTCCAGCCCTCTGTTTGCACACTCCTGGCTTGCCCTGGCAGTGGATGTGCCCAGGAATAGTTCTCATTGCTTACTTAATGTTATGAAACAACTACAGAACTCAAAAGCCTCACTACCGGCGGGCCAAGACAGAAAGAAAGAGACAGTTAAAGTGAAAGGAGGTAGGAGGTCTATTAGCCCGCTCATCAGGGAGACAGCCAAGCACAATAAGGCCTCCGTGCAATTCTCCATAATGATCCTCACAGGCTGCACCTGGAAATGCTTTACCCGGTCTAAAGGGAACACAAGTCCATGGCAGGAAATAAGGAGGCATTGTTTACTGTATGTTTCTTATAACACTCCGCCTGAAGAGATTAGCAATTAACATCCCTCTCTGATGGGGGAAAGATAATGTTTCCGCCCGCCTCGAGTTCAATGTGGTCTAAACATCACGTTGGCGTACATCTGGCTTTAGAGAGCGGCCTCAATATAAAAGTGTTCATATGTTATATGTACATATCTGACACCGCCTCACTATTTGTCCCCTTTCCTTTCTCAGGTTGTAGGACCAAGAGGACCAGCTGGCCCGATGGTATGCACTGATGAATTCATCTATCAAGCATCTCTTTAATTTTGCTCATTCGAAGCTTTAAATCTCTTTTATGTGTTGAAACACCGTACTTAGCGGTAAATGTGTTAAATTTATTACCAGCTGCTGTGACAGGAGGCTGAAACCGATATGACATAACAGCAGCAGCAGAGTTCACGAGCCACAGCTGCTTTTTTCAGCTCACATACAGCTACTGAGAAAACACCTGAGGTTACTGACTACTTCACTTTCTCCTCTTCACCAGGGCCCACCAGGAGAGCAAGGACCCCGAGGATCAAGAGGAGATAAAGGAGAGAAGGTCAGTTTGTTTGTTTGTTTGACAGCAGAAAAATCTCTGATCTTCTCAGTTCTCAGGTTTGTAAGAAGTCCCATTGAACCTGATAGGTCTGGAAGGGTTTTCTTTATGCAGGCGTAGGTAGGTAGGTAGATGGGTGGGGTGTCTGTTATAGCTTGCAGGTTTGCAGAATGGTTGCCTTTCATGCAGCTGCTCAGTCTAACTAGTCATGTGTCCTTTCCATTAGGCTGCGTGGTGGGCTTAAGTCTGTGTGGTTTAACAGATGTGGGACTGTGGGAGACTCATAATGTAAACGTCTGATTTCCCATACTGACTGATTGAGGCTGCAGAGAGACGCAGACGCGATGTTGCCGCTTTCGCCGGGCTTTGATCACTGAATTAATGTAACAACCATTAGAAGTGATAATGGCTGCAGGCGAGGAGTTTATGCCATGTAGTCGTCTTGTTTATGCAGATGAATGCACACGGGGCATTGAATTTTGGCTGGTAGAAGGTAAAGAGGTAAATCAGCCTTTTAGGTCTTCAGCACATTCTTCGCTGAGGATTCCCTCGGAGGGTAATTTGTCACTACATGCACAGAGGAATGCCAGGTAGTGTGATACTGATAAATCATCTGCATGCTCTGGAAACCTTCAGGAAAACCGTCTGTAGTTTGTTCTGTGTTGTATACTTAGAGGTGTTTATGATCTTGTGAGTTTTTGTAACCTGTAAAAGTCTAAATCCAAAAGACAAACATGAGTCCTGATTGATCAGGATCAGGTGGAGTGGATTTCCCCCCGTGTAGACCAGTCAGTGCAGCTTGGAGAAGATTCAACTGAGCATTAAGCGTCTGTCAGCTGTGTCTGATAAATGTGGTCCGTTTTTGGATCATCTGCCAGCAACTGTGTAATGATTTATCGATAGTAGTATCGAGACCAAACACTTGCACAAAGGCCAGAAAATAATTGATTGAGGCTTTGAAGGATTAGTTTTTAATACTCTTTGTATTGACAAAAGCCACAAGGGACCACAGTGTTTGGCTTGACGTGGTTGTATTTCATATAAAAAAAGTTATGAGCAACAAAACTGATGATACAGAAATGAATAGTTAGTTTTTTTATTGTCACTGAAACATGTTGGACAAAAAAGATCAAAAATCTGCAGGTCTTAGCTTCCCATAATTGTGATTTTTGTTGTTTCTTCCTCATGTCTTGAGCTGAATGGCTTTTGGTTTGGATTGGGTTTTTTTTGTTGTTGTTTTTTTTAAAGTATTTTTTGGTGTTTTTTCGCCTTTATTAATAGGATAGATTGGAAATATGGGTAGATAGAGAGAGATGGGGGGACCGCTGCAGGGCCAATGGTCCCCATACATGGGGTGCACTACCCACTGAGCATTTTTTGGTCTAAAAGAGGTCTAATAGACTTCTAAATGTAGCCTAGACGACTGGTCTAAAATCAGGCGACCACAGGTCTAAAAATGAAAGTATTTTAGACGTCTAAATTTAGACCAAGTTTAGACTAAATCTAAATCTGAGCTATATCTATACCACACTGTATATTGCTCAACGGCAATCATAATTATTTTGGTTAAATACTTGGAGATCAGTTATGCAACTCATAGTTGCTTTTTCAATTAAATAGTTATCAAATAACGGGTTAAAGTGCAACGTCTAAATTCTGTCTGAAAGTACACAGAATCTAGACGGTTGAAATTAGGTCTTTAAAAAACTAGACGTCTAATAGCCGTCTATTGCTCAGTGGGTAACCTGCTCTGCGATCCGTGCACCCCTAGTTTGGACTGTTGATTGGACAAAAATAGAAATTTACAAGCTTGATTGTTTTAAAAGTTCTTTGTGGCTTCTCATGCATTCACTTAAAGGAACAAACCTTTTGGATAGAGTTGGAAACAAATGTGAGAGAAGGGGTAATAACATGAATATGAATTTTGACCCATGCCATCCACTTCAGGGACTATAGCCTTTGTAAATTAAGCATGGGGTTTACCTCTAGACTCCCTCAATAACTTGAGTTTTAACTGGCAATTACACAATATTTTAAAGGAAGAAAAAGATGTTACTTGGCAGTGTGGTAAAAGCCAGGTGCTCTGAAAGACTCAAGTGTTGGTATCAAAAGGAAGGAGCCATGGGGGCTGTCCTTAGGTACGCTTACTAGAGTCAAGGATAAGGTAAAGAGCTTTTATAAGCTCAGGGCTTCCCTCATATGAATATCTGTAATAACCAGAAACAGGGGAGGTCCATTTAATAATAAAAAACATTGGAAATTAGGGTCAAAACCAGTCAACATTTTTCAAGAAGGCTTTTAATGTTGTTCTTCACTCCAGAAAGTGTGCCTCAAGATACCCCCATGGCTTTCTCCATTTGACGACTTTCTTCGTTTTTGAAAATTGATGCACAGATTTGCTTCATTCTTAAGAAATCACACGTTTTTGTCATTTAATCGAGCTTAAAAGAAGGAGCTCGTGAATCGATTTTAGTCACTATGACTCCTCTGATTCAACTCAATAGGGCAGCTGTGACTACTAAGGTAGTTTACCACCACCAGGGTGTGATTGTGTGAGCGAATGAATGATGAATCCAATGTAAAGCGCTTTGAGGGTCTCTGATGCATTATTATTATTAATATATCCCGATTGTTTCATTTCAGGGAAGCCCCGGTCCTCGTGGCAGGGATGGTGAGCCTGGCACCCCCGGAAACCCCGGCCCCCCTGGACCTCCAGGACCTAACGGACCCCCTGGCCTTGGCGGAGTAAGTATCCCATGACAAGTAGGGCTTTAGCATTCACTGCAGACACACAGGGGCTGACAGGCTGACGCAGGGCCAAGAATGGGTTCAGTCTGACTGAGTGGAACAAGCAGAGAGAATGGTTAAAATGAAGCGAGGAAGGAATCCAGGAGCACAAAAGATGTGGGAAATCTTTGACGTTTCTGGAGGAGGCAGACAGACAACAGCAAAGCAGGAGCAAAGAGAGAGAATAGGTGGAATGCCTCTCATTCTTCGAGGAGAAAAGGAGGGAGGAGGTGGACTGAGGAGGAGGAGAGATTGAGCTTTTTTTGTCTGGGAGGGCAAGACGAGTCTTTGAGGAGAAGCAGGAGATAAAGAGTGCTCACATGCCCTCTGTCGATCATAATTAGCTCTGCTGCTAACGGAGCATTAAAGCTAATCATGGTTTTGTTTCATTCTCCTGAAAAAAGGACAAAGCATCCAAAAAAACAGCAAATGACAAAACATTGACTTTAATATAAATATTTCAAATTACAAGACGTTGCCATTCAGTAATTAAAAAACAAACAAACAAGGATGATGACTCTTTGTATTTCTTTGTCTTAAATCTTGAATGGCTGGAAAGGCTGTGAGGAGAGCTTACACTAATGCTAATGCTAACACTCAGACTGTTTCAGGTACTCGGCCTTTTCTAGGTTAGGATTGTTTGAGCCAGGTCATTTAACAATAATAACATTAAATCATGTCCTTACAAGGTTACTATTATAGCCAAAAACTGTTACATAAAACACTAAATAATGTATTTTGTTATTACTACAGTACCGATAGGTGACACAGTATTAGCATGAATTCAAGTCAAGGTTTAAGGGATTAGTTGAGGGATAAAATAGAACAAATTATTATGATTTTATTTGTCTATCAGACACTTAAAAAGGGCTGCCAAGTTTAAGAAATTATGATGTGTTCGGACGTGCGCCTTTTTTTTTTTTGCCATTTTTAACGTCGATTATACCTTAAGACTCATGTCCTCACCTCCAAACCAGCTGCTCTTCCTAATGCTAGTCTTAATTAACCAGAAATTAGAAATGAAAATTGTAACAAGATATTTGACAAAATACATTTATTAGTCAATATTGCATTATGGCAAGTAGGTTTTAAATGTCGGCACTGTTGTGTGTGAAAGATAGTTAGACACGCCAAGGCCCAAAATAAACTCAGTGTTTCAGTTACCAATTAGGAAAAAAGCAAAATCGGAGGCGGAAACAAGATGGCTACATCTACAAAAGTTACTTTAGCGCTTGCCTTGTCTGGATATAAGGCAAGCGCTAAAGTAACTTTGGTAGACAGCCATCTTGTTTTCGCCTTCAATTTTGCTTTTTTCCGACTTGGTAACTGGAAAGCATTCGGCACAAAGGACTGATGGATTGGTCTAGAATTGGTTATCTCGGTCAGTCAATCAGAGATACTCGAACTACGGCAAGTCAAGTTTATTATCATGAAAAAAATAAATACAGAGTATTGAATGGGGAAAAAATAAGCGTGAGAATGTCAAGTGTGGCGTGCGGTGTGAGAATGGGTCAAATTGGGTGATTGTCACACTCAAAGCGTGTCGCCTGGCAGCTCTGCTTAAAACTGCATGTAAAGCAATATCTCATTATCTCATGGAAACAAATGATTTTTGTTTGTCTGGAAAAAGAAACTTATCTCCGCTTCTTTTTCTTTGCTCTTTCCAGAACTTTGCTGCTCAGATGGCCGGCGGTTTTGACGAGAAGTCTGGCGGCGCACAGATGGGTGTGATGCAAGGACCTATGGTGAGCGAGCGATGCCGAGACCTGCTGCTACTGCCATGTTTTATTTCTATCTTTGTAGTCGGATGCCGATGAATCCACTTGGATGTCAAAGTCTTCAGGGGTTTTAGGAGAAAGCACAAAAGTTACAGAGGTTTGATGGCGTCTACATCTGCTCCTGTCAGCAGCTCTTCAAAACCATACTTGCTCTGTGACTGATTCTTTTATACAACGGGATGGATATACAAACTGCCTCCTTATATGACACTCAAGAAGAAGAAGAAGAAGAAGAGAAGATACCCCTCAAGGATTTTAAAGATCACCAAGGATAGGAGGAAAAATGAAAAACTTCCTTTTCCTCTTTTTAGAAGAAAGTGAAGAGATAAAAAGTCAGTCCCACAGTGCTGGGGAGAAGGAAGTTTGGGGCCCCAGTGGAAAACAAACACTTCTCATGGAGTACAAAGGGCACATTTTATAAATCAAGGAGATAGCCATCGATTGACAACTGGTGAAAAACCGCTGCTGCATTCGGTTAGTTGGCATGGCGGCCTGCCAGGACGGAGCGAGGAGGAGCACACTGGGAACTATTTTGGCTTTTGAGAGCTGAAGAGAAGCTTGGCAGTGTCTCAGCCCGGCAGAGGTTTGAGACGAAAGGAGGAGGGGAGAGGAAGGGAGGAAGGAAAGAGGGGGGCGGGCTGGAGTTGATCAGATCCCCAGAGCCAGCAGGAGTTTTTGTGGCTTCACTCCTTCTGCTTGTCCCTCCACATGTCTGTCTCGCCAGAATACTGGCTCTTTTCTGAAGTCTGTCATGTTGATTTTGGCGTTTCCCGGCCTGCGGGGTCCTGAAAGAACAGACTCGAATTAAAAATGGAGTCAAAGTTTAGCTTTTAAAACTTCATAAACTTCCCTAATTCCCACACCTACTGTATATTGTGAACACTCAAACAACACTCCCACTCAAATGTAAGCGCACACACCTGCATGCCTCAAAAACACACATTCAGACGTGCTGCAGATATAGAGCCCCATTGATTTTGGTTTCTACCTGCTGCGGTAAAGTCTCACACGCTCACTAAAAGGTGACTTTCAGTGAGTGTGTGAGACTTCCATTTAATTCTGAGGATCTACTGTGCTGAACTGTGACGTTTCTCAGCTGCCAACCCTGATTATGGCGCTTCAATATGAGTTTTATCAAAGAAAGCTCACTCAAAGGAATATCCACGAGGGAAAAAGTTTTGCAAACGACCCAAAATAAAGCTGAACTCCGGATTTTGAAAATCTTTATTGACACTCACTCCTTTGAACCCTCCATCAGCAGATTGAGCATTTTTGTGCCATACAGAGAGGCAGACAGAGAGGAAAAAGCAAAAAGGATTTGGTCCATAGCCTCTGCCCAATACGATTTTCTCCTGTTGAGCAGCGATGCATGAAGTTCAAACAGAAGTTAACTTTGGCGTGTGACTTCAGCCAGAGGCTCTTACAAAGCAGATTAAAATCCAGACAGAAGGAGTTTAGTGGAAGAAGTCTCACCTCCTGTTTTGATGTCTGAAATCCTGCATGTAAAGGATGAAACCTTCCCCCTAAAGCCCAACACTTGAGTATTTGGTTGTTTTCTTTCCATGTCAGAGTGCCAAAAGTCATGTCGAGTTCAAAAACGCCTCCTAGGAGCACACTATGGTAAATGACCTTTGAACTTTAAAGGCCTGGATTGAGTGGGAAAATGCAAGGAGGACAAGAAAATGGAGTTTACAGTGAAAAAAAGCAAAATAGAGAGCAGAGGAAGGTCTGAATGTCACTGAGGAATTTCAGAGGGATTTATGGATTTGACAAGTTGAGCCGTTCAGTTTTGTGGAGCTTAAGGGCAAAGCAGGTGGTACCTTCTTTTTTTACAAGTTCTGACTAAATTCAAGTGGACGAAAAACGGTCCTTTCACCTCAACATTCACATTCAGATCTGCAGAATCTATGAAAGACAAAACTTGTTTGCTCTGTGTCCATTTTTTTCTGTGTTGGTAGAAGATATGATTATATGTCCTTATCCTGATGTTGTGTCTCTCATCTCTTCTCTTCCCCTCAGGGCCCTATGGGTCCCAGAGGACCACCTGGCCCCACCGGATCACCTGTAAGTACCTCCTGCACAACCCAGACAGCACATGAGCCAGGTGCACCTGCCCTCTAAAGATCCTGTGTTCAGTCACACACAGGATCCTCTCAGGACTAAATCTCATAATTGTAATGTGCATGATGCCACATTGTCTGCTTCCTCCCAGTGTGTATCATGACAGCACTGACCCTGAAATGAACCCAGACTCTACAAACACAAACAAGTCCAACATACCGACAGCTGACAAAGATAAATGTTTACGCACAGCTCTGTTTTAACTACCACTGTCCAGAGGAAGGTCTGTGGCTTATGTCTTCCAGCTGCAGGCTCCGGGGCATTTTCACATGTACGCCACAGCCTGAACATGCTGCAGAACACCTGACAATTTAGCTTCCACTCAGACTACCTGTATTACACTACTATATACAGACAGGCCCCGCCTCCTTCTGCTCTTACCTGATAACAGGCTCCACCTGCAGCTGTTCGAACCCTCCCAGACTCCTAAAAAGCTGCTAAGATGTAGGCAATGCCAGCTGACATGCCTCAACTTGACGGGTTAATCATCTGAGCCATTTGGAGATACCGATTTTCTGCTTTGTCTGCTTTTAGACAGCACTCAGACAGCGGAGTAGACTTCATGAAAAAGAGGACTTTGATAGAAAGCAGCAACTTAACACCAAGCCGCGATATGATATAAGACATGTTAGCGAGGTTTAGTCGGTACTCCTGCAGGTTAAATCCGGACACATACATCATGTCCCATATATTGCCGATTACTTTTGAAGCTGTGAATGAACATACAGGTTTTCTTTTATTCTGAATTAATCTACAGCTTTTTAATGTTTTATATTTAAATTTAGATTTCACTATTTGAGCAATTAAAAAACAGATAAATTTAAAAGCATCATGAGCTCTAAAGATAAAACAGTTTATTCTGGATTTACTTGCTAAACTGTGAATCAACATTATAGAAGATGAAAACAATGCATATGACTAAAATCGATATATTCATTTTTCTCACACATGTATGCATTCTGTTTTAAAAGTTTGTTTTTTTCTTGACTATTATTATTCTATTGTAATGTTTAATTCTATCATCTCATTGTTGTATTTTGTATTTGATTCTACTTTTCTGAAAATGTAGCATCTCAGATTAAACTCTCGCACAACTAGAGTGAGAAAAGATATCGTGAATCTTGAATACTTTTTATTAAGAATAAAAAATAAAGTAAATGGTAGTATAAAGTGATAAAATAAAAAAATCACATTATTCGTTGTTTTTCTCTCATTTTTACTGAACCTCTTCTTTAGCCGTGTGTCAAATCAGTTTGAATCTTCATAAATCCATCTCTTCTTTTTCTTTTACATCACAGGGCCCACAAGGTTTCCAAGGCAACCCAGGAGAGGCTGGAGAGCCTGGACAAGCTGTAAGTACCCCCAGCCCTTACCCCAATACCACTTATTTTTTACTTTTAAAGCGGCCGCTGTGGGGACCGTGGTCCCCATGAGTGGGGTGCGCTCAGCTGTCTGCGTGCCCCCACTTACTTTTTTTTAATATCTTTTAAGGTTTAAAAAAAAACAGTCCTGGAAAAGTCTGTATTGATCATAAATGTTATAAAACAGCTAAAAGTAGGATCACAAAGTCCAAGTCTAAAACTGTCACATTGGTCGGCAAAGTGGGGCTTATGTCCACACCCACTGAGCAATAGACGGCTATAAGATGTCTAGTTTTTTATTATTTCAACCGTCTATATATTATATATGTACTTCCACTGAATATTTTTAGACAGAATTTAGATGTTGCACTGTAGCCCATTATTCAATAACTAGTTTTTTCAAAAAGCAACTGTGAGTTGCATAACTGATCTCTAAGTACTTCACCAAAATAATTATGATTGCTTCCATTTTTAGACCTGAGGTAGCCTGATTTTAGACCAGTCATCTAGGCTACATTTAGACGTCTATTAGACCTCTTTAAGACCAAAAAATGCTCAGTGGGCAGAGATTCTCAGCACCCACATGCCTGTGCTGGTTATGCAGTGACCCAGTCAGTTTACATGCCAATCTAACCAGGTACAATCGACCTTTAACTTTTTAAAATAACATACTATGAGACACTGCCTGTCATCTGTGCTTGTTTACATACAGCCAGTGGAGTATTATGGCGTTTAGGCAGTTGGCATTAATCAATAGCTGCCCTACAGATCAGACACCACACATGACTAACATTCAGAGACTGTAATGATGACAGTAATTTATCGAACTGATTACTGATTCCAGTGCAGTCTAGTGAGGGGGACACGGTTTTATCTTCCGGTTCTCTACATGCTCACATGCTTAGTCCACACCAAAAGGGTTACGCTTCAAACCAGGGTTGTCATGATATCACATTTTAACCTTACAATGATCATGGTCATAAAGAAAATCATCTCACTCAGCCTAAACTTACAGACAGGACAGGACAAAGGTAAATGCTTTTGTCTTGAATTTAGGATACTTTATTTCCTGTACTGAAAAAACCAGGATTTTACTTGGGATACAAGGATTAATGATACAATACGTATATGATTCGATGATCCTTCCCTTTTATCATCTTTGTATTTTCTGTAAGCTCTCTCAAGTCTATTTGGAAGATTTGGTTAATATTATCAGTTGTTATGGTCGCTGTTATAGTTTTCATTCCTTATTTCATCATTTGAAAAACCTCTGCTGCTTTTTCTGCTTTAGCTGTGTGATATTTCCATCAAATTTTCCAAACGCTCTCTGACTTTTCCTCACCACAGCTAAGTTTTGTTTCCTTCAGGGCTTCACCTGCCAGCTCCTACAGTTTCAGTATAAACAACCCTTTTCAGTCAGAATTGAACACTCACATCCCAAAGCTGAGCCTGTGTGAAACTGCCTCTGCACTAAAAGGGCTTTCCCTTTCCATTTCTTGACCTATCTTTTCACTAAGAGAGTCTCATACTTGTCAGACCTCTCCTGCTACAGTTTATCCCACCTGAAGTTATCCCCTGTTTTCACTATCCCTACTGTTTCTTCCTTCTCCTGTAGTTCACTCCCCTGACTAACCTTTAACAAAGCTTCCAGAAACCAGACCCCTCACCCTCTCCTGTCCTTCCCAATCCCTCAGCAGGTACACCAAGCGGGGTCTGCCTCCCCTCTGCTGCGTTAATCTGCTCCTGTGGAGTTCAGATATGCAGCCTCCTCTCTTTTAAAAGTGTTCCAGCACATCATTATCTGCGATTAGAATCAAGCTGCCTTCCTGCGGATAAGTCGACAGGTTGAGGAAGGGTCATAATGTCAAAAGCAAAGTGTTTGTGAAGACCAGAGATAGATTTAGCCTTTGAAACCTCAGTGAGTTTAAGCGTCTTTTGCTCATGTTTTCCATTTAAGTGAAACACTTTAAGAAATGAGAGAAAACTTCCTTTAATAAAACATTCAGTTTTAAATTCAGCCTCAACATGTTGAAATTGTTTTTGCTGCATAATTAAGACCTGCAAATGTTGGACAAAGGAGAAAGATTTTTTAGATTAAAAAAAAGGGACAGAGGATTTTGACAAATCAACAAACATAAGGAGTGAGAGAACAGCGGCCAGAAAGAGAAATGAATGGAAACATCTACTATGAATTTATAAGGATAATGAGAATTTTGATCCTGTTGACCCTGATCTTCTCCATCATCAATAAAAGTATCCCAAAATGGACAATATAAACAATGACATTTGATTAGAGATGCCTAGAAGAGTTAATTCAGGTCTCAAAAAGTCCTGTCGATTTAATATCTCTTTGGTCTCAATCATATAAGCACTTTTTTCTAGTCTGAGTGTGTAATACCAGGATTAAATCTCAGTTACTTTACCCATTAGTTTCTGAGGAGGCCTAACAATGTCGAACCATGGCCACCCAGCAAACAGCAACAACGCACCCACCTGTCCGTTAAATAATCCATCCTAACTAATCCTTGAAGCCTTGATTTAATTAAAATAAACAAGTGAAAGTCCATTTAAATGAAAAAAAGGTAGATAACCTCTTCTTTGTTTGAAAGCTCAGAAAGAAAAATATGGAAACATCTGCATTTCATACTCAAGATTTTATAATGTCTTAATTCCGGTCATGTCTGTCTTTATGGTCACAGTAAATAAATGCAACCCTCTCTGTTGGCTTTTATACAAAGTGATGTTCAGGCTCTTTAGAAAGAAGAGTTAATGTGCTCCGAATCAGCGAGAAACTTTACTGATGAATGAGATAGATGCCAAATCTAATTTTAAAAACATGTAGTAAAAAGATAATTGTGTAATCTATACGGTTAAATGATAACTAAAGTCATATGTTGAATATGCTGTGTCTGTAAATTTCTTGACAAACAGCTCGAGTTGTTTGGAGCCAAAGTCTTGACTGTGTTCTGCTGCCCCCTGTTGGTCATCAGTAGAACTGCAGGCTCACCTGTGTTTGTTTTTTCTCTTTCTCTCTTTACTAATAGGGCCCCATGGGTCCCCGTGGGCCTTCCGGACCTCCTGGAAAACCTGGAGATGATGTAAGTGTCCGCGTCAAAACTCTAATAACATTTTAACAACATTAGAGGGTTGATGTGTGAGTCCCAGAGCAGCTGCAGACAGTGCTGTCCTCATATCACCCACTGTGGGTGTAAACGTCACTGCTGGTTGGCTGGGATTTACTCCACTTCATAGATCATATAAAGATAAAGGTGTAGAATAGAAATCAAACTTAAGAAACAATTATTATAATCCTCTCTCCACATGTAGTGTTAAAAAACCGGCGTAATAACCAGCTCAGTCTTCACTTTTTTCTGTTCTGTGGCTCATTTTCATCATCGTATCTGTTTTTTAAAGCCTCATTATCTTAGTTTGAGCTCATACTGCCGTAGAAAATGTGCCAAGATGTTGAAATGTTACTGTTTGTACAGTCTGTAATTTAATGTTTAACTGATTTGACATCCAGTGCATCTATTATAGAACTTTCATGAGTTATAAGAGCAATGCCGATGTAGAGACAGACTGGGAAACAGCAGATTATTTTGAATATTTTTTACACCAATAGTGACACACATCTTTGATGAATTTTACATTAACTGCTTTACAACAAATTTACGTATTGTTTTTAGATGTTTTATTTGAATGGATTTCTTTACATCCAAGAAGAATGATGTTCATCTATCTGTAATTCCACTTTTCAAACACATGGTGGCAGCAGACATGACGAATCAGAATTTGTCCATGAGGAGCACTCACTCCCAACCTAAACCACATCAAACACAGAACACAATGATTAAGTTTTAGAGATATGTATATGTTTTAGAGATGTGAGATATGTGTATTAAAAAAATTTTAATAATATATTTAATCTGTTTCTGTTTTAGGGAGAAGCTGGCAAACCTGGTAAATCAGGTGACCGTGGACCTTCTGGACCTCAGGTGAGATTTATTCAGTCACTGAAACTATTTCTGTTTGATGGGACTTTCTTTATGTACCTCAAGTTTTTTATTTACACATATTTTGTCACTCTGGTGGACACCATACAGTTTGGTGATGATAATATAGCTGAACCAAAAGGTGATTCTTTTGCTGGAAATACTCTGATTCCTGAGACGCCTAGTTGTTTAATCAACACTTAAAGTACTTTTGTGAATTTCAGTTAAATATACTTAATTCTATTTGAAAATGTATGTATTATTTTTTTTCATTTCACTTCATAATAGTTTGAACAAAGAAGCAGCTCTGAACAGAAATGGTGGTTTTAGACAGATCACCATAAGGACCGAGACTTTCATTACAGAGTCTGCTGTGGTCAGAAACTTGAATGACTGAAATAAAAAACATTTCTCTCAAGTCTCTAGTATTAGTTACATAATGAACTTAAATCATGATTTAAAAAGGTCGATCCAACCTCAGCTTTTAGATGTTCCCTGAGCTTTTTAACACGTGCCTTCAAATCTGTCCTGATGCACTTTTTACCCTTTTTTGTGTGTATTTATGTCCTACATTTGTATTATATTTATGCTGTCTTAGGGAGCTCGTGGATTCCCAGGAACTCCAGGTCTGCCAGGCATCAAGGGACACAGAGTGAGTGTATTTGTTGTTTAATTACTGTATTCAGGAAAATCAAATATGCACTGATGTTTTTGTTGTTTTCCTAATTTTTCACATCTTCCTTTTTTTATTTCAGGGTTATCCTGGTCTAGATGGAGCAAAGGGAGAAACTGGAACTGTTGGAGCTAAGGTAGAATTCTAATCACAGTTTGACTGAGTGGTTAAGCAGTAGAAAACAGTAATGATAGGTGTAGATTGATATTTTATCGATTGTTAATTAGAAGGTACTTCACTAAGCACAGACTGTGTTGAAACTGCCAGAAGATAAGATATCGAGGATTTCTGCTGTTTTTATTTACGGTTGACCTTAAGCTGTTTACTGTTTTCTCTCTTTAGGGTGAGGCTGGTGCTCCTGGAGAGAATGGCGCCCCTGGACCAATGGTGTGTGACTCATAAAAACCAAAGATGCACAAATTAAGTCTTCTTTAAAATGGTTTATTAATCCTCGGGTCTTTTAACTCTTTCACAGGGACCTCGTGGTTTGCCTGGCGAGAGAGGCCGTCCTGGACCCAGTGGAGTTGCTGTGAGTTTCAACTTCCTGTCCCAAATTTACAATCTAATTCGCAGTAAATTGAGTTTTTACCTTACCATGCTTAGAGAGAGCGATTGTGGATTAAGTACTGCACTGTCATTGCAATCAGGAAGAGGCTTATTGTTAAAAGAGATTATTGAAATCAGCTTTAATCTGGTGGCGTAAGTGTCAAACTTGAAAAAAAGAGGAAAAATACAGGACAAAAAGAAAACATCTGAACTACAGAATGAGCTTAAGCAGCCGCAATACAATAGACAAGACAATAACTTGAAAATTTGCCCGAATGTGTGTTAATAAACTGGATGTGTAGAGTTCAAATCCTTCTTTCAACAGTGCAGCAAACAAAGGCACTTGTTAGAAATAATCCAGACAATTCTATTAACCTCAGCGTGTCGGGTATAATCTCTTAATCCTCTCTACTTTGTTCTAATTTGAATAAATTGTGTAAAGTAGTTTTTCCTGTTCTTAATGAGGACTTGAGTTAGGACTGAGGATTTGTTGTCATGTGCTGATGTGTTGTTTCTGTAGGGGGCACGTGGAAATGATGGTCTGCCAGGTCCTGCTGGTCCCCCAGTAAGTTACACTGAATTTTTTTTTTAAAGCAAAATACAACCTATAATCTCCACTCTTTAACCATCACCTGTTATATTGTATGTATTAGTCTACACCTGTGAGTCTGAACTGAGCTGTTTTTCTCCTCTTTGTAGGGCCCCGTTGGTCCTTCAGGCGCTCCAGGCTTCCCTGGTTCTCCTGGTTCAAAGGTAAGTCACGATTAACCCTTTAAATACCCTCAATCAGCTGTTCTGTTTAAAAAGAGGAGAGCAGGAAACCCTCTGTCCTTTGTTTTCTCAGCGAGTGTAACCGAACCCCCACTCTTGCAAAGTTGTGTGAGAAGTTAGAAGTAAAAAAAAAAAAAGGTCTGTATCTTAAAAAGTATCAGCACGCAGCTCAGGGAGGATTTTTCAGGACTAGTCACAATACTTTTGTGAAATCAAAGCAGGCAGCTCTACATTGAAGGTACTTTAAGCCTCCATCTGTGTGGAAAATTAAGGAGTGGGGGGCTTTCAAGTGTCATTTCCCCCCTCTCTTTGTCTGTCTTTTTCTTATTTTCTGCCTCCGCTTTGCGTCTGATTTATTCCTCGTGCGTGGCAGACAGGCTCGGCTCTGCGCTCGAGGGCCCAGCGCTGGTGGTGGTTTGCTTTCTTCTTCCAGGCCCCCTGATAGTCTGGGAAATCTTTGAGGAATTACAAGCCGAGTATCTCCTAACAAAATCCAGGAGTTTCCCTTCAAGTAATAAAAGCAGACCAGGAGATGTGACAATCTGTGCCTGCATGTGTATTTATGTGTCTTATCATCTTTCATCCGTGAGCACTTGAAGCTCGTCTGCAAGAGAGTGAACTGTTTTTTGCATAAATGTGTTTTTGTGCAACTCGAGACAGTTCTCCATGGAGAGGAGGAATGTAAAAACTCTCATGTTACGTTATTGTGCTGATGTACCTTAAGGAGTCTGCCTGAAAGCTCATAAAGTGCAGCTCCGTGAAACTCGTTTTCCTCACACAGCCTCATGAGAAAACCTTTAAAAAGACCCAAAACTAACACAGTAAAGAGCAAGCAAGACTAAAACAACACAATTATCGGGGCATCTGCTCTAACAATGCTCGTGAAGCGACAATATAAAACATCAGGGACGATTTTATTTGTTAATCGAGTTGTAGGCACTGAAATGCTGCTAAATGTTTCTGTAATTGAAAAAGAAATACTGGCAGATGTTCCTCTTTTAGTCCACCATCGTTTCAGAGCCAGTAAAATAGTTGGCATGTCTTTAAAAGCGAGCTTGGGAAGAGAATAAATTCAGAACAGTAGGTCATCATGTCCACAAACACATATCCTGTGAGGTAATACTCTCAAGGTTGGCAAAGTCTACAAACAGGAATTTCATTCACCAACATGCTTAAAAAGCTGCGTAACAGCAGTGAGGTGAAACGTCTGAATAGAGTCCAAAAGTTTCTGAACTAGAAGATCTGCAAAATGTTATGCACCTGGATTTGAAGAGCACACTCAAAACACTGCAGTCAGCTGATTATAAAAGCCGCATGTTGAAGCGTCACTCTTATTTGCTTCCTTCATATGAGTAGTTGTTTTGATTTTTTACAGTTTGATGACACAACATTGAAGTTTTATTTCTTTTTTTTTCTGGATATACTCCTGATAGTTTTAAAAATAAAGGGATTTGTTTTTAGGGAATTAATCTGATGTTGTGTTGTTGTGTACATACAGTATATGGCCATTAGACAGATGTTGATGTGTTGGCATGTACGGTAACGCTTCAAAGTGTTTTCCTAATGGCGGCCTTGCATAAAAATTTATTGGAATCACTTAATTAGATCCTTATTTTAGTGTTTAACTCACAAAAACAACCAGCAAATAGTATGTTTCTAAATCAATATTTGAATCTTTTATAATAGATTGATTAAAATTTCAAATGCCAACGCTCAAATGTGTTAAACTGTGTGAATAGAGTTGGTACAGGGTTCATATTTGGTGACTTGGCTTTGGTATCATCTTTAAAAATGACTTACTTGTGAACATAAAAGTCTAAAAAGGACAACCAATTAAAGCTATTGCGATGAACTTTCAGTTTGTGTCAGTTTTGGCGCCCCCTGTGGACACATCAGTTATTGCTTATCTTGTCCTATACATGCCTAATTAGTGTCGTCTTACAAAAAACCTCACCCAACTTTTGACAGTCATATCTAACATTTAATACTAATATTTTATTTGGAAATGATCAAAACAGCGTTGTTTTTTAGCTACTTGACTGACATGGACCCCCTCAGAGCAGTTTGAGACACTTGAAATAACAATATAAAAAAACAATCAGTCCTATCTGAGGTGATCGTCATTTTTTACACCATAAGAAGGTATGAATTTCAAACTCCTCACAGAAGCTTTAATCAAATAATTAGCAGGAAATATCTAATGAAGAAAAGTAGCAGATTACAAGCCAACAGTAAAGCAATGAACTCAGCAGCAGCAATTCATATATCAGAGCTACTACAGCACACAAGCACTTCTTTCTAAATGGATATCTGGCCCTACATATGAGGTGTTTGAACAAAGTGTTGGACTCTTCATGTCAGTTTTTGTTCAGCAAATTCAGTCTAGTTTCATATCAGGTTAACACAACAAGAAAAAGCAGTATTGCAATAGCGGCTTGAATAATCTTGCCACAAAAATTAATAGGGTATATTTAATCAATAGGTCTACATCACCACGTGTAAACACTATGGTAACTGTACCCAAAGAGCCCTGCAAATTTAAGCAAAACGTGCCAAAATAATGCACCAGTATGTGCATGAGAAGCAAACAAACCCTCACCAACCATATTCAAAACTCATAACTGTATATTTAAGTATTTAAAACATGACAAATAACAATCACATTTTTATGTTATATGTGTGGCTGAATCACATCGTTACTTCTCTCAGACACATTCTTGTGTGTTTTTAGTATCAGTCCTGTGGCAGAGTTTAATCCGAGAATCAAGACTTTTAAACCTTTGAGTGTGTTTCAGCAGTGTCTTTCAGCAGTTTACATCTCAGCAAAGCCCTGTTCTACCAAGATTTAATCTGATGATATTGAGTTTTTCTAATGTTTTTGCTTGAATTTCTTTTCTTATCTCACCTCTTGTTTTTCTTGTGTGTTGCTAACCAGGGAGAGGCTGGTCCAACTGGTGCTCGTGGACCAGAGGGAGCCCAAGGACCCCGTGGAGAGTCTGGCACTCCAGGATCATCTGGACCATCTGGTGCTTCTGTAAGCAAATATTAATTGAAACAACACAATGGAGGTCATCTGAATTTGATGATGGACACTGAGGCAATGCTGTTGAACCTCCAGGAGGAGTTTTCATCTCTATGTCTCTTTCTCTCTTCCAGGGTAACCCTGGTACTGATGGCATCCCTGGATCCAAAGGATCAGCTGTAAGTTTAACCTCAAGTTTAACTGTTTCTGCACAAGTGCTGATTTTTCTGTTATACAAAGTTCAATATTGTATAATAAAGAAAATAAATAAATGCGTCCGTCTCCTTTTGTCTTTATAGGGTGCTCCTGGTATTGCTGGTGCTCCTGGTTTCCCTGGACCTCGTGGACCTCCCGGGCCTCAGGGAGCAACTGGACCTCTTGGGCCTAAAGGAACATCTGTATGTAAACACTAAATCATCTAATGATAATTATAAAGGCATAGGAGATGCATTGTACACTGACATTTCAGGTCAGGTTTTATAAACAGTTTCTAATTTGTGTTTGTTCCTTAAATCAGATTTCAAACCTGCTGCTTCCTCTCTCACTGTTTTGTCTTTGTGTTATTGTGCAGGGAGACCCAGGTATCCCAGGATTCAAGGGAGAGGCTGGACCCAAAGGAGAGATTGTGAGTTCTATTTTATCTATTTCTATTCTATGACCTTTACATTTGTCCTTTTATAGATACTGTTAACACGCGAGTCCAAGCAAAGATAACAAGCACTTCCAGGATTGAGTAAATTTAAAGACTGACATTACAGATACCTTTAAAGGTCTTTAAAGGTTCTTATGTGATCCAAGAAATACATTAGTGAATAACATCCTACTAATGCTATTGCAGTGGTTTAAATCATCATTTTATATTCAAAATCTTTTCTTTTTTTTTTTGAGCTGGTCTTTCCTCTTTGTTTAACTTTGTCCGTGGATTTGTTCTCAAGGGACCAGCTGGTCTTCAGGGACCCCACGGCCCTCAGGGAGAAGAAGGAAAGAGAGGACCTCGGGGTGAGCCAGGTGCTGCTGGACCACTTGGACCACCTGGAGAGAGAGTGAGTTCTTTAAGAGCGAGTTATTTCAAGTCAATGTGTACAGATTAACAACACTTTTTTAGCCTTTAAGTTACTTACAGAAAAATGTGTGTCTTTATGTGTGGATATATAGTTCTGTAAGTTTGCTGATATACACCAGAGTGTGGTCTTCTTTTGTGACGTTTGTGTGCGAAACAACAGAGTAAGTGCAATGGACTGATCATGACTTTGGTTTTGTGTTGTTTGTGTAGGGTGCCCCTGGTAACCGAGGTTTCCCTGGTCAGGATGGTCTTGCTGGTCCTAAGGTGCGTATCACAAAATCATGAGCATGAAGCGTTTCTTATAATAGATATCTGAGGTTTCATTTAGTAATTGTGTGATATACTGCCTCGGTGAATCTGTGAAACTAAAACACTTCGATTTTTGATGCCCTGTGGACTCATTTGTGTTTGTTATTGACCGTAGCAGCAACTTAATTATGTATGTGAAACACCCAATCACAATAAAGGACTTCCAAAGTTCCTGACATTGAATTACCTGATATCTTTTGCAAACATGGTGCATAGATATTGGTGCATTAAAGCACAAATAAAGCCCATAAATTACCATTAGGTCCCAACATCTCAAAAGTCTTTGATGGCCGGCATTATTCTGCTTCAGAGTCGGCACCTTTTGAGCTTCAGATTAATTTCTAGAAATTCTTAATCCCCCCCCCAGAATATTAATCCACATCTAAGGTTTCAGTGATACAGAGGAGAGAGGGACTCCTATTCCTTATTTCTTAGTTATGGTAAATCTTAAGCACGAAATGACACACCAAGTTAACAAAAAAAACCTGCTCTGTGAACGATTCATGCTGTATCATTTATCAAAGGCAGCAGTGATACATGTATCTCTTGTATGTGACCACAAGATGGCAGCATAGCCCCAAAACCTTAATGACCTATATGTCCAGACTGTAAAAGCTAGCATCTCTCTAACTTTATGTGCTATTTTGTACTGATGTAATTCTGTCACATTTTAATCCTCTATACACAGTATGTCAGAGACTTATCCCCCCCGAGCTTTGAAAATTAAAGCATCTCCTCCCCACCTGTTGATCGAACCTACTCTATCCTCTCTCTCTTCTTATAGGGAGCACCTGGTGAGCGTGGACCTGCTGGTGCCAGTGGTCCCAAGGGTGCCTCCGGTGACCCTGGTCGTCCTGGAGAGTCTGGTCTGCCTGGTGCCAGAGTAAGAACTAACATTACATCTGAAAACATAAAGATATGAGCGGCAGGATATAGAGAAATATAAACATTAAATCATTAGTAGATGGATTCAAGTGTACGTATTAACATTTTACCTAAACCTTAGCTCTCTGATAGGATCTAATACATTTCAGGCTATCAGTCCAGAGATAATGTATTATCAAGGTGAAGATCAAGCCTGCCCTGCTTTTATTGTTAGCTGATAATTGCTGCCCTGAACAAACAAACAACATATCCTGAGCTTGTAACAAAACACTTAAAAGAGATGCACAATAATGAAGTATTGCACTCTATCGGAGGTGTAAGATTCATAGTCAAACTCAGACATCCTCAGTTATCCTGAGGGGAACAAATTCTAAAAACTCTGGGTCTTATATTTCCCATGATGCAGCCTGACAGTTTTTATTCACCAGCCTTACCCTTATCTGTTATCTTCCAGTGGGCCTCCTGACTTCATTGTTACCTTTGTAGGCTGAAAGATGGTCAGATTAAAAAACATTAAAAAAGTGATGCATCTGAGACATCTTTTATCCACCTTAAATTACCCATAATTCCACTTTATCACCACAAACTACACTGCAGAGAAAATAATAACATTTCTGCGTGGTATTGTCGTTTGCATACAGTTAAAATAGCCAGTATGTATTCAATCAGATTAACACAACCATTACTATGCAACTAAGCCTCATTGCAAAAAACAGTTGATTCACAAATACTAAAAAAAACTCTCTAAAATCTGAAAATTATGTAACTTTTTGCACAGTGTGTTGATATTACTTTGAAATTACTATATTTGTAAAAATTAAAGGTTAAATGAGTCTGGAGCTTAACTCTTGTACAGTCAGGCTGGACCATCATGCAACACAAACTGATTTTTATTTTTGGGAAAAAACGGTAAACTGTACCTAAACTGTGACGTACGTGTCACATCTGATATGTAGAAAGAACTGTCTCTCTCCGTTTAAGTCATCACACTGTATGTGTGGATATTTAGGTCAGGATGAGAGGGCACAGCACAGCTCTCTGCAGCAGAGAGAGGAAATTCTGACAGCTCATCTCAGACCCAAAACTGGAGCAAATGTAAAGGTTAGGGAAATTAGTGTTTGTACACTATATCACGCCGATATCGCCAATATCACTGGCACATTTTACTTTGTAAGTTTGACTGAAGGACAGAGCAGAAATCATAGACCAATGGTGACCAAGTCTTGGTGCAAATGATAGCTGTATTCCCTTAGTAAATCCACCAGATTGTGTGGAACCGGACATGTCAGTTTAGAAGTTAGTTTGTGCCTCATTAAAGGGTTTCAGTGACAAAATGTATGTTGACAAAATTGATGAGAAAGCAGGGTATGCTTTGGTGATAATCGATCTTTATCTTTACAGTAATCCATAAACAAGAGGCTGAAACTGAGATTTAAAAAGTCCCTTTTTATACAAAGATGGTTCAGCCTTGAGCCCTGAGTCTCACACAAAAAAGGGAAGAGACATTTTTGAGTTTATTTATTCTCAAACTCCTAAATACTTTTTTATTTTCAAACCTGTAATCTTGAGCTTCAGCTGATACTAGAGAAGACACCCTTGAGTCAATTTATCAGACAGTGCAGATCCCCCTGAAGCTTCTAACATCCTCACGATTTTCACAAATACAGTAGCGCTCCCCAAGACCTGTAAACAGACTTTGATGTTTCTAAATAGCTTCTCTTTTTGAAATCTCTGAACCGTAGCTGAGATAACCCTTCAGACTTCAGAGAGCTCCTTCAACAACAACAGACAACAAGATGTGCAGTCTTCCTGTGAGGATGATCATGACCTTTATGTTCAGTCAGTGGAGTGACCCTTTAATCTTTCATTTTATCTGAGAAAACAATTTTGGAGGCACATGGTGTTCACAGGGCAGTGTGTGTGCCCCTCCCCCCGTTCATGACTTCATTTCCTGTTTTATTTCCCAACAGCACACAAGTAATTGATATTTGTTTGTCATTGCCACCTGTTGGTGTTGAAAGCATGCTTTCTGCACATAAGAACAGTTTAGGAATAGATTTAATTTCCTGCAGAGCAATAAGTTCCCATGTGTCTTTACTCGATGACTCACATGATTCACCTCTGTGTCTCTCCTCTTTGTCTCCCTCAGGGTCTGACTGGACGCCCTGGTGACGCTGGTCCTCAAGGCAAAGTGGGACCTTCTGTAAGTGCGGTTTTTCATTTTGATTTGTGGTTGTTGGGTCTCTGTCAATCAATAAAGTCCCACAGCAGGAGAGAGGGGGTTATTGTTTTTATAATACACAAGGCTCAACCAGGGTGTCGCTTCACCAGATGTGCCTTCATCGTGTTATGACTCACAAATGGTTTCATCAAATTGAAATGCTTGTGATTTATTCAGCATCATTATCCACCTCGCTCATCCCTTGTGACGTTTGTGCTTCGCTAAGTTAAAGCTTGTGACTAAATTCACGTTTAGTTCAGAGAGCTGGCATTTGCAAAGCTTTGCTTCAGGCTCTTATAGGGCTGGACGATATGGCCTTAAATCAATATCACAATATATTGAGCAGTTCACCTCGATAATGATAAATGGATGATAACTACTCCACAAGATGCTCACCCCCTCCCACATTAACTTCATCTACTTCAGCCTTTCCAACTTTTGAACCGTCCTCCATCTCCTCACCTGTCTTTCCCTCTTTGTTACGGACTGGATGGGGTGGAGTCACGTCTCTGATGTAGGACAGTGTCTTAAAGGGACATGAGACCATAGCCTACCTACACACATCCAAAACCAACTTTTATTAAATTATTACTTTTTTTGACACCAAATGTATTGACATGGGCAAAATGACGTTGGTTATTGTCGTAAATTTTGGTATCAGTAAATTTTCGGCTTATCGCTCAGCCCTAGACTCTTAACAGGCATGAAAACTTTTTCTTACTGTTTTTGGTCCTTACAGTAAAATCATAGACTGTATGTAAAATAGACAGCGTCTGCCTCCTCGTTGGGTGAAGCCACCCCGAGAACAGCACACTCTGTTGACGGGCTGCAGTATAGGTCAGAAATCCCGCCTCTTCCAGTAATCCCTATGGAGTTGTGGACAAACTTTAGAAATGTATTTCACAGAATATAAATTTTTCTCCCCCCTGGTTGCGAGACTGGTTTGTGCTCAAGTCCTCTTTTTTCTGTCCAGCTCCATTTTTAAAAGTTATTAGGGGGTTCATGTTTTCCATGATTGACACCTGATACAGCCTATGGGTGTATGAAGATTGCATAGCTCAGCCGGAGGATACGCTGTTTGAGCTGAGCGTCATCACAGCGGCTCTCGGCGACTCTCCCGCCGCATAGGTACAATGTTACTGCTCAATGTTGGTTTCAGGAAATGGAGAAAAAACGCTGAATTACCGAGAGCTTTTTGGCTTCAAATCCGTACACTGGTGGAAGGAGGAACGAAGTTGTCCATATTATATACAGTCTATGAGTAAAATTCAGAAAATAGGTGGTCACCACATAGTATTTTTATCTACCTTCATTCATATATCCAAAACTGTTTTTTTTTTGTTTTTGTTTGTTTGTTTGTTTTGTTTTTTGTAAGCATTCAAGCACCGTGGTCTGTGGGCAGATCATGCAGTTTTTTCATTTTTGACTGACTGGCTGAAATTCCAGCATATGGTCAGACTGATAAAAATGGATGTTTTATTTAATCTGGTCTGTTTTTATTGAATTTCCCTTTGGGTATCAATCCAGTTCTTCTTATCTGTTTTCTTGTTTTCCTAGTTTACCCCGAGGCCTTTAATTTACTGACATAAGAGTTGTGGAGGAAATCAACATTTCTAGAAATTAAGTGTTTTTTTGTGGCGTATCCTTGGGCCTCGCTGGACGTTTCTCAGCGAGAACTTACTCCCAACCGACTAATTTAACTTTTTTTCTGGTTCTTGGAGTTTTACCTCCTTTTCATACAGAGTAAAAATGAAAGTCTGACTCATCATTCTCTAGGGAGCTTCTGGTGAGGATGGTCGCCCTGGACCTCCCGGCCCACAGGGAGCCCGTGGACAGCCTGGAGTTATGGGATTCCCTGGACCCAAGGGAGCAACTGTGAGTAAACCAACCTGTTGGATACATCAGATCTGATCCTTAGATGCTTTTTTTCTTTGTTTTTTATTTTTTCTTCATGACCATATGATTGACTGCTGTATTCTGTCTGTGGTGTGTTTAGGGTGAGCCTGGAAAAGGTGGTGAGAAGGGACTGGGTGGAGCTCCTGGTCTGAGGGTGAGTTATTCATTGTTTACTCACAGCTATCAGGGGTCCATCCTGGTAACAGCATTACCTTTGGATTAACTGATGATATCTATTTGTCTCATTTCTTCGATCTCTTTTTCCATTTTTTCCTCCTCTTCCTCTCTCCTCAGGGTCTGCCTGGCAAAGATGGAGAAACCGGCCCTGCAGGACCCCCCGGCCCAAGCGTACGTATAGCTTCAACACTGATGTTATCTTACTCCTTTCTCCGGCTGTACTTAGCGGAAACCTTTAGTATCTACGTTTCCCAGACTGCCCCCTCGAGAGCTCTGTCTGCAGAATTAAAGTCCTGGACACAAATGTCTGGACGGTGGCTCCATCACTGACTCACCGCCTAAATAAAAGATGCTAACTGATATCATGCATACCATAGAATAACAAACTAATTTTCCATGCTGTTTTGATCAGTCTTGTATAAATTATTTTTATAATGCTGTTTATGATAGACGTAATTGTGGTCATAATGTCTGAATATCTTTTCAGGGTCCTGCTGGAGAGAGAGGAGAACAAGGTCAGCCAGGTCCCTCAGGTTTCCAGGTGAGTCTGTCACCTTAAATGTTGAACTTTGGCCCCCCGCTAAACCTTTTTTTTTTAAATATGGTGATGCTAAAAGACTCTTAGGTTTGATAATCAGCTGAACTTTTAAAGATGATGGGATTGAGTTCTGTTTCTAAAATCCTCATCTGTGATTTACAGATTGAGGAAGCAAGCTTTGCAGAGCTAAATATATGTCAATATTATATAAGCATGCATTTTTATTTCTGACACTATTTTTTTTTTTTTACAATCATGAAATAAATTCAGTGTAAAAAATCTGTCTCTCAAAATATTTGTTTAGTAAAAATTCAACTTAAGAAAAAACTTTGTAAAAAATAGTGTGAAAAAATTCAGCGTAAACAAAACAGTTTCTCAAAATATTTATCATTGTGAAAAAAATATATTTTGTCAGAAATAAAAATGCGTGCTTGAAATTTGATAGTTTTGAAATTCAAAGTCCAATTTTGATGCCAAAAAAAAAATCTGCTTTAGAAATTCAAATTCAAAATCAGATAGCACAGATTAACTTGCAGAAATGTGTCTAGAAACAAACTCAGATTTCCAGATTAACAAAATAAAAAGTTGATCAATATAACTTGAAACATTGATGAAGATGTTAGTTAGAGGTCTGTTAAAACTAATTCAGACAATTTTATTTGTCTGAATTATATAGTATTTCCTCATAACAGTATGAAAAAATGTAGTGCTGTGTTTTGGTATATTTCAGTTATGAAGGCTGCTGTTAGCTATGAACTTAGGTTAAATGTGTTTCACAATGATACATAATCTACATTATCTACATAAGATATCATTACAAAAGATCCAATCAGCTTTTTCTGCAAACACTGATACTTAGGAGTTTGACACATACTCTAGGCTGTAATGTTAAAAAATACAGATAGGCTATATAAGTCAAACTGTTGTGCAAATGTCCAGTTTTCTAATTAAGATGAACCAAGCTCTGACATTCCTGATACATCTAATCTTTGTAAATCTGTGTAATTTTCCTTTAAGCTTTTTATCATTTTTGACTCATTATTGGATCTAACATCTGTTTTGTTTTGATCAGGGTCTTCCTGGACCTCCTGGCCCCCCTGGTGAGGGAGGCAAACCTGGAGACCAGGTGAGTTCAGCTTTTGTCATCCGCCCTGACATCAGTTGTGATGTCTTTGCTGAATCAGCAGTGGTAGTCATCGTTGTTTAAGTTGTAGTCATCTCTCTCCTCAGACTTACATGGTTTATTTGTCTTTTCTCTCACAGGGTGTTCCTGGAGAGGGCGGAGCCGCTGGTGCTACTGGACCAAGAGTAAGTTCTCATTTTGCATTTAGCTTCACTTCCATTGACCAACTGATTTCACACATATTGCTGATTGTCTTCATGTCGCTGTCATCAGGGAGAGCGTGGTTTCCCCGGAGAGAGAGGAGCTGCTGGCCCTCAGGGTCTGCAGGGACCCCGTGGTCTACCTGGAACTCCTGGAACTGATGGACCTAAGGTGAGTCCAAGACCAGCAACAGAGACAGATTTTGGAAATATGGCCTGAGATTAACTCAGGGTAAGTTTTAGGGGTGTCCCAATACAACTTTTTGACTTCTGATACAATACCGATACTGCAGCCTTCAATACTGACCGATACCGATATTGATCAGATATTGGCACAAAGTTGTGCAAGACAAGTTTTGCACTCAGCTGCAATGTCTTTTTCAGACTTCATCACTCCTACTCCTTGCTACTTTGTTAGTACCTGAGTACACACTGTTGGCTCAGCTAGTTGGATCAGGGTGCCGATCACCTGGGCACCTGTAGATAGAGGTGCCGGAGCGGAGTCTGGAATGGACTGCTTGTATCGGGGTGCTGATATCAGAGATTTTAGATGCAAGCTGATATAATCCGATATTCGTTTTTTGCTGATATTGGACCAATATCAATATCGTATCAGTAAATTTCAGGTAAAGTGGTTGGGCTCCATCATAAAAAACATCTTATGTTCGAATAGAAAACTGTGAAATTTGTCTGTAAATGATAGAAGTTATTAATTAAATAGAAAGAATTAATACTTTTCCATGTAAATCCAAATCACTGATGTCAAACAACCACAAACATTTTCCAGCCTTTGCAGTTTTGCTCAACAGTTACACCAGAAGACGAGCTCAAACCCTCTGCTGCCCTCACTTCTGTTTCTATATCTGGTCCGATTTTAATCCCACTTCAGTTTTCAAGTCTTAAGGTCAGACAGGAGCAGATAAAGGGAGAGGGTGGGGATTATCCAGCTGTCAGGAGTGTGAGTCTGATGCCGATGGAGAAAGGATGATTAAACTCTTTGAGGAAGCCCGCTTCTAAGAAATATGGTCGCAGGGAAAAAAAGCATGCTGGACACAATCACTGACACAAAGACCAAATGTATTCACAGCAGCATGAGGTCTGCATGGTTGTAGCTTAATGACTGGAGATAGGCGGCGGAGTCGGTGCCAGTGCGTCTGATCTCTGGTCTGTGGCCGCGGCTGAAAAGTGCTGCTGATAAGCCTGACAGCTTGTGACCAGGAGTCGGCCCGATGGAGCCACTTAAAAAAAAGAAAGAAATCCAAGTCTACATTTGCAGCCATTATCTTGGCTTTGGCTTGTGGACTAGAGGTGATAAAATGCTACTTGAAGGTGAACCAGAAATCAGAGAAAGGACATGGAATTACAGATATTTTGATGTTGATTTTCCGATGACTTGAGTACATTTTCTACACTTTGATCATTCAATTCTGCAAAGGTTAATTGTGTCAAGTGAATTGAGCGCTATTTTCTGCAGTTTCAGTCATTATTTTTCAACATTAAAACCTTAAACAGAGCATGATCAGATAAGGAGGAGTTTTTTGAATGGATTGATAATTTTTTTTGTCTGTAAAAGCAACAATTTTGTTTTTCTGGTACTCAGCAAAATCCATCTGAAGGTTACCAACAGCCTGTGCATATCTTTGTTACTCTCAGTCATATAAGCACACACTAGCTGCGTTTACATGGGCACAAATAATCGGAATAAATGTGCGATCGGAATAAAAATACGTTATGTAAACACGTCGATTGGAAGATTATGAACCAATTCAGCTGAATCGGAAAGACATCGAGAGGGGTGGTTTATGCCGATCGTTATTCCAAAACGCATCCACTTATTTCGATCGTGACTCTTACCTGATTTGATTCTTTACTTATTGAAGTTAGTTCAGGAGGTTTCATTTTTAACACTCCGGCATAAAACACAACCTCAGGTGTCGTGTCTGCTCCTCTGGCAACATAACAAGTTGTACATACAGCGTAATGGTGTCGCATCTATATGCACAGTGCAACTTTTGACAGAACAGTAAAATAAGTAAGCAAGGGCGCCATCTATTGACAACATTTAACAGGGGTGAAACTCCTGAATTGGATGGAGTGAGCCACGACAGCGTTTGTTGGTTTGTTGACAGCACAGGCGTAAACACAACTCTTCTTCTTCTTCTGTGGTTTTTTAGCGAAATAAGACAACTCTGCACATGTTTAAATGCTTCTAATCTGAATAAAACTTAGTGCATGTATACGCATGTCATGATCGGATTATTTGATTTGGCAGTGGATAAACAGTGGATTCAGATTATCCGATCCCTCCAAAAATTTTTATCGGATCAAGAAATTTTGCACATGTAAATATGGCTATTGACCTCAATGAAGCTTTTCCCTCTGTATTTGTTTCTATTTCTGTCCCTGCATAAACTCATGTATGTTAATCTCATCTTCAAAACAGGGTGCTATTGGTCCTGCTGGCACTGGTGGTGCTCAGGGACCCCCTGGCCTACAGGGCATGCCTGGAGAGAGAGGAGCTGCTGGCATCCCTGGACCCAAAGGAGACCGAGTAAGCCATGACAGAAACACAGTCCTCATGAATATTAATGCTACATACAGAGAATTATCTCTGCTGTTCCTGTCAGGTGACTGACCTTTTTTTTATTCCACGTAGGGTGACCTTGGAGAAAAAGGACCTGAAGGTGCTCCTGGCAAAGACGGTGGAAGAGTAAGTCGTTGTTATCCACGCTGATTTGTCGTTAATGAGAAATGTGTTCATTTCAAAATCTGGTATTCCCTTTTATTTATAGATGTGATTTCTCAGGTTATTTAAATATGCCTGGTGTTGTTTTCATTTGTCTGTTACAGGGTCTCACTGGTCCCATTGGTCCTCCTGGTCCTGGTGGTCCCAACGGCGAGAAGGTGACTAATATATCATTGTCTGAATTAAAGTACTGTACGTGTAAAGGCCCAAATAGAGACTAGAATGAAAGATTAGTCTGAAGTATGAACTCTCAGAGCAACATGGGATTATATTATCTCCATCAAATGAGTTCAGTTCTGTCAATCTAGTTGTACATTTATCAGAAATAATCTTTATTTTTTTTAGTTTGTATAATTTTATTATTACAGCCATTTAAATTTTGATTGTAACACTAACTAACTGACTCCTGTGTGTTTCCTTACAGGGTGAATCTGGTCCCGCTGGTCCCTCTGGCGCTCCTGGTACCCGTGGTGCTCCTGTAAGTGTCGCAGTTTATCTTGTCTCATTTATTTTGAAAACTCAATTCTCTTACAATGAAAAGTCAAACTTTTAAACTTTGTGAACCCAAAGAGTCTCTTTATTTCTGTCACGTTGCCATCCAACCAACCAACCATCCCCTGATTTTTGTTCCTTTTTTTCAATCCTCCTCCAGGGTGACAGGGGTGAGACTGGTCCTCCCGGTCCTGCTGGATTTGCTGGACCCCCTGTAAGTACCAACAAACATTGACAAGCTTTTAGAGGCGCCCACTAAGTGACAGGACACGTAGTCTGAGGCCCTGGAGTCGGAGTGTGAACATGAGAAAACTATAAACAAAGTTTCTGCAAAAGATGTAAAAACTTTAGAAACACAGTTGTATTTTCAGGGGATTTTCTATTTGTGGTTAAGATTGGAAATATTAAAAAGGGCAGACACTGTTTAGTCGGATTGTGTTATGCAATTCAAAACTTAATGAAGACAATTTTGTCCCTTAAGCTACAAAAAGACTTTAAAAAACATCCTTTACCATTAAAAATCATGAAAACAATAACGGATGTTGCAGTAAAACAGATTTTTTGTTATCTTGTTCGATAAAACTCCAGCGTCTACCATCACAATCATTCCTCTCACTGCCTTCTGCAAACACTTGGACATCTAATTGTCTCTACCTCTGCGACAGCCCTCTGTGATTTGTCATTTTGTTGTCATGCATCTCGTCTCCTCTGAGAGAAGTTAGTGTCTTAACAGTCTGTTGTCTTTCCATCACTCATCTGTTCGGTTCCTCCCAAAGACTCAGAGCAGCTATCAAATAAATATTTTTAATAAGCCGCATCCTTATGAGAGGATTCTCATCAATACTTCTGCGACAACAAGATACATCATGCAGTGTTTTCCTCTTTGGTTTGTTCTATGATTAATTATTGAATTTACGTCAAGATGAATAACATGACAAAGTGTCTAAATCATTTGTGGTTTACAGCTCACAGACTTGTAACATCACAGACACGAAAATAGACCCGAATGCGACATAAAACATCCGCTGCTTATTGTTAGATAATTGAAAATCTGTGTTCACACCTTTAAATAGATCTGTAAATGCTGTAGACGTGGTCAAAGTATCAGTCAGGTGTTGAGTGACAAAAATACATCAAAAACATCATCTGCTGAGAAGACTTTCCTCCATCGCTGAAACTGATTTAAAACACGACTGTATGAGGGTTTTATTGAACAAATGCCGCCATTGCCACTGTGACATTTACTTTCCATTTAAAGTGTGTGAACTTTAGCTTTTATAAACAAACAGCAACACCAGAGAAACCATATATATACTTCATATACTCCAGTTATAGTAGTGAAAGGTGTCTGTCTTTCATATTGGGCCTACTTCATTGTGATTGTTATCATAATTTAACTTCATAACATCTTTTAAATCACATCTTAAGACTCACTTTTTTGACTTGCTTTTACGTGACGCATGATTTATTTATTTGATTGCCTGCATACCTCTTGTTTAACCTTGTCAGTTACTTAAATTATCATTATTATTAGCTTTAGTCCTGTTTTTAATATTTTCTCATGTTTTAATGTACTCCCTCCCTTTTCATTATAACTCTTATTTTACCTTCTCTTATTTTATTATCTATGTATTTATTTCTTTCTCTTCTACCTGTCCTCTTTCCACCTTCTTTCTTTTTTTTAACCGTCAATTTTCCTTTGTCTGTTTCTGCCTTTGTTTGTTTCTTCTCTTGAAGCACTTTGTAAACATCTGTTTTTGAATGAATTTATTATTATTATCATTATTATTTAGCTGGATGTGTACTTTACTCTTCATCTGATGTTGTAGTTCAACAGGAATGAAATACAAACACAAGAGGATGAGATATTTTACATTCTGGCTTTAGTGTAGTTCTGAAATCCCTACATCTGACATTACCCATGATGCAACTCAATAGAAACTCACAATACACCCTCCCTGTCTCAAAGTAGTATGTGTCTTTAACTTGAATTTTTCAACACAGGTGCGCTGCTTTTCACTCAGTGACAGTATTTTAAATACATTAGTGGACTGCACCTTTAACTGTGTGTATTTTAGTGGAAGAAAAATGATTTTCAGTCTGTCAAACCCTTGCCATCTCAGAGATTGACACCTTCCATTAATATCTGTTTTCTTTTTTCTGTCAGGGTGCTGATGGTCAACCTGGAACAAAGGGAGAGCAGGGAGAGTCTGGACAGAAAGGTGATGCTGGAGCCCCCGGACCCCAAGGACCATCTGGAGCCCCAGGACCTGCTGTATGTGCCTTTTTTAAGTTGACTAACTTGACCTGACTCAATCAGACTGTATTTTTTTTTGAGTGTGCCTCAGTCCTAAATGATGAGGTATTTTAATAAAACCTTGGGTATTTCCAGTCTGAAGAGGTTTTCTTTTTTATAACCGAGGAACATAAAGTAAGATTGACACAGTCCTTTTTTTGAGAGAGGACTTTTTCCTCCCTGTGTTGAATCAGAGTGAAAGCAGTCCTTGTTGCTGATTGTGCCTCTGCTGGCAGAATAAAAGCTGTCTGAGACAGATAAACCAAAAAAAAAACATTTCAAGAGCAACTGAAAGTGAATTTTTTATATGCCTCATGTTTTTATTTATAAAACCTTCAAATGCCAGACAGTAACCAACCGTATGTCTTCTGCTCCAGGGCCCAACAGGTGTTTCTGGACCTAAAGGTGCTCGTGGTGCTCAGGGACCTCCTGTAAGTGACCTTTAGAGAATATTTTACCCTCAGTGAAACAGTATTATTTGGTTGATGTTTGCTCAGACTGACTTGATCTTTCTTTTTTTTCAGGGTGCAACTGGTTTCCCTGGAGCCGCTGGCAGAGTCGGACCTCCTGGTCCTAATGTAAGTTTGTGACAAACCTTGAATAAGTTTGCCAAGTCTGTTACTAAACTGTTGAATCATAATGTAAAACATGTAGTAGGGCTAGCAGATAAGAAGTTTTTGTTGTGATTCACTGCTGAATTTCAACAGTGGATTATGGGTTAACTGTGTTTTTCTTTTCTCATGTTTGAAGTTCCATTATTTTTCATTTATTTTAAAACAGTTTATTTACCATATTTAAAATATAAAGCTGTTTTTACAGTGTTTTGATTTGAGAATCTAGAGAAGCTAGATTTAGTAACTTTTCAGACCCTCTAGCCAGTTATTTAAAAAAAAAAAAGCACTTAGCAACACAATGTTTTTCTGGAGTTCATAGTGCATCAAAGGCGATGACGTCATCTAGCTACTTCTACGACAGCCGCTAGCGACTTTCCTCACTGAGGAGTTGGCGACACTGTTTAAAAATCAAATCACTGCAGTTGAATCTTGAAAAAAGTTTACAAGCCTGCAGTCAGTTGCCCCCCATTTTGTATTACTTATTTAACTTCACTGATAATTATTACTTATGAATTGTCCAATGAGCTGTCTTAGAGTGTTACCACTATATACTGTGAAACAGTGCAGTGGTGTCTTCACTTTCCATCATAGCAGCAGCAGGAAGCAGGAAGACACTGCAGCAGCTTAACCATGGTGTGCTAAAAGGGACAAAATAGTAAACATAGAACAAAATAAACACCCTAATGCAATTGTCAGTGAACACTATAATGCACCTATAAACATTGGATTATATTAGAAAAAGGATGTAATCCCTTATAACTACTGGGTATAAATCTAAAAATGACAGTTCTTAACTTTCTCTCATGTAGACTGAGATGTTACAGGTTGTGGGAGGGAACAGTCAATGCATGGATTTGTTAGCCCCTTTTTAATCTTCCTATTAAACAAAGTCTAAACATCAACAAACTAATTTATGTCAATTACCAGTAGATAGTGTTGTAGCCACCTCGCTTTAAGTCTTTATTTTCTAGAGAGCACGGCTGAATCAGTTTGTCTGTCACAGTGGGAGCTGCTGTAGTTTGTTGGAACATTTTTACAGACCCGTGAAAAAGAAAGTGCAACATATCGTGAAAACAAGTCTGATCCCGTGAAAGTGTGAAATGAGATATGTGTTATTAAAGAAGCACAGCCACCCAGGGGACCACATTCTGATACCATATGCTCTGTGAACATGGTGTGAGCCTGTTTGCAAATGCACCACAGACATGATTTGTTATTTATGGTATTTCATGTGTTTTTTTCTTTTTTGTCATCCTCCTCCAGGGTAATCCCGGACCTGCAGGCCCTGCTGGCCCCCCTGGTAAAGATGGACCCAAAGGTGTGAGGGGAGACGGTGGACCCCCAGGTAGACAGGGTGATGCAGGTCTGCGTGGTCCTGCTGGAGCTGCTGGAGAGAAGGGTGACGCTGGAGAAGACGGCCCACCTGTGAGTTCTTTGTTCTTCGATTGTACTCCCCCTTATGTCACTCAAAGCACTCTCGGGTGTTTACATGATACCTAACTCCCTGACCTTGTGACGCTCAACTCCAATCCCTTCAGCTCCCTCATATTTAGTCCCCCTCTCATCCTCTCCAGACTGCACATCTCCTTGAGCAGCACCAAGGTGAGCTCAGGTGTCCATTATGAAGGAGAAGAGAATGATTAAATGTGTTTGTTTCCCACATTTATGTCCACGTTTGGCCGGCTCAGTCAGCCTAAAGAGCCAATTTTGGCACTAATGGATAGCAGCTGAGCACGCTGTCTGTTAGTACACTGAACTGTCAGTGTCCACACAGAGACCGAGACATATGACAGCACAGGGCAGCACAGGCCCAGAGACAGACCCATGACAGGCGCACGGGATTTTGCCTCGCCTCCACTCACGCTCCCGCCACAACACGTGACGAGTCCTTGTCAAAATAATTATGCATCAGGGAAGATTTTATCCTCAGACATGAAGATGGCTGCTGTGTAGAAACCACGCCTGCATATAGATAACACATAATGGAGGCTTGAACCCTGAATCTGTGCATCAAAGTTTGCTATGTGCATGGCATAAGGGAAATTGAGTGCGTGATATCACAATCATAGAGTCAGTCCAAAGCCCAGCGCTATTCGTGTTAAGAGTGCTAATTGTCTTATAATTAAATAAATGATGCTAATTAATTTGACTACTGCTGAATGTACCAGACTTACATTTTTTTTTCCTCTTCCCCAGGGTCCCCTCGGTCCTTCAGGTCCTCAGGGTCTTGCTGGTGCTCGTGGTATTGTCGGTCTACCTGGACAGCGTGGTGAGAGAGGTTTCCCCGGTCTGCCTGGACCCTCTGTAAGTACACCTCACTTTATTTATTGTCTAGAAACACAGTAATTTTCATGATATAACTGATTGTACATCCTAACAGTATCATAATTAGTTATAAATATCATCTATTTTATGATCAGCTGTTGGGTTATGTAGGTAATTACTAGTTATTTACATATTTATGACAAATATTCCTAAATATGTATAACCTGCAGGATCGTGACGACCAATGGGATGTTTTTAATGTTATTTTAACCTGTCCCCCACTTTGATATTTCATTTTAATTTTCCCTTTTAAAGTCTGAATTAAAGAAAACTGGAGTAGAAAAGTGCTTGTCTAATTATACAGAAGCGTATTGCAAAAAAAAAAAAAAGGAAACTGTTTTTTTTTGAGTAATTTTATTTTTTTTTTTTTTTGCTGTTTATCAGACTAAATTTTTTCTTCTGTTTTTTTTGTCCTAATATTTTTTTTACCCTCTTTCTGTTTTTCTGACTGTTTTTTGTCCTAACTAAGCGAGATACGTCAAAATCCTACAAGAATCTCATACAATCAGATAACGTTAACCACCACGGCTGCTCCAAATCAGCAGATTCTCCAGCTCCTAGATAACTTACGAGGTCGATGAGAGTAAAGCATGTTATTCGTTAAACATAGGGTATGCAAACCCTGAGATGCCTGCGCAAAGTAGACAAACTTGATTAAACTTAACAAGTGGGCCATGTTTGCTTCCAGTAAATGAGCAGAGGGGGATGAAAGCGTCTGTTTTAAATGATCATGATCCCAGAAAAAAGGAAAAACAATCAGTCTGAAATAGAAACAAAAAAAAATGGTCTGAAAAAATTACTCTGAAGAACAAAACAGAAAAAAAAATATTCTAAAAAACTTTTTTTTTTTTGGTGAATGTTATACGCTTCCATAATATTATGAGGAACTATTGACTAAATATTTGGGAATTATTTAGTAGATTAATTGATACTGAAATAGTTCTTGGTGCAGCTCATTACAGTTATAGAATAAATAAAAAGGCAAAAACAAAAAAACAATGAGAGGGGCCAGACCTGCCGATAACTCTAAACTCTAACTAATTGTCTCTGCAAAGTCATTAAAAAGCCGTAAACTCAGATTTATAGCTCTGATTGCATTTAGTATTGGCTGAGAGGAGGGTGAGGAGTGATTGGGCGGATACTGCTGCGTTATTTTGAGTGTTTTTCTTCCACTGCTGCAGAAAGGAAACAGTCTGTTAAAGTGGAGGTTAAATAAATACTGTAAAATTAATGAATCCAAACCTTGAGCACACAACAGTTAACTATCTGTTACTCAGGAGCAGAGTTAGCAGACATGCTCTGGACCATCACTCGGCTGTGTCCTAATTGGATCACAGTCAGATCTCGCCTCACATGAGCCAGGACTTTTCCTCCTGCTGAAGTGATTTTATTTGATGTACAGTGTGACATGTGACAAGACAGCCCCCCCCCCCCCCGCGCTAACAGCTCACACTATTTGATATGTGACACGAGCCACGTCCCCTGCTTTCAGCGTCTCGGTGGGCACGTCCTCACCATCAATTATTCATCAGCAGGCGCGAAAGTGAAGCTAAGACGGACGCACTGATGCCAAATTCAGCCCTGAAAGTTTGAAATTGGGGATATGATTTTAACAACTGAGGTAGAGCAGAAACATGAGGTAGACTTAGTACTTTACTCACAACCAGTCAGATCACATCTTGCTCAGTTGTCATTAGATAAGGACTTATGTACCTTTTTGGTAGAGGGCTGAAATCTTTCTGTAATATTTGAGTCTATCTATGTGGAGAGTGACATACAGGCCTACTACAACGTTTGGTAAAACTTTACATGACGTCTTTCTCTATAACACATTATAAATATATTTATGATGCGTTATAATCACGTTATAGCAATGTATAACTATAGTTATAAACACTCATAAATGATCATAATGGTTTATAGTAATAATTATAACACATTATAAAGCATTTTATCATGACTTACAAGGTCAGGTATTATAATGTGTTATAACTGTTAACAACTCACTGACAATGCCCACATAGATAATGTATTATACATATATTTATGGTGTGTTATAATTTATTTATAAATGTGTATAACTATCAGTTTAAACACTCATTAACTATCACAAGGCTTTATAACACATTATGATACCTGACCTTGTAAGTCATGATAAAATGCTTTATAATGTGTGTTGATTATTGCTATAAAGCATTATGATCATTCATGAGTGTTTATAACTATAGTTATACAGTGCTATAACGTGATTATAATGCATTATAGAGATAGACATAAGTAAAGTGTTACCCAAAGTTCAATTTTATGCAGTTCAATATCATGTGTTTACATATCATCACAGAGCCGATCAGTTTATGGCTTAATGGATTAGTGGTTTGGATCCAGGGTCCATTTAAATGCCCCAAAAACCAGAACTGGTCTTAAAAGTAGCTTGATAGATTTAAGGATGTTTCTGTTGATTTTATATTCTCAAAAAAGTAGTTTTAGTAGCTGTTGATAGAGTTTGGGAGTCTCTCAGTCATGTTGTCTTAACATCTGGTTATTAATGGGAACCATTAAGATCTAGCTGGTCTGGTTTCACATCTGACCATGGACAAAATTTTGATTTTAGAGGTGGGGGGGACACATGTGATTTGAGTACTGTTGAGACATATAGCCTAACAAACAGCATATCTCGCACACACAGTAACAGAGGAGGCAATACAGCAAGAAGGTGGATGGAAGTTCAAACCCGATACAGGGACGTAAATGAAACCTTTGATGAACGTGACGTTACGGAGAGAAAATGAATGCCGCCCTCCTGTAAACATACATCAGCGAATAGCAATGTTCACGGACTGACTCTAATGAGAAACTTGCAGAAAACTAGTCCGGAATATGGAATGGCTGACAGCAGGGATAGCCAATCATACACAAAACACGGCCTTGCTGTAGAGCCAATCAAGGACCTTGTGGGCAGTCCAAACCAAGAGACAACAGTTCGGCCGTTTGGTCCTAGTGCCTGACGTGTATCAGTTCGCTATAGCATAAAGTAACATTGTTCTCAGATGGTTAAAACTGCAGGGGACCAAAACGGGCTTTTGAAAAAGTGGAGGGGACATGTCCCCCACGTCCCCCCCACAAATTACATCCATGTATCTGACAGTTTGGTCTCAGGATTGTTAAGTGTTGCTGACTGGCTGTACATTAACATGAATTTTAATGTCATCGCTCACAGAAGAAACATCTGAAAAGGCCATTACATGCCCGATACATTAGCATAGAGCCAGTCTGTCAATACTCAGCTGTTCAGTTTAGTGTTGCCAAGACATCCATTCACTAGACTGTCAGACTAAACACATGATAACAGCAGTGTGACGGTTCTAGTCGATGTACAATCATTCATGATGTCGTCCAATCAAACATGCACTCAAAGGATGATAATAATACGTTTTGTTCCTCTTCTCAGGGTGAGCCTGGTAAGCAGGGAGCTCCTGGTGGTGCTGGCGACCGCGGCCCCCCTGGACCTGTAGGACCCCCTGGACTCACTGGACCTGCAGGAGAGCCCGGCAGAGAGGTCAGAGAAAGAACAACACACAACACATTTTAGGATTCACATCTTCTACACTGGATTCACTCCAGGATTCACTGCTAGTATCCAAAAACGGATGCACAATAAGCCAAGTCAATTAGAATGCACTGCTATTTATTCCATGTTTACATTTGCATTGTGTGTACGCCTGCATTAGTGATGCGCTCTGTCGGAGTGGGCTTCATTATGCAGCTGATCAGTATTCAGGAGCACACCTGGCTTGGTGGAGATGGGAATTATTAACACTTTAAACTTCATTGTCTTCTGACAGGGTAACCCCGGATCTGATGGACCTCCTGGTAGAGATGGTTCAGCTGGAATCAAGGTGAGAAAGACAAAAAAGAGGTTAAAATCTCAGTGCTGCTTTCGCTCATGTTGACTATTGTGTGTGTGTGTTAGGTCCATTAGCAGTGAGAGTTGTTTAGAGTCGAAGTGAAGTGCTCTTCTCTTCAACAATTAAACTTAAAATTTAGATTAGTATGTGCATTAGTAAAAGTTGTACATCAACCAAATGACCCCTGGTTAAATATTGGTACCATTTGAATTTGCAAACCAAACTATATTGTGCATTTAATGACATGCACACTGCAAAAAAGGGGGGTCTTAAAACAAGATAAAAACACTAAATCTGAGGGAAAAGGTACTAAAAACAAGTGAAATTATCCGTCCATGCTGCAAGATAATTTCACTTGACACGATTTCTTCAAGTAAGATTGTTAAATCTAGAAATAAGCATGTCTACAAATGTATTTGGAAGGCTAAAAGTAAGCCAAAAGGCCTTTTTAAGATCAGATTACTTAAAATGTAACTTTTACAGGCCCAAAAATAAGTTAAATACACCAAATATAACATTAAATAAGTATAAAATGCTGGTGTTTTAAGATCAAGTTACTTTAAATTTAACTTTTACAGGTAAATAAGTTAAATGTACTAAAAATAAGTATACTGTAAGGTAAGGAGAAAATGCTGGTTTTAAGATGAGATAACCTAAAAATCAACTTTTTACAGCCTCAAAATGAGTGAAATATACTAAATATAAGCAATTACATATTTTGTTTTCTTACTTTTAGCAAATTAAGCTGAAGATTAGTTAAACAAAACATAGAAATTTAGAGGGAGAATACCTAGTATTCGTGAAGATTGACTAAACTCTGTCTCAATCCAAGCAGGCTTATCTTGAAACAAGGCTTACTTTCGATGAGACTTTAGTAGAATCATGGAATATCACTTATTTTAACAGTTATTTTCCTCATTTTAAGATTTCCTGCATATTTGAGACAAAAAAAGATAAGGTTGTGCTTGATTTAAGATTAAAGTGTAAAGTTAAAAACTTAAAATAAGAAATTAAGTCTTAAAACAAGAGAAATTATCTAACAGTTGGTAAGAGGCAAATAATTTGTAGTGCACATAGGATGAGCTCTTAGGTGTTTTATCTCAGCTCATCCACTTCACGGCAGACAGCAGTGATCCCTCTGTAAGATACACGCTCAGTTTTCCTGATTTGACTAACTGAGCTGTTCTCTGTGCTTCAGGGCGATCGTGGAAACACTGGTCCTGCTGGTGCTCCTGGTGCTCCAGGCGCCCCTGGTGCTTCCGGCCCAGTTGGCCCCACCGGCAAACAGGGAGACCGAGGAGAGTCTGTGAGTACTGGCTGTAGCGACAGAAGTGAAACGTTTGATGTTGTCTCTTTTAATCACAGAGAGTAGAAGTGACAGTTATCTCTCTCCAGAAAGGTGCAGACATCATTAGAAAAGGTGGATTTTTCACCCTCTGTTTCTTCTGTGTTCCTTTGACAGGGCGCACAAGGACCTGCAGGACCTCCCGGACCTGCTGGAGCCAGAGGAATGCCTGTATGTTTTTGTTGTTTTCAAGATCAGCTTTCACACACGTATTTAGAAATGCACGTACTGTTTTTGATGACCCAAGGCCTGCAAAAACTGAGAGAAAGTTCCCTTAATGAGGTTGTTTACCACCAACTTTCAGGGACCCCAAGGACCCCGCGGTGACAAGGGTGAGGCAGGAGAAAGTGGTGAGAGAGGACAGAAGGGACATAGAGGCTTCACAGGTCTGCAGGGTCTGCCTGGACCTCCAGTAAGTATCCAGAATTCATCTGTATCTCTTTGCACGCAGACCTTCATGTTACACCAGTCAAATGAGTTTTAATGGTCTGTTTTTTTGGAATATTTTACCTGCTGATTTTTCACATCACTTACATACCTCAGATAATAGTACCATGTGTGCAGAACTCCTGATACATACTGGATGTATTCTGTTTAGGGTCAAGCTGGAGACCAGGGTGCTACTGGACCTGCTGGACCTGGTGGACAAAGAGTAAGTGCTGTTAAATTTTGAGAATGGAGAAAATATTTCTTTTTTTGTACAGTTCCTTTAATAGCAAGATTTTCCTCAATGTCTCCATAGGGACCACCTGGACCTGTCGGCCCTGCTGGAAAGGACGGTTCAAACGGTCTGCCAGGACCCATTGGACCCCCTGGACCCCGTGGTCGCAGTGGAGAGACCGGTCCCTCTGTGAGTATACTTGAAAATATCTCTATTTTGATCACTAAAATGCACCTTAGCCTCTAAATGAGATACGCTACTTCCTGCTCAAGCTTAAAAAAGGAAGTTTTTCAATTTAATTATTACTATTTAATATGATATGAAACAGGCTTTATAGATTGTCCTTTCCCTGGCTTGTAAAAAGTGTTGCTAGGTCTCATCTCAAATCATTTGATCATCTTGAGTTTACAGCGTTTTGTCTGAATATGGTCACCTCTGACTCTAAAAAAGGAGAGGGAGAAATAGATTGGGGAAGTCAAAATGCGACCTTTGCCTTGATTGACAGTTACAGCTGAAATATTCACATGCATGTCTTTTTAGAAGCAAGGTACCGGCCACTTTTGGAGACCTCATTTCGATTATATTTAGAGGAAAATGACGTTAGATATAACAATCTAAAAACTCAATAAATACTGATGGTACTCACCAACAAAGAGGAGCTTAATGGAAACTTTCCACCAGCCTTTTGTTCTTACCTTCCTATTGTGGAAAACATTTCTTAGCACTCCCACACCCACACCAGTTTAGCTGCAGCAGTTCAGTTCTCACTTCCTCCACGCTCCCAAGTATGTCTAAAAGAAAACCTTTAAGGAAGTACACTCTTTGCTGTTTTACACATTTTATTCAGTCTTTACAGGAGGATAGATGCTACACTTGTAGTAGGCGAGCTGGATCGGTCACATATTCATGAATTCATAACACCCCCCGGGGTGTGGAAAGGTCCAGAGTCCTTAAATCAAGAGCCTCAGTGTGTTACATTTACACCCTGAAATAACATAACGTGCAGAAGGTGTAAGTCAAGTGCCGGGTGCGAATGACGCACTGAAATCCCAGAGCTTCATTTTTAGTGCAAACCTGTTCACACTTCTGTATTTTGAAAGACATGATATTTCAGTCATGACCTCTTGAGTCGAAGTCAGTGACTTATTTGCATGTATTGAGTGATATTTGGTGGTATGGCTCAGTTCTGAGAGCTTCCTGTCCTTCAGCGTGTTTGTAGGGGGACCTTTCTCCTCGGTTTAATGAGCATACATGAAAATCCAAGTCAGGCAGAGCAGCAAAGACCCCTGAGTGCAAAGCAGAGCAGGTGTAGCGACAATACATATGACCCTGGTGAAATCAGATACAGAATAACAAGGAGGAGCTGAGGTGGAGGTGGGTCCACTAAATCTCCTGCAGAAGAATACTGATGTTAAACCAGAGGACAGGTCACAGCATCTCCAACATATAAAGAAGAGGAGGACAAATGTAACCCTCCATCTTTCTTTCCCACTCAGGGTCCCCCTGGAAATCCCGGCCCCCCTGGTCCTCCTGGTCCCCCCGGCCCTGGCATTGACATGTCCGCCTTCGCTGGTCTGGGTCAGACCGAGAAGTCCCCCGATCCTCTCAGGTACATGAGAGCCGACCAGGCCTCTGGAAACCTCCGTCAGCACGACGCCGAGGTCGATGCCACCCTCAAATCTCTCAACAACCAGATTGAGAACATCCGCAGCCCCGAGGGATCCAAGAAGAACCCAGCCCGCACCTGCAGAGACCTGAAGCTCTGTCACCCTGACTGGAAGAGCGGTGAGTGACAGCAGGGGGAATTGGACAAATTGGAGCGACATGATGGAGAAGAGGAAGCTCGACTGTTTAGGATAAATGTAGCTTGTACAGTATGAGTGTTTGGTTGTGGCTCACTGAGAGCGTTAAACAAAATTGTAATATAAAGTTTAAATGTTTAAAGGCTTTGTAAGCTAGGAAGGGATTTTATTTTGAAATACTGAAGTCTTTGTTTGTTTGTTGTTCTTCAGGAGAGTATTGGATTGACCCCAATCAGGGCTGTACCGTTGATGCAATCAAAGTCTTCTGCAACATGGAGACCGGAGAGTCTTGTGTTCTACCCAAGCCTTCCAGCATCCCTCGCAAGAACTGGTGGTCCAGCAAGAGCAAGGACCGCAAACATGTCTGGTTTGGAGAGACAATGAATGGAGGATATCACGTAAGTGAAATCTTTCTTAACATCTTTACGTGCAAAAAATGAGCTGAAACAAGAACTAACTCCTCTTCTGTTTGTGCTCTATCGGCTAAATGGACATGTAGCTCAAATTGAAGCTTATTTTTTCTTTTTTATTGAAACAAAATTCAACATAAATATATCAATAGTGAAAAGAAAGCATGTAGAATGAAGTGTACTTAAGATGGTACATACAGAGCTCCCCCCACCCATCCATCCCATGAGCTAAGTTTGGTTAAAAAAAAAAATAATAATAATAATAATATATATACACATATATGTATAAACACACATGCATATATAAAAATGATAACTTTGTATTATTACCATTATTTTTTGTGTATTTTTGTGTTCTGCATTTCTTTTCCTTTTATTTTGATTATACTTTAGTTTTTACTCTCATAAAGTCATAAGTATGATGACTCTAATTTCATTATTATTATATTTATTTATACTATTTGTATCTTTTTCAGCACTACTGTTTATGTAAATATTGATCTAAAACTATTTATGATATCTGCACTTTTTAATTTAAATAAAAATATCGTTATAAAAAAAAATCAAAATAAATAAATAAATACATAAAAGTAAAGTCTTATTTCTGAGCTTTTCTGCATAAGTAGAAAAAAAGCATGATAAGAGCAATTTTATCCACTCCAGGAAAGCTTGTTTTTTTAGACAGTTTAATAGATAGATGACTAGAATTAAATTGTCATAGCAGTCCGGCAAAATACAATAAAATACAAAAAATATTGAAGAGACAAGAGAATGAAAAACAAGATATAAACAATATATACACATGCCTTAAATAAAATACCTGAATATGATTAATCTTAAATAGAATACTTAAATAGTACCAATAGGTACATGTGCATATGGTGCGCAATATAGTAAAAGTATAGTAGTATTAGTAGTAGTAGTTTGATTTCAAATTTACTGAAATTACAAGGATAACAGCCCTTCAAAAGTGCTGTTGTTTTAATGAAGCGGAATATTTGTACTTCTTGAGGAGAATATGTTTACAGTGATATTAACCTTTATTCTCACTTCCTCTTCTTCCCCTGCGGCTCAATGCAGTTCAGCTACGGTGACGACAGCCTGGCACCAAACACCGCTGCAATCCAGATGACTTTCCTGAGACTGCTGTCCACCGAGGCCTCTCAGAACCTCACCTACCACTGTAAGAACAGCGTGGCCTACATGGACGCCGCCACAGGCAACCTGAAGAAGGCCGTGCTGCTGCAGGGCTCCAACGACGTGGAGATCAGAGCCGAGGGCAACAGCCGCTTCACCTACAGCGTGATGGAGGATGGCTGCACGGTAAGATCGTGTTAAACAAATCTCATGTGCAGAATGTGACTCTAGAGCTCATGTACTAAATCAAGTGCAGACTAGATTCTACAAAAGAGGATTAGGGCCACAAGAGGAGAAAAAATAATTACAGGAGGGAGCTTTTTTTAATTTCCATTTTGAGATTAAAGTTAAAATTTCCAGATTCGAATCGAAATCTAAAAAAGTCTAAATTTTGACTCTATTCATGTCTGCTTTAATCTCAAAATTTCTACTTTTATCTAAAATTTTAATTTTTTTATCTCGTAATTTTGACATTTTTCATGACGTTTCGACATTTTTAATCTCAAAATTTCGACTTTATTCTTAAAATATCAATATTTAATCTTAAAATTTCGACTTTATTGACATAATTTTGATTTTTTTATTTCGAAATTTTGAATTTAATACCAAAATTTCAATTTGAATCCTGAAATTTCAACTTCAATCTTCTCCCTGTAATAGTTTTTTTCCCTTCACGTGGCCCTTACCCTTTTTCCTAAGATTCAGTACATGAAACACTGTTAAATTGAACAACAAAAAAAAGCTCTTTCCTTTTACGCTTGATGTCTTAGACCATCTCTTTCCCTCCGAGGCCCTCCTACCGTCTGCCATTTTGGAGGAAGTCATAGCTCATTTAACAGCTGTTATGTTTTCTTCCTTTTCGCAGAAACACACGGGACAGTGGGGCAAGACAGTGATTGAATACAGATCGCAGAAGACCTCTCGTCTGCCCATTGTGGACATTGCCCCCATGGATATTGGTGGAGCAGACCAGGAGTTCGGAGTCGAAGTCGGTGCAGTCTGCTTCTTGTAAAAAAAAAAAAAAAAAAAACGAGGGATCCAATAGAGGAGAAAGAAAGAAGTGGAAAATGAAAGAGTACAATAGAGTGAAAGAGGAGCACACGTCAGATAAAGGAGGAGAGAAAGAGTGAAAAAGAAAATCAAGACACTTTTTTTAAATGGGACTTTTTTTCTAAGTAAAAAGTGCTTTTTTTCCAAGTCGAACTCCGTAGGATATCTGCACTGAATGGCACCAGCAACTGTCATCTGTGATTCATCCAGCATTGCCTCTAGTCACCCCCTCTCCTTTCCAACCCCTACGCCCCTTACCCCACTTATGGACACCCAACATTACTTCAAATTCCCCCATTTTTTATTCTCACAGCGACTGCCCCGCCTTCCCCACCCCCTGATGAACAAGAAGGAGGAAGTAGGAAGGGAGTACGGGAGCACACCAGGGAACTAGGAAGAGAAAAATGTGTTGGTGTTATTTATTTATTGTTTAGGTTTGGGTCCCAGGTGTGGTAGGACTGAGTTTGTTGCTAAGTAATAAAAAGCCCACTTACACATATTAAAAAAACAAAAAAACCTTATCCACCCTTTCCTCTCTTACTTCCTCCTCTTCTCACATCACCCCATCTCTCCTGTATCCACTAAAAACATACATATCTCTTTGAAACCAAAAATCTAGCCAACGTAGAGATTGCAGGTGTTCCTATTTCTACCACCACAGTGTGTATCAAAAAGTTACTGTGTATTATAATAAAAATCAATGGTGCTATTGTTGTAAAACAGTCTGTGTTTTTTAACAACCAGATACTCATATGTAGCAGCTTGTATGTGTGTATATATACGTATATGTGCGTATACATATATATACAGGTTCTCAGAGAGGGGATTTCACCCTGGGATGTTGCATTTCAGGATTAAGAAATGTCCCTGCGGAGCCCCGCTCTCTTGCTTCAACACCAAAATGTAAACAAACCTGCCTATGACGAATAACGCAATTCATGCATTTCCAATGTGGAATGATTTTTTTAATTTAATATTCTTTTACTTTTATATCCTAAAGCTACCTCACGCCAAAAAGAGTCACAAATCTAAGATCTAGGGCCTTTCCTTCTGACTCTCCCCTGTATTTTAGGTAATTATCAATATGACCAATATCTTGGTTGTTTAAGCCCAGTCTGCTGCCCAAATTGCTGTGACCTTTGACCCTATCCCTCTGCTCCCCCCTCCCCAACAAGCCCGCTCCCTCCCCTCACACAGCGCATGCCCTCTGCCTCTGCGCACACACTCTCACTCACACACACACTCACTCACATATGAAGAGATCCAGGGTGTGTTTGACTTTGTTGCTCCAGTTCTACAGCCAGTGCAGAGGGTGCGTTTGTGTGAGGTTGTGTATATTTTTTATTATTAATAATAGTATTATTATTAATAATAATAGCATTATTATATTATTATTATGATCATGACTTGTTTTTGTTACGTTTTAATTAATGTAAATTGGAAATAAAAGACAAAACCAAGTAACAGGCTGAAGTTGATTTTTATTCATACCCTCTTTTGTTCTCCCCCATGTTGAAATGTTTGGGGAAATGTTTTTCTACTTTTCCCCAAGAAAAAAAAATCATTCTTAAAAAAGAAAAACAACCACAACTGAACATTTTACTTTGTTTCCAGGCAGCATATTTACCGGGGGAGAAAACACCTCAGATTTCAAGGAAAAGCAGTGGATTGATTGATGAATACTGGGGCTATTTTTAAATATCTTTGTTAATGATGAATTGTGCAAAAACAAAAGTTGTTTGAGGTATCGGTAACAGTCAAATTATGTCCTTTTTTTGTACACTAAAACTTCTTAAATAGCATGGTAGAGTAGAAATAGGAAACACCGCCGACCTTGATCAGCTCAACATGTGAACTGATGTCTTCCTGTATTTCTATTTCTTTATCTTTTGCCTTTTTTTTCAACCTGCAATAGCAATAAAAGGTAGAAGCATTTCAATAAAGAAATTAGAGCAACGTTTCTTTAATTTATTCACACGTTTGTTTTCTTTCCTGTAAAATCACCCCTTGATGGGTGAGTGACATAATGAATGTTTCACACCTACAGACAGAAAAAAGAAAACAAATCAGCTGAAATACAATCACTGATAAATAAAAACAATAGCCTACCATCAGAGAAATCCACACACAGTGGGGATAGTCTGGTTCCTTAAAATCTGAGTTATCAGTTTGTAGCTTTAAGCGCAACAGTAAGGATTGGATTATAATGAAAAAGAAACTGCTCTCTGATGAGGGATTTGTTACAGAAAAAAGGTTTACATTAGGACTGACATTTAATGTGATTCACAAATTCATAAACTTTTTTTTCCGCAGAGCAAATACCCACTTATTTCCGATCTCTTAGCCTCTGGTCTACCAACCAAGACCAGGTTTTCACATCATAACAATATCAACATCATTTAACTCAAAGTTGATCTAGTAATTCTATTTCTATTTCACAGTGCATCTGTATCCCAAATGACAAAGACTGAAATCAACTGCTCTGTAAAACTCCGCAAATAACAACACTTAGCACGTCACAGAACACAGAGTTGTCTAAGTCAAGGTTTCCCTTCAGCCTCCACCATTTTCAAATTGTCATAAAAACAGGGTGTACAACCTTCATGAACACTTACAGTATGAAGTTAACCCTTCATAACCCACTGAGCCGACACAGCAATGACACAAAGTTCACAGTTAGTGTCGATGAAGGCCGCGTCAGACAAGCTAAGCACGATGCTAACATCAGCGTGAAAATATGGCAAACAAAAATACGGCTGTTATGTTGAAGTAAAGCAGCTGTGACATGACCTGGGTCTTGTGATGGGGCATACTTTGCTTGAATCCCAAATACAAAACAAATGTTCAATGAAAAATGGAGCTGTAACAAAGTAAAGTGATGCTAATGCTAGTGGGTACCAGTAGACAACAATTAGCCAACTTAGCATTCAGGGTGTAAACTCCTAGCTAGCCTTAATTTTCATTTCATATAAGTTTATTTTTATTAATTTTATCCTTCCCCATGGTGTTGTATAACAGCTAGCTATATCCTTGCTAACATAGGCATTAAATAGTGTTACACAGCACAAAGGGAAAGGTGTAAACTGAACTAGATGCTAATGCTAGTGGGTACCAGTGGATAGCAGCTAGCCAACTTAGCATTCAGGATCTAAACTCCTAGCTAGCCTCAATTTTTACTTCATATTAATTTAATTTACCAATTGTACCCTTTCCTTCCCCATGGTGTTGCATAACAGCTAGCTATGTCCTTGCTAACATAAGCATTTAACCGTGTTACACAGTAGGCTACAAAGGGAAAGGTGTAAATTGAACTAGAAACGTTCACCTTGAAAGCTGCTGTTAGCTGTTGTCTACCTAACAGGTTGTTGTTTTTCACTGAAATGCTGCCCTGTATAATCCAGAAGCTGAAAAATAGCATAGAATTTTTACATAACCTGTTAACATGACATTAAACCTGGAATACAGCAGAATAAAATGACGCTAGTAGCGTAAAATATGACTGTATTTTGACACACAAGAGAAAATGATCCCAAATTACTGTTGCCTGCCTTTTCAGTCTGTTATTACCCCTCACGTCAATCATAACTCTTTTTCTGCTTTTTTATATTCATGAGTAAAGCCATCAGCTGTCCAAAATGTTGAATAAAAACAATTCGAGACAAGTCTGAAAGGAGGTTTGAACAATTTTGTAAGTTTTGCATTTATAGGGTTTTTTTCAACAACATCCAGATTGAAAAGGTCCTTTTAGAGTCTGAATTTGTGATAGTGGAAGAACATAAGGCCTTTACTAGGAACCAAAGCTTCACTCAGGGAACAATGCTTCCCGTATATTAACATAGTAAATATGATTAGAATGAAATCATATTAAGTGTAAAAGAGGATGTTAATCCAGTCAGTTTTTTTCCATTTATGCCCAAGTAAGATACTCAGTGCAGCTGCAGCTTACACGTCAGAACTGGCATTAATCTCCACATAACAGGCATTGGAACTTTTGACAGAGAAAATTGTTTTATTCATTATAAACTCTTGTTAAACTCTGGTTATTTTATCGAATTAATTATGATACAACCTAAGCAGAAATGGGACATAAAAAATTCTAAAGAGATTAATTAAATGAGGGAATAAAGCTTTTGTGGGAATAAATGATTCTATTAATTATTTTTACAGAAATTTCAGACTCTTAATCAGACTGAGATTTGTCTTTACCAATCATTAAGGGCTGTATGTACTGAGCTGACTGTGTTCCAGTTTATGATTAATGCAGCTTGGACATAAAGAGCTTAAATGATTTCCTGAGAGTAAATTTAGATGAGCAGCTCCTCAATGGCACCACAACAACCGTCTTAGCAAGCATGTATTCTGCAGAGCTTACACAGGACCATTTGAAATCAGAGTAATAAGGCTAAAAATGGAAAAAGCAATGTACAGAAAACATCAAATGAGCACATACAGCCGTGAAAGTAATTAGACGGGGACATACATCCTGAGTTTGTACCCTCTCTGGTAAACCTGATAAACACTCTGGTTGATTGGGGTCTTTTATGTGTTCATTAAGGGTCAGTTGGTCAAGACTTCTAATTAGAGCTTAATAAAAGATAAAACAGACCACAGGATGAGGCGTGATGGTACAAAAAAGAAAAGACACAGGGCTACAGAGGGGTTAAGTACAGCAGTAAAGCTCAAAGGGTTTTCTTTGTTTTATTTCATCCCTTTATCTTCTGCTGCACTTTCCAGTTTTCTCTGTTCGCCCTGTAAACATGGCAGAATTAATCAGCCACTTTTAGTGTTACATGATGAAATGCATGGGAAAAGAAATATCAAGGAAAACATGGTGGCTGCTTAGTAGTAATAAATATGAGAAGTATAGTAATCGCTGAGAAACAGCTGTAAAAGGTGTTTTTCATTTTCTATCGGTATCTCCCACAGTGGGCTTACAGTAAATCCACACAGCATTTCTGAAGTTTAGCAGTGCTTCGACATCAAAAACAGGCTCGGATTATAAGTCACTTTAAATTAAATTCGAGAAGGAGTTCAGAAACCCGTGCTCAGAGTGTCTGTCTCTATGGGGGTCTTGCGTGGGCTGGGCAGACTCTTCAGGTACTCCAAATGCCTGCGGGCCTCCGCTTGGTTCTGCCTCACATAGTACACCACGTACACAATGACCATGAAGAACCACACAAACATGGTCACCAGCATGGCTACGTCTGTGGTTTTCCTCTGCAGGCTGCAGAAATTCACCCCAGAGTCCAACAGCTTTACCAGAGGCTGACCTGCGTGCTCGCCCTGAGACCCCGGGTCCTCCCACCTGCTCCCCTCGCCAAGCCCCCGCACAGAGCTCTCACAAATGATCCCGTTAACTGTCTCGGGCTCCAGGTTCAGAGTCTCCACCAGCTCCTGTAGAGCGCAGTCACAGTGCCAGGGGTTGTGGTAGAGGCGAGTCTTTGCACGAGTGGAGCCGAACTCTTCTCTGCTAGCCTGCCTCAGCTGGTTGTGAGAGAGATCCAGCAGGCGCAGCTCGGGTCCCAGGTGCCGCAGGGCCCCCGAGGCCAGTGAATCGATACGGTTGTGGGACAGGTACAGATCCCGAAGGTGAACCAGGTCACTGAAGGCACTCTCGGGGATATTCCGGATGTAGTTGCGTTCCAGGTGGAGGGACACTGTGTCCGGCGGGATCCCCTCTGGGATCTCCCGCAGATTGGCATCTGAGCACAGCACCGTGGCCGTATCCGAGGCGCACTGACAGCTGTCCGGGCATTGTGGGTAGGCTTGGCCCAACAGGGCAGAGAAAAAGAGCGAGACGCACAGCCATGAAGGAAGAAACACTCCTTTACCTCTCTGACTTCCTCCACAGCTGGTACGTCTCTCCTCACACCAGCCAGTGTACATGGCCTCACCATAGCCCCCTGACACACTCAGGGGCCCAATCAGATGTACACACACCAGTACACAGGAGAATCTACAAGAGAGGAAAAAAAACACAGTTATTCTGTCTCTCCTGGTCTCTTTTTTTTTGAAAATCCTTTATTTACAGTCAAAATGAAAGCTGACAGGTGAGATTATGGTGTTACTGAGCAGGAGGAGAGAAAAGGGTCAGCAAGTAAAGAGATCAACACTGAAATGGGCTTATGTGATGAATACAACCTGACAGCTCCTGTAATATAAAAACATGGATGGGAATCATAATTTCTACGCTGGGAAAACTCATTTTATTTTCACAGTTGTAACTTTGGAGGAAGTTGTCATGACCTGGCTCAGGTGGTCACAACAAAAAGAAAAAGGAGGACACGCACCATGTATAAGCTCCCAAACAGATCTTTATTAATTCAAATTGAACCAAATTAGAATATTAAAGAAATGAGCCGTGTGAATCGGTAAAAATCAGTAGTGTGAGGCATGCATGAGTGGAAGTATGTGTACAAGGTTGTTGAAAAGAGCAAACATAAACTACAACTAAATCAAGCAAAACCAAACCAAACCAAACCAAACTAAGCCAAGCCAAACGAAATCAAACAAAGCCAAGGCAAACCAAACCAAACCAAACCAAACCAAATGAAATCAAACTAAGCCAAGGCAAGTCAAACCAAATTAAACAAAGCCAAACCAAATTAAACAAAGCCAAACCAAAACAAGCTAAACTAAACCAAACCAAGCCAAGCCAAACGAAATTAAACAAAGCCAAGGCAAAGCAAGGCAAGGCAAGGCAAGGCAAGGCAAATCAAACAAAGCCAAGGCAAACCAATCCAAGTCAAACCAAACCAAACTAAGCTAAACCAAACCAAGGCAAGGCAAACCAAACCAAACCAAACCAAGGCAAGGCAAGGCAAACCAAACAAAGTCAAACCAAGTACCTGTAAAGGCAGCCAGGAGAAAAAAAAGAGGGAATTTCAAGTAACTGTGGGAGCTTAAATACCCCCAGCACCCAGGGCCCGGGTATGCATAGTTACTCTGATTGGTGTGCAGAGAGAAACCAACTAAACACACCTCCAACAGCAGCATCACCCTACTGGTGCATCATAGAAGTACTTTAGATGAATCAATTGATTAGTATTTCTGTGCAAAAAGGACATAAATCTTTACTCATGATTACCTCCTGCCTTCCTACTCCATTTTTCTAGTTGTTTTCTCCACCAAGGCAGAAGAAAAGCATCACATTATACCCATCAATACATGTTCATCTCATTTCTCCCTCTATTATTTTTTTCCCATGATGCCTGAGCCTATAAATCACATACTTCATGAAAGGAGGAAGGGACTTGAAAAGAAGGGTGGGATCGATTGTCCGAGTATTGCCTGCTACACTGTTCACAGCCACAGCATCAATCCTGTCTGTGTCCCAGAGTGTCAATAAGTGACAGAGTAGGGGAGAGGGAGAAAACAGCGGGCGTCTGGGTGTTTACACCTGCTCAAAGAGGCAGAGGTTATTTCATAAAAAAGAGAGTCTGCTTTGAATACACCTCTCACTTTTCATTCTTTGCTAACATCACAAGGGTCTACAAATGATCCCTTTTGCTCGACAATCTACCAGACGTTCTTCCAACAAGAACAGTATCACGCTTTTGTCCTGGTACAGTAACTCTTAACACGGTGCTTGAATCTGATTAAATCCTCTTGAATGTGAAGCACTTTGCCCTGTTCTTTATAATACAATCAAAGCTGTCATGCACCTCCAGTCTGCACAGACAGCTCTCTCTCTTTGCAGTGGCCTAGATTTGCTTGCTATGTTTAAATGACGCCTGACAGTCCATGACAGAGATAAGACCCGGTGTTGGCAGAGGCGAGGATGTGTTGCGCCCTCATTGACCTGCTTGTTAAATGTAAATGCATGCAAATCCTCAATTAACAAACATTATCAGCTGATGAATAATTATGAATGGGAATCACAAAGAATAGGGAGACTGCCAAAGTAGATGCTGTTGTTGCAGGAGCTGATATTTACACTTTCAAATTACACCAGCCAGCATTAACATTATGAACACCTGGGCAATCTAATACGATCCAATACAACAGCTGTACTATAACGGGGCTTTTAAATAAGTATTTTTTGTTGACATTACTTTTTTGTACCTTCAATGCCTGACACCACAAATTAAGGCCAGAAAATTCAAATGTTTTTGGAGCTAAAATGTTTATTTAACTTACTACTGAAAACCCAAAATCAAAATGTCCTTAAAATTTAACAAATATATTTATTTATCTTGTTTGATCCATTAGATTTTTTGGTAAACTAATAAACTAAAAGGACATTTTTATCATTTATCAGACTGTATTCAGGTGTTTTTTTTAGTAATTTGTTGATCATATTGATTTGATAGAAGTTTATAAAAGTATGTATCAAATATGATACAAAACGCAGTAAAGGGATAAAACGTTTTTAAAAGGTTTCTGCAATAGTCACGTCTTAAATCCACAGCAGTGTTTTAGGCTTTCAGGTAAAACTACCACTTGGAACTTATCCTTCTACTAATGGTCCTGTTTGTTTCTTTAGCTCTAGAGGAGACTTCAGCCTAGCCTATAGTCTAGTCTAGTCTGATTCACAACCAGCATTAAAACTCCTTACTGAAGCTTTAAAGTGAATTCATGGCGAAGAAAAGAGCCGTTTCCTCTTTAACTCTGGGGTCAACTCAAGTATCATAGCTTCAGTGTTATGAGATTAACCCACACTGAAGACGAAATATGGCAGAGAAGATTTCATTTGGATGTCAAATTGCGTTATTGTGAGTGAGATATGTCAACTGGACTGTCCTCTGTGGTCCTGAGGCAGACAAACCAATGAGAGTGGGAGGAAAAATTTGATTCACATAAGTATCGTAATTTTTTGTTTTACAATTTTTAAATCGATTACATTTTCAAAAGTGGTTTATTTATTTATTTTTAATTCTAATTTAAGAACAAATCTTCCAAACTGACTTACATTTGATGTGTATCTTTTGGAGAAATATGGTTCCTGGAATAGTCAGTAGACAATCATGATCATTCAGCTGTTTCACTGGTGTAAGAAATGCAGACTACAGATAAAGAAAATCGACAATATCGGTAGAATCGCAAGTTAAATCGAATCGGCATCCAAAAAGGTCGGAAAATAATCAAATCGGGAGAAAAGCATAACGTCCCAACCCTACAAACCACCCAAGAAGAAGGACATACCTTTTTTTCTTAGCAAAATTATTAGTAAAGTCAAATAGGCTCTCTAGTACAATCCCAAACTAAGAAAAATCAAGGTTTTAACAGGGAACACGGCAAAAAAAAAAAAACGACCAAATTCAAATAGTTAATGATAAACTAACTTCACCCAGTTAAGAAACCTGGGCTGCAGTGAAACAAATTATGAACCTATCAAAATGCTATTTTATCATAAAAAGAAAATTTTATCCTTGAACACATTTGCAGCATATTTCTACATGGACTACGGTGCTACTTTTCTCCAAAGACAGAAAAAACAACTTACCTGATAAATTTAGTAAAGTTTAGGATCCAGAAAGACGAAGAAGTCTTTGTTTCTTATTCCGTTTGAAGTTTGTCTGTAGACCGGATATCTCCTCTGGGTAAATACACCTGTGAGAGACTTCAGTGAGGAACCGTGGTCGTGGGTCCGTGATCGGTCTGTCCTCTCCAGACGGTTTTATCCCCGACTGTCGAGGGAGAGAGGGTAGTTATAGCAACAAAGATGTGGGGCAAACTCTCTCTTCCTCTCTCTCTCTCTCTGTCAGAGTCTACCACGGGAGGAGGAGGAGGAGGTGTGTCTGTGTCACTCTCTCCTGTCTTTTTCCCCTCGTCCCCACTTTCGATGGCATCAGCGTCAGATTTCTGAGAACACACTGGCCAGTCAGATGAGATAATAACTTCATTACCTGCAGGTGTAATTTGATTCTCGCAGTCTCTTCTTTCAAGATCTCATAATCCTCGGCAGGTATACGGAGAAAAGGAGCGCTGGAAATAAACACATGTACACCCTACACAGATGTCACCTTCAAGGACCTGCGTGGACTTATAAGTGCAAATACACACTTCAAGGAAAACAGAGAGGTAGAATAACATCTCATTCAGTTTTATTTGTTTTTGTTCCATGCTTAGTATTAAAAGTCAACTCTTTGTGGAAAGAGATTAAACTACACCCACACACTGTGTATGAAGCTTCAACATGCATCCACAAACACACCAGAGGTTGGACACAAGGCAGCACTGAGATCAGAGTCTACAGTTTCCTGTAAGGATAATAAATATACAAATACATGGTGCTGAATAAAGGGGAAAATGCTTCATAGTGGTATAACTTTAAAGGGATATTCCAGCGTAAAATCAACACACCGTAACACTGAGTTAGACACCCCCTCAAGAGATGAATGCTGCCGACCGCTTGCTTCTCTAGTAATACCAACTTCAGTAACACAGTGGTCTGAGGGGCCATAAACAAACCTCAACCAAAATGCCACTCTATAGCCACAAATAATGCTCAGAACAGCACCTAACTTCATCAACAGTACATATAGGGTCCTACCCACAGCACTATTCACCTAACACCTTTTTAACTTTGCCTAATTTCTTTAGCAAAGAGACTAAATACAACTCACCTACTCTCTTCCAGCAGTCTATTATGGATTATAGCGGAGTTTTGCAGCTCAAGGTAGAACATTTATGATCATTTCTTCATGGAAATGGGATCAGACCGAGACGCTAAGGCAGAAGAACTTCCGCGTCTGCAGTGCAAAATGATTAATATGGTGGTTATTACTTTAAGGAAATGATAAAGTAATGATCATAAATGTTCTTCCTTGAGCTGTGTCACCCCGCTGTAGTCTGTAATGGACTGGCCTGAGGTCTCGCTACAAACAAGCGGCTGCTGGAGGAGAGTAGGTAACTCGATGTTACAGTGTGTTTGACCCTAAATTAATTTTACACTGGAATATCCCTTTAAGACAAGTGTCCTGTACTGTTTTTGCTTTGCTCTCTAGGGAGATAGAATCAACAGAAGAGCCGTCTGGGAGGAAAGGACAGGTCTGACAGCTGTGATGGCACCTTGTCAGTCTGTCCTGTTTCTATCAACTTGCTAAAAGACCAAGAAAATTTCCACTTCTGACAGATATAATAAGAAATTTTCATTATCTTATCTTTTTCACTCGGCTGATTTTTTGCGAATGTCTTCTTTTGTTTTCTTTTTTTGTTGTTGGATTCAATTAAAAGTACAGCAAGGGTTGCATAAATAAGAGACCATTCAAAAAGTTGCACATTGTCTGTATTTTGAGTCCCTGAGCTGTAAATAAACATAGGATGACAGGTGAGGAGTCTCAATTTAGCAAGAAAACTAAAAAAAAAAAGTAGATGAGTTGAGGGAGGTTGTTATGTAAAGTCTGTTCCGGGATGATCTCAGAGGAAGCGTTTCTGAAACATGTTCGGGCCTGGTAGCATTTTGAAGTTGTTGACAACTCTTGTGGAAAACCTGCAGTTTGGGCATTGTCTGTTTGGTTTGACTAGAATCCTCTAAGGGGGAAAAACTGAATGAACCATACACAAATTTGTAAAGCGATAGAGGCAGTGGAAAAATATCTGACAGCCAGTGGCAGAAATCCACTCCTGCACGACACTGAGTGCACAAAGTTATGATGTTGTCTGTGCTCTGTGGCATGAGGAGAGAAAGGGAGGACAAAAAAAACCACAGACTTCAAGTCCTAGCTGCATGTTTAGTCTGTCTGATGGAGTGAGACGGAGAGGGAGATATAAAAGCAGCAGAGCATTTCTTGTAACCAGCCTGTCATTCTCTTGGGATTGAATCCACTAACAACAGGTCAGGATGGGGGCAGGTGTTCTCTCAGTTGCTGTTTTTTTTTCCAAAGCAAAGCCGACTGGGACCTGCCAGTGCTGGAGTCGTCTAAAAAATTGCTTACGACTTGGAACCAGCGCAACGGTTTGCTTTGTTGCTGTGTTGTTAGAAAACCATCCCTGCTGACAAAACAAAGTATTAGAGAAATATTGCTTTGTGGGTAATTTATGCGACAGGAAAAAGGAGTCAGTGCTGGAAGGTTGACCTGCTTCTGTAGGAGGAGGGGACTAGAGCTTAAAAGAGGCTAAAATAGAAGAAAATAAACAAAAAAGGAGGAAAAGGCTTATGGGGACATGGCAAATTTTAAAATACACTCAGAACATCTTGTGATTTCCTGCGCTCAGCAATCAGCCAAGTGCACTTGATGGAGAATAAGCCTGAAATTGCGCATGCAAGGGTAGAGTGGAGGCTGGAAACTCAAATCAATACCTATTAGGCTACAATAGTTTTTCTCCTCTTCTATAAATATTCTCATAGTGTGTGCAGTTACATGTCTGTGGTAAACACAGCTTCACCATCACCTGCCTCATTCAGCCAGGTGTGATGTGGGAAATCTTCTGCAGCCCCCAAAACAACACAGCAGTGTTTGGCAGTGATTGCAATGAGGAACATGGGACTGCAAAGACTGTCACAAAAAGTGTGCAGATTGAATTGAGACCTTGGCTGAGCACCAGCACAAAGGAGAGCGGGGTAATGACAACAATAAAATGTGTGTGTGTGTGACTAGGACAGTGTGGGAAATAAGATGCAAGAAGAGTAGCTCTCAAGAGCCATTAAAAACAGCCGATAAACACTCTGATAAAAGGGAAACAAGAACTCAGCAGCTTGAACTTGAGACTAGATATAGATTAATGGATAGATTCTGAGCTGCTCTATTACAGATATGTATTATCTGTGTTTAATTGGATTTATAGGAATCCATAATTCACATTTTCTGGAAAGCACAAATACAACATCTCTTTAACAGTGGAAGGTGAAACAAAGACGGCAAAATAGCAGCAAAGACAACCTGGCAAAGGATTTGTCTCGACAATCCACACCACCAACACGAAGCAGTGCAACGTTAACAGCTTTAAGTAATGACACACGAGTTATTTTTTCTCTGCTGTGGTATTTACAGTGATGGAAATAAAATGCACAGCGTTGAAATTAGAAAGCATTATGTTGTGCGGGTAAACGGGGAGGCAGGCCCTGAGGAGGATGGGAAAAGGAAGAAGTAACGAGAGAAGAAATAAAGAAAACCCTATAGCATGTCCCCTTTAACTTTTATAGCAGGAAAATTAACCATGCGCCTTCTCCTACTGGCGGTGACCTCGTCTCGACGAATGTTTGGAAATTTATTTGCTCAGAATTAATCGAGTCTCTTTATTGGCGCTTTGATGTGGAAGCCCCGGGAAGACGCTCGTCTCTTTGTAGTGCTGCAGTTTATGTCAGCGTGCTGGGAATGAAAGGATGAACCAGTGTTCAAGGTGTCTATAGAAATCAACCCCTGAAAAGGAAGGACTGTGGTATTGAGCAGCTTTGAAGGTGGTGCTGCTGCTTCATAAGAGCATTTGCATCATAGTTAAAATGGAGATATAATTGAAGCTAAAGCTAAAATGCTGACAAAATCCAGAATTCACTCCAGCCCCAGTTTTTCCTATTTCATGCACAGCTGTGATAAGCACTTGACTCTGTTTGGTCATTTCGTAGCAACATTTCTTAGAAATGGTTGGCTATTCCTCAATATCAGACTGCTGCTATGAGTTATAGACTGTTGCTATGGATACGGCTTCAATAACTGACTCTCAGGAGTGTTTGTTTATGGCTGGAAAACCATGAGGAGACAAAAACTGAGGAGAAAAGGTGGAAGAGGGAAAAGACACGAAAGCTTTAGGCTATGACAGAGAAATCTGACAGGAATGGAGATAGAGAAGATGAAGTTAAAGGGATATTCCAGCATAAATTTAAGCTATGGCCAAACACACTGTAACACAGTTAGACAGCCCCTTGAAAGAGATGAATGACTGTTTGCTTCTCTCGTTATACCAACTTCAGCAACAACCGCACAATAGCAATACACAGCGGTCTACGTCTCCACGCGCAAACCTCAACCAAAACTCCACTCTATAGCCACAAATAACACTCAGAACATCACCTAACTTCATCAACAGTACATCTAGCCACCAAACATCTTTTTTCTTGCCTAATTTCTTTAGCAAAGAGACCAAACACAACTCACCCACTCTCCTCCAGCAGCCGTTTGTTTGTGGGTGAGCCCTGACGAGTCGATCACCGAGTAAAGCTGAGTTTCGCAGCTCAAGGAAAAACATTTATGAACATTTATGCACTACAGATGCAGTGGTTCCTCTGCCTTAGAGTCTCGGTCTGATTGCATTTCCATGAAGTAATAATCATAAATTTTCTGCTGCACTCAGTGATCAACTTGTTGTGTGTGGAGACGTAGACCACTGCGTATAGCTATCGTTCGGTCGTTGCTAAAATTGGTAAAACTAGAGAAGCAAGCAGTCGGCAACGTTCATCTTTTAAGGGGGTGTCTAACTCTGTTACGGTGTGTTTGACCATTAAAATTTACACTGGAATATCCCTTTAATGTGGTATTGGGTACAGAAGTAAGAAGTGATCAAAGGACATGTTTCCAATCTGCTTTAACAACCTGATGTCTGTACATTAGTCTAAAAAGTTGTACCAAATAACACAGAAGTAGCTGTTTATTTTTTCAGGTTCCTATGCTAATAACTCAAAACTGTTTTATCATCAAAGTGGTCCAGCCAGTAAAGCCCATAATTACTTTGCTTGGGTTAAGTTTTCAGTCAAACTTCTGCATGTTATCCTGTTTAATGAGGATCATCATTTAACCAATCTCAATGAGTTCTGGTCTGTTTATATCAGTGGGAACAGTTGTAACTATTTTAATTTTTAGTGTCACTAGATTCTGAACTTTTTAATAAGTGAATGTGAGTATTCAGGTGGTTTTTTTTGTTACATGTTTTAAGTGTTTTACATGCGTTTTTGAATCAGGCCTTTTGTATTTCCTTTATACTGTTTCTTGTTGTGCTTTTGAGTGAAACAAAATTATTTAACGAAATATTTTATTTCAAAAAAGAGCCAAAACAGAGTCACGTTTACATGAACGGACAGAAGGTAGGGAATAACAAGAGTCGACATAACAATTCAGAGAGGGGCTGTGTTGGAATATGGGTTTTTCAGGGAACTGGTCCAAGGTTATTTGGCTGCCATAAGCATCCCAAACCTGGCACGAAAGAACAAAACATTAGCCCTGACTGAGATCAACAAGCTGCAAGCTAGAAAACTAACACAGTAATCCTCACTCTCCTCCCCTCTCTGAAGATCAACCAGAGAACAAAAAGTGCCGTTGGCCGTCCTCGCTCCCCTCTCTGTCTCTTCAGCTGCTCCCGTTAGCAGGGGACTGGGCGGCGGCCTGCAGGGTCCTGCGGGCCATCTCCAGGGCTCCTTCCTGCGTCTTGTTCCCGCCAATAAACCCAGAGGCATGGACGAAGATACAATCCTTAATCCCACTGAGCTTCGACAGCGCCTCATCACGAACGCCACGCCACTCCTCAAGCAGGGACAGCCTGGGACAGGAAGACAGAAGGGTTACAGATGGACACTGTGATCAGCTGTTCACTTCCTGCTGACACAACCCGACAAAACATTATGTGCTCTGTGAGTCGGTACAACCAGGAAAGCAGAAAATCATACAGTCTGCTCTGAGTTAGAAATACGTTAAATACAAAAAAAAAAGTTTCATATGTACATACATGCAGACATGCTTTTATGGGTTGGTACACACGCCGATGCGTGTGTGTATATGCATGTGTACTTTTGTATATATTTGTACTTGGGTGCTAGTTTTGAATTAAGATCAGAACTTTGTAAACTGATATATGACGCCCTATCTTTCCTCATTTATTTATTTGCCCTCTTTTTTTAGGGGGAGAAGAGAATTGATTGGAGATGTTGAATGTGTGAACTGTAGTTCAACTGAACATGAGTATTTATGTGGACAGGGCTGTGCTGATGAATTTATTTGTGCAGTTACTTTTAATTAGTAGGACACCATTTTTTTTATAGTATGCATTTAGATAAGAACCAGAAAATGGAAAAAAAAAAAAAAACACTCTGGGTGTTATTTATTTATTTATGTATGCACTGATTATTTATTTTTCTTTTACTTTCTCTTACTTTTGGCCTGAATTTATGTGTATGTGTTAGCGTGATTTATGTTTGATCAGAAAATGAATTATTTTACTCTGCGGCACATGAAAATAAAATTAAATATTATGTTTAAAAAAAAGGAGTGCATTAATGGAAAGTAAAGCAGCAATAAGAGGAGGACTGAAGAAAAACGAAAAGCTTAAAAATATAAAATATATAAAATATAAAGATTTTTTCCTTTTCTTCAACTTTTATGACAGTAGACTGAATGTCGACTGAAATACAAACATATTAAGATAGATAGTATTACTGTGTGGAGGTAAGGCTTTAAAAACTTGATTTTAGGAAACAAACTTCCAAATCTAATTTTGAGCTGTTAATGTATCCTTCTAAAGATAGGACGGTGAATTGAGCAGGAAACTCAGAAGAGAGTGGAAGACTACTATTTTTATATTCTAAAATTATCCTGTAAAAAGTGAATCATGTCAGGTGTATAAACAAGTGTCAGCTGCAGCATTTCAAGCCAAAGAAATAACCGTCGCACTGTGGTGAAGACTTGAGAATATGAAGAAAATAATTGATTTCCTTCCTTTTTCCCCTCAGGGCTCTGGACAAAGACCTGAATGACTCTTATCTCTTCCTGTTTCTTGACCTGAAGGCCATGAGCTAAACTCCTGCCCTCCAGGGTAATCTGCTGGAACCCCCACATGCGCACCTCCACCGTAATCAGCTCCTGCAAATAGACCAATAACAGCCCCCTTTTCTTCTTCTCCAATAATGTGGAAAATCACAGATTGGCACCGCAGTTGGACAGCCATAGAATTGGAAATAGAGTCAACAGGCAATCTCACAAAGCGGGACAAAGATTGGCTCTGAAAAGGGTTTACAAGCTGACCTTGACGGAGCGTCACGTCAAAACCGAACGTTGGGAGGCTGAAAATTCATAAAAATGTAGAGCAGCTCATTTACCGCCTGCTGCGTCTATGATACACCTCTGTCCACAGCCTGGCACATCATTCAAAACACATGACCAGCTGTCTTTAGCGTGTGTGTGGATTTGAGACGGCAAACACGTGTCTTTCTCTCTTTGATAGGGTTATCACCTCAGACTGCAGCTCCTCTAAAAGTATTGATATTTGTAGCAACGCTTCAGTCTGATTTAAATCTGATTCCTCACTTCATCGCTCACTGAAATAGACTATAAACGCCGTCCAAACTGGTTAAATCTGTGCAAAAAGCTTCACATTTTCAACCGAAAAGAAGTCAAGCCCATGTCAGGCTCCCATGTCACACGCTTGATGAATCGTGGAGCCATGCTGCTAGCCTGTCAAAAATAAAGAGACACAAGTGTTGGACATGATTTAAGTGTTTCCTTTTGTCTCCTAGTTTAAAGGCTTTATTTCCCTGTCTGCTTCCCTTTGAAAATTTAATAACACCCCCTGTGAAACGTCCTCTAAAACTCCAGTTATCTGGAAGTGAGGTGTGTCACAAGCGCATAAAGTGAAGCTTCTTGTCAAACAATGGGACATGTGCACTGAAACGTGTACATTTTTTTTTATATATCCTCCTGAGTCTTCTCTGTCTGTCATTATCTCAAGTCTACAACATCTTATCCTTATTAAGACTGCCACAGGAGAACCTGGGGAGAAAAGCAGGGCAAACCCCTAATCCCTGTTAAATGAATCAACCGATCGATGGCTCCACAGTATGGCTGGGAAACGAGCTTGGAGAGGAAAGGTCAACAGGGCTGGTAATGAGGGAGAGAGTGGGAGGGGGATGACTCTTGTTACGACAAGCCAGGAAGCGCAGATTCTCGAGATGACCGCTCTAAAAATAAGCTCACAATTAGCAAATTAACTCCACAAGACCTTCACTATACCGTAACAAGACAGACTCTGGGAATTAGTGCCTAATTAGAAAAAAAAATCAGTCCTGATGAGATTTACAGCTGATAGAAGGTCATTAAAGCGTCAAATATTGGCTCCATGTGTTGAGGAGGATTGTCTGCATGGAGCTTTTGTGTTCTTGTTTTATCAAATATGTCAGAAACAGAAGCTTGTAAACATGCAGATGCGTTTAATCCTCTTTAAGCTTGCTGACTCATTGTCAAGGGTGAAAAATCTCTGCTCTGTCCATAATCCAAACTATTAATCTGATCAAATATCTCTGGCCTGCCAAGAGGGGAAATATCAGCAATATGGCTCCTTTTAGAGGAAAATTACACAGTTATTTTGGGCTTATTACTTCCTCACTTCAAGTAAAGTTCCCCTCTTCTCCAAACCAGCTAATTATCACAACTTTTTTCAGAGATGAGAAAATGTGAGAAAAGGGACATAAAAAGGCATAAAAGCTGGACATGGATAGAGAAAAAGATAATAACAGAGCAGTTACAGTCGTGTATTTGTAGACTGAAAAAAAGTGCAGAAAGGGAAGTGATGAAATATTCAAGAAAATAATGTAGAGAAATCAGTAGGAAAATGTACACACTGACTCCTAGTTTTTAATTTTTTTACACCAGTGTTGAAGTATATATATGAAATCATAGCCAGAGGGAAGAGGGAAAGGAAATGGAGTACCGATTTGGGCTGGGCGATAAACCAAAAATTTACAGATATCAAAATTTACGACAATAACCAACGTCACTTTGCCTGTATCAGTATATTCGGTGTCAAAAGAATAAATAAATAAATCAAAAGTTGGTTTTGGATGTGTGTAAGTAGGCTATGGTCTCATGTCCCTTTAAGACGCTGTCCAACGCCAGAGATGTGACTCCATCCCATCCAGTCCGTAACAAAGAGGGAAAGACAGGTGAGGAGATGGACGACGGTTCAAAAGTTGTAGCAGCTGGAACGGCGACTGAAGTTAATGTGAGAGGGGGTGAGCAGTTTGTGGAGTAGTTATTGCCCATTTATCGTTATATATCGTGATACTGATTTGAGGCCATATTGCCCAGCCCTAGTACCAATGATTACAGATTGTACATTATGCAGAGATTTGTATGTCTAAAGAAATCTCTCTTGTCTCTGAACGGAAAAAGTGGAGCAGAATAATAATATTTTTTATCGGGACTTAAATCGTTATCGCCAGAATGGCAAACCTTATCGTGATAAATTTTTTAGCCCATATCGACCATCCCTACTACTCCCCCACTGCATGTGAAGGAATTAAAAAATGCAGCATAGGAATCATCAGTTTCGTTTCCAGTGCTCTCGTTTGCTTTTGTGCGTTATAGAGACACATCACTGTTCATTTCAGCCTGATTCATAAATTACTAACAAGCAATAAAATCATCTTCAAATCAATATTCTTGACAACTTTATTATGTCTTGAGCTGAGTAATGAGCAGGATAATGTATAGTGAACAGGTGGTGACCTGATTATTGATCCTGAATAGGTTGGTGATATGAGAAGGGTTGTGGTATGTCAGGTGTGGAGATGGAAAAATTAGTTTTCAAAAATGCTGATGTTTATTTCGTGATAAATGTATATTTGATATTTAAAATATTTTATCTGAGTAACTAATTTGTCTAAAATCATTAGCATCTATTCTATTGTTAAAAATATCTTGCTAATTTCACAGTTTTGTGTGATGGGGAGTTTTTTTTGTCACTCCTGATGGTGATTTGAAATTGTTTCTCGCCTGTTTGGCAGACCCCTGTCACCTGAGGCTTTCTGAAATTGTGATGTTACTGTTTTCTGACGTTTATGAGTCCAAATGATGAAACCGATAAGACTGTAATACTGATAATGTGGCTTACAACATTTTATCATTCGTTTAAACCCAATCTGGAGATACAGTGGCTACCTGTGACAGCAGCCAATGTGTATCTCCAGAAATAGAGGAACATGTCTCGGTTCAGAACATGCTGCTGTCGTTCGATCTGCAGTAAAACCTGAATGATTCATACTCGAGGAAAAGCTGTTTCCTCTCCTCTCTTACTTTTCCTCGCTCATATTTTTCCTTAGCAATATGATGCAGATAAAAATAGGCCTCCCCCCTGCTTTTCTTCCCCCTCTCCCCCCAGGTGAAGTAGCAGGGACACAGGTGACAACAACACCCCTTTCGCAGAGTCGGCACATGCCCAGTGGGAGGAAGCGGGCCACCTAGAGAAAGCGCCATCTGGAGCTGTGTTTTTTTTCACACCGCATTGTTCTCATCAGGCTCCACACCAACCGCCATTTTAGCATTACATCCAATCTTTGAAGTGCGCCGCCACACCAAACAGGTGCTGGTCTTTTTAAGTTGAAAGCGCCGCCGCCTGATGAGATCCTGCGGCGGGGTGGGAAAAAAAAATCGAGATGAGGGATGAGGGGAAGGAGGGGAGTGTGCAGGGGGTGTGAAAGGTGAGATGGCGAGATATGGGAAAAGGGAGCATAAGGAGGAAGGAATAGGATTAGAGGGAAAAAAGCAAGACAGATGGGGACAAGGGTGATGACACAGAGGAGGGTGATTACAGGATAGACAGAAATACTGTATTTATATATATATAGGAGAAAGAGAGAGAGGTAGAAGACAAATACTAATGGTTGAGTCTAGAGCAAGCAGACCACAGAGAAAGAGGTTAAAACAGAGCGACCAGCAACCAAAGAGCCATTTCAACCTGTCTTAGTGGCAATAATGAGCCATGTCAGCGCACGGCAACAGCATGATGGCTCATAACAAGAGCATGGTGGTCAGGAGAACACATGATGGTGGACTTTTGATGTCTCACACAAGGTTGAAAAAAAAAGGGGGAGCAAGAAAAAGAGGGACAGAGAGATTTTCTAAAAATACAAGACTTTCAAGAAGAAACAATAAAAGATAAATCATGAGATGAATCAATTGAGAAAACGCGGCAAAGGTTTCCTAAAAGGTGATGACTGAAACAAGAAAGAATTTAATTCACAGTCAGCATGCAATATTTGACCAGTTTAGCCAATCATTTAGAGCTGCAGCGAGCCAATACACTGGCAAGCGGTTGGCACATAAGAAGTGATTTGGATTCAGGATCCATTACAAACTGAGGTGCTGTGTAAAACTTTCAGAGCTACTTCTACTACAGAGTGGAAATGGAGCTGGACTTGCTGATAAGCTGGCTATTTCCACCGCTGGTCAACACTGTGTGTAACTATCAAGTGGTCGCTGAAAGAACAGCAGCTAATGTCCGGGAAGGGCGCTGACCATGGTCCTGATGTGCAGCTCAAAGCTCCGGCCAAACAGGCTCAACATTCATGTGAGGTCACTTGCTAAAAAATGCATACTGCTGCTATTGTGAATGTGTTTACAGACACTTCTGATGGAAATGTGAAGTGTGAGTGTGAGGCGAAGGCTTGTGTTTACGTCCGTCATCATGGCAACCCAGCTGACTCCAAGGCCGCTGCATCTCTTTGATGAAAAGAGCTTCTTCTGTGTTTTGTTTGGAGGAGCAACAATGCTTTCTTTGTCATTGTCTCCGTGTGATAATAAAAAGTGTCACATCACAGTGAAATGCTTCAGCTGTTCACGCTACAAACGCTACACAACTTTCATTGTTCATGAGAACCTTTATTCCTGCATCCTTATTACACAAGAGGTAAGAGCAGTATATGGATAAGAGCAGCTAGTCTGCATTGCACGGGTCAAGCCACCGAGCTGAACCACTGAACTGCAGTGTTTTAGCTAAAGGCTTTTTCCTGCGATCAGTTAGCTTGAACTGAATATCCTGACAAAGTTGAAAGGTACAAACTGTGGCGATAAAGGATCCTCTCAATATTACTGAATGATATCAGTAAAAGATAATTTACCACAGACAGCAACACTCTTTTCTTTAACTGAGTGTAACTTTGCTCGATGAATCAGGAAGCTTAATTTGACTGTATGGCCATCCGTGAAAAAGGATTTTATGCTCTTCCTTTAAAATGTTTATTATCCCTGTCACATGAACTGTAAACTAAACAGATCTCACTGCACACAGGGAAACACTGGAGAATGAGCCACTACTCGCTACTCTCCGCCCTTCAATTTTCTTCCCTCGTGCATCTTGATGAGTGGAGAAGACGGCCTTGATGGTTAATATTATGTTCTTTAAAATCCCACGATCACTTCTTATTTCAGGTGTGAGGTATGGTAAGGGCATTTTTAAAGAAATGAAAAAATATTGTTTGGATGGAGGAATCTTTGAGTTTTGTTTAGTTTTTGACTGTTTCGTCATTAATTAGGAAACTGTTATATAGAAGAACACTTAAAATAGTTCCCTTCATTTCTTTATTTAGTGAAAATAAGCTTTACAATGCCTGATTCCTTATTGTCAACAACTCATGATTATCTCGTCAACTTCTGTTAGCGAATAGGGAAAACATACAACACAGTTGAGGGGCAGCTGCTCTCTGTTGTTTTAATCAGTGACAAGAGGACATAAATAAGAACTCATACACTTATTTGTTTAGCATATCATGGTTATAGAGGATGATATAAAGGTCAGTGAGAGATTCATAAGGGTCTACGTTTTTTATGAATTCAGATATTTTCATAGAGAGAAATCTGAACCACTTATTGAATAGGGGTGGGGCCGATCCGATCCAGTATCGGGTTCCAATACCAACATAATTCATGGATCGGAAATTTCCAATCCAACAGTCATGTCTTTGCTTTAACTTTGTCTGAAATGGCTGTACAAGTGATTCTTGCCAGTCAGTTTATTACATCCTCACGCCTCTGTTCAGGAAATCATACGTACATTAACTTGCTAACTTAAGAGGAGTTTATTACAGCCTTATATAAAATAAACAATAATGATAATAATGATGGTAAAGCTAACAGAGCTCCGGTATCAGAGAGTATCAGTATCAGCAGATATTCAAATTCAGGAATCGAGATCAGGTTGGATGTGAAAAATGTGAATCAGTGCATCCCTATTACTAAACCCATCCTTCATAAGACTTTTATTCTCTACAGCTCAGAAAAGCTGCCATTACTCCATGTTAATCTGTGACCAATAGAGTATTTAAAAATACCTGCCAATAGCTGAAGTCTACTCAGTATGAGGTGAAATATTAAACGGAAATAATTTTAAGTACAATAACCGAGCAGAAAGGAGGACAAAGCCACAGTGGGACATGAAGATTGTTTGTTTTCCCTGGCTATACATTGACCATGTGTGCTGCATGCTGGGATTTGCATGCAAGCAACACACCAACGAAAGAAGCCCGGTGGGGATGCTGATGACGGTACTAAAGACGTATTGTGAGCTCCAGTTCAAGAGGCTCCTCAGGTAAACAATCTTCCTCCAGAGGTAACCAACACAGACTTTAGAGATGTTAATCATCTGACAAATTCACAAAGACGGCCTTTGTCTTGTCATTATTTAGGGAGTGCAGGAAAAAAGACACCAAGACAGAGATGATTTAATGAGTATGGATGAGGCAACTTAGGTGTAAGAGCTGAGCTTGTGGGTTTGAGGGACCTCATTACTGCTAAAAGATGCTGAAAGGCTTCTAAAAACAGCAGCGGAGAGTGTGCGCACAACGAGGATAGGAAAGACAATTTAAAGTGATTCAGAGTGCAGAGGCCATAAAGAGTACAAAACCCTCAAAAAAATAGGAGAAGGAAAAATATATAAGCCTATCCTGAGAAAAATAAATAGCTTTTATCGATGGAATAAAACTTTGAGAAATTAAATACCTTTAACTTTTATAGAAATGCTGACTCACTACATGGTTTGTAATAGTTTAAAAATGTTAAGAACTCAGAGTGTCCAAGAATTTGAGCCTTGAAACTAAATTAACAGACTTTTGGGAAGTTAAACACTGTCAGACAACACATTTCATTTTTTATACAGAGTAAACCTGACACTATGAACACTAAAAGTAAAGTTTGAGCTCTGTGTACAAGTAACTGAGATGGCCACAGCCTCGAAAAGAGTCAGAAAAAGATGACTACAAAACTTTGGAGAACGTCACAGGTGTGGACTGAGGCTGGTGTCAGTGTATCCAAGACAACCATGCATGGACGTCATCAAGAAGGAAGATATCAAAATACTTCTGAAAACACCAGAAGCCTCTTACCTCTTAGTTCTGAGGTCCAAAGTTTGAATCTCAGATGAAAATAAATTCAGCATTTTATTTGTAAATCAAGGTCTTTAAGTCTGTAGGAGAATTTTAGAGTCTGATTTCCACTTTGAAGCAGGTCTTATCATCTGCCCACAGCGCCAAAACTACCAAATGTTTGCAGATGATGATGCTGCTGTGTTTGGACTGACCTGACCTCTCCTGTTTTGTAGTGTTGTGTCTTTCATGAATGATTCATTCAATCTTGAACGTACTGACCGAATCACTTCCTCAAGTGTTTTGTTCCTTCCCAAACAAGTAAAACCCGCAGTTTGAGAAATGCGTGACTGTCTGATCCTATCATGGCGGAAATTTGCGAGGGAACGGTGCATGTTCGGTGTGAATTCCTCACTGAATGTACTGTGGGGTAAATGTTCGGTGAACAAATCACTCACTGAGCCCAATTTACCGAGTAGATAAATAGCATACCATTGGACAGGACACTTAAAACATCATGATTTGTAAACAACTTCATTTTTACAAACTTGCAACACAGCCAAACACTCTCGTCTCATGGTCCGAGAAGCTGTGATCTGAACTGAATCCTGAAACGTTTATCTGTGTATCAGGTCAGGAAGTCAGAGTCGCAGGCTTCTCCTGACAAGCGCTGAATGATTCAGTGAACGAATCTTTTTAGTGAACTTCTTTTAGTGATTTAGTACATCTAAAAGAACTGCGGTGCCCATTTTGAGCAGGTTCAGGGAGCAGAAATAAGCAGCAGACTTTTGCCTTGATAAGTGATGTGAGATGATTACTTCTGAACGCAGGAGCCTCTAAACCATTCATTCTGAGTGCTTTTATACTTATTAAATAGGACTGACAACACACCTGCTCTTGCTGCATCCCTGCCTGTTTGCTGTATTTGAGTGGAGGGTGCATTTGCATGGAGAACACAAAAGAAACATCTAAGTGAGAAGTGTGGGCATGGATACAAAGGCTCAGGTGTCTCCGTCCGAGTGTTCGGTCTGTTTACATCCTTTTGAACCCCTAAGTGAGCAGCTTGAGACACAACAGCTGCTTTAACTAAATGATCATCCTCACCCTCCAAAACAAGACATCTATCCGCCCAGGAGCTACTTCCTCTCTCTCTGGATGACACATCAGCCCTCCCTGAGTGGCTGTCAAATGGTCCGATGAGCGCGAAAGTTAAATCACACACCGAGGTTGTTCTCAGCTCGACTCAATTCAGCACATCTGGGAGACTCTGAGAGATCTGCGCCTGTCAGTGTGTTTACCTCCGAGGTCTAAAAGAATCCAGTCTGGGGGATTTTCCTGTGTGTGAGTCAGTGTCACATCATCTCTGCAAGTTCTTCCTGTTTGGTTTCTCTAAAAGTAGCTCATGCAAGGTGCTCCATATTGTACATGAAATCACAAACCGAACCTTAGGACGCCAAACTACGTAACCTTAACATTACCTATCAAATAAAACAGAAATAAAAAACAGGCTTTGTGACTCTGTACCTGTTCTGGAAGGTGTTGAGTCCAGCCGGGACACACTGGACCCTCCACTGTCCGTTCTGGTCGGGGTAAAGGATAAACTTGATTGGTGTCTCTACTTGGAGCTCCTTCTCCAGAGAGAAGAGATGCTCCTTCCAGGGACAGCCGCCCTGGGAGAACAACACCACCTCCCCACTGGGATCCACCTGGAAACAGAGAGAGGAAAGTGTGTGTCGCTAATTGGCGAGATAAAGGTTAGACACGACGAGTGGAGGCGTGCGAGTTTTAATAGAGAGGACACAGTTGCAGTTTTCTGATAAATGAGGACAAGAAGGAGAGAGTAATTGCTTGATCTTTAAGTTTAATAATCAAGACTCTTATAACAATTGAAACTATCGGGGTGTGTGATAATAATAAACTTGGGTATAGATTAGATGGATAAAAAGAGTGTGTTTTGCAAAAAAAGTTACTCACAAAAACAAAAAAATTTAGCTCAAAAAGTTAAAAATTAAATCCCTAATACCACAAATCTTTAACCTGTTTCAAAACCAAAAGTGACACTTTCAGAAGGAAAGTTAGAGGTTATTTTCACGCCAACAAAACACTCAGTTGGTGTCACTTTCCTTAAATTTGCAAGTGCAATTTAAAATGTAAGATGATTTTTTGTCGACTTGCAACTTCACAGGATTATTTGTTCTTGTACTACGGTGGCCCTGAGGTGCAAAACACAACGGCAAATCAGAAAACGCAACACAAAAAAGAGAAAACACAATGGTTAATGTCATTTTGTTTTCTTATTTGTCATTGTGTTTTGCACCTCAGGGCCACCGTAGCTCTCTCTTTACAGTCACTATCCTGTTCATTCTTCGAGTGAAAAATAAAGACTTAATAGGCCACTGACTGCGTATGAAAATGGATGAAGTGCCACCATCCTCCGATTGTAACAAATGAAGCTTAATTACCTCCTCGGAGTGCGCTGACATAATGTGCTGGTAGAACCAAAACACGGTTAGAAGAAGTAATCTGGTCGGTGGAGTTGAGGAATAGATTTCACATCCTGTCAGCAAATCAGAGCTCTTACAGCTAAAACAGGAGATAATCCCTCAGATAAACAGGTTATTGTGTTGATTTGGATGTACTTTGTCAATCAGATAAATAATACTGCAAGATTGATAGACACCATGTTTAACATCCTGTCTCAATTGTTTAGAGGAGGCGGGCTTTATGAGCTCTATTTAGTTTTGCTTGTCATTTAGGACAATAGTTGTCGTTTTTCTTTTTCTTCTGGTAGATTTGTGAATATATTGATAATATCTGTTCTTAAATTTATATTGTTTTTTATTAGGTTTTGCTTGTTAATCTTTAAATTGCACTGTAATTGATTGTAATTTTTAATTGACCCCACAAAGACTAGTCCGGCAGTGACTAATGGTATACATCAATAATAGTAAGAAAGCTAATTATGATATTATCGTTCATCATGTCCCTTAAGACATTAGTGTCTGAGAGCTGAATAGCTCCTATTATATATCCTATTCTAACCTGCCCAAGAAAAGCCCCTGAAAATGACACAGGTTACATGATTTTGGCTAAAAACTTCATAATGACTTTAAGTAGTAAAAAAATACATTAGAGTTGGACTTTAAGGTAGAAAAATTATTTCGTCATTCAGAACTCAGGTGCTGTGTTAAAATTTACAGGTTAGAATATATAATAAAATTTCCTGTTGAGTGTTTTTGTCCATTTTTTTTACCTGATTCCGCTCTTTAATAGCCTTCTCTACCACCTCTCGAGCCGGTAACCAGGACGACCGATAGAAATCCAGACGATCCAGGAACTCCTCCCCGACCATCTTCATGGCCTTTTTGAAACCTTCCTGGGGAAGACAAGGTACACATGCATGCTGCTGTCAACTGACACACAGATTCACATTGATTCACAAAATAATAAGTACATTTCTCAAGCTCCTTTAATCTCATTTAGGCTGTTTGAATGTGAATTCAGTGCGTCAAAAACAAGGAGGGATTCTGTGTGCTGCATAAACTGAGGGCAATCAAGTCTTTTAGCGATCATGACCTTAATAATCTCTGCTCCACATTCTTTTTCAGCTTTCTGTACAAACCCTGAACTGACCTCACCAGCAGAGTTTTAAGAGCATGATGAGGGAAAAACATGAGCGCCTAAATATCTAACAAACACCAGCACACATGCATGTTACGCATTTTAGGTCCAAGTTAAATCTGTTGCATCTGATTGAGGCAGGGACAGTGTCTGAAATTTTAAACATGTGTATGTAGAGGATGAAATCCACTCAGGTTTTTTCAATTATTATCAACAGCCAGTGCAGAGAGATCCCTGGGTTAGTCTAGCTTCAAGCCCCCTGTTAAATAGTTTTTAATAAAAGCCTTGGTGGTATCTGAGGCCCCGTTCGCACGCCAAGGTTGTGAAGAAATCGAGAGAAAGTTCCTGGACAAGAATTACAATTCATGTGAGGTGAAATGTGAGAAAACAAATAAGTGAGCTCCTCCGCAGAGACAAACCCGACAGTGGAAGAAAAAAAAAAGAGCTTGTAAACATTCAGTGTATGCAGAGCTCGCCTGCAGGTGTCTCATGAGAGTCTGCAGAAAACAGGAGCTGTTTCCCTGCAGGATTTCCCCTCCTGAACTAATTAGAGACAAGAAAGCCACACCAGGTCACCGCTGGACTTCTGCTGTTTTTCTGAGTGATTCTTAAAAATGACCCGATACTGGGAGGGCCTGTTCAGCTCGGTGGTTAAAGCATGGTGCGAATAAACAGCGGCTATAATCCTCATCATAGTGGCCATTAGGGACGGGCGATCTGGGCTGAAAAATCTATCACGATAAGATTTGCCATTCTGGCGATAACGATAAAAGTCCTAATAAAAAATATTGAATCCCAATCTACCATATTTTTCGGACTATGAAGTGAACGTAAAATCCTTAAATTTCCTCAAAAATTGACACTGTGCCTTATAATTCAGCGTGCTTTATGTATGATTACTTGTTGTGCTTACTGACCAATTTTATGTGGTACAATAGGCTCAAAAATCTGCTCAGAAACATCTCCTTCATTACCTTCAGCCATGTTTGTTTGTTATTCTACTATGTGTGGGCTATGGCTGCGAGTTCGTCACTTGCGCTTACGTCATCAACTTGCATTTATCGTAGTTATCATGAGATGGCAAATATTTATCACAGAGGATTTTTTTCTGATGATATATCGTGAATGATAATTTATCGCCCATCTCTAGTGGCCATGAATTTGATTCCTCACTCTCACCCCAACAGTTGAAGAACAAATCATAATCAAAGGCGTCGATCATTCCTCAAACTACAGACCGATCAATTACGAGTAGATCACAAGAAAATCGGTTTCTTTTTCAGTTTCATGACACTGAATTAAGCCAGAGTAAAGCTAGAGCTTAACTCACTGGAATTAGTGTTCTGTGTTGTGGATCTGGGCTTGTGTGTTAGTGAGCGCTCTGTCGATAAGTGGATCTATGTCTTCTGCCAGCAGGTAGAGAGTGGTAAACAGCTGAAGAGGTGGAACTGTTATTTAGGAGATAATTGGACGGGTTGGTCTGCATCTTAGCTGACAGAGGTGGTCACCAGCTTGACTACTGCCTTTTATACAGTCTATGGTAAAGAGACATAGAGGCTGAACCAAATGGGTGAATCCCAGAACCAGCTGAATGATCACAACATGAAGAGGTAAATCAATAAAAAGCACGCAAGGCACATGACCAACACGCAAAACGAACTCTCCACCAGACTCTCTGTCAACATGCTGCAGAGGTTCAGAAAGCGGCGGCTGTTTCTTTTTTACATGATGTTGCCAAAAGCTTCCCTCCAGGTTTCCCACAGTGGAAAAACCTCTCTGTTAAATATCAAGGGGTAAGAAAACAGAAGGGTCAGGGCTTACCCATGCTCAGTGAGTCATCAACTAAAAGGTTAACTGAGTCATCATTCTGTCATTGTTACTTTGCTCTTTAATAGAGCATTTCCAAAAAGGATATTTATCTGAATTAGTTTGTACCGATGTGATTTGAGGTTGAAAGATCTCTTAGTATAAAGGTTTTATATCTTTTCAGGACCATATTGAAATAAAGCCAAAACCAAAAAGGTTGAATCAAAGAATTAATCAGCGACTACGTCATTTTTGGACGATAAACTAAACAGCTAGTACCAGCATAACAAGTGAGTAAAAATCATCACAATAATCATTTTAACTGCAGACGCGGTAGTTCTTCTGCCTTAGCGTCTCAGTCTGATTGCATTTCCATGAACTAATAATCATAAATGTTCTTCCTTGAGCTGCGAAACTCCACTGCACTTGGCGATCAACTAGTCGGGGTTCCCCGACAAACAACTGCTGGAGGAGAGTGGAAGCAGATGTTTGATGGCTAGTACTATGGCTGGGACCCTATATGTACTGTTGATAAAGTTAGGTGCTGTTCTGAGCATTATTTGTGGATATAGAGTGACTTTTTGGTTGAGGTTTGCGCGTGAAGACCTAAACCGCTGTGTATTGCTGATGAGCGGTCGTTCATGAAGTTGGTATAACTAGAGAAGCAATCAGTCTGCAACATTCATCTCTCGAGCGGGTGTCTAACTCGGTGTTACGGTGTGTTTGACCCTAACTTAAATTTACGTTGGATTAGCCCTTTAATCAAACTAAACAGCTTGTACCAGCCTCACTGGTTGCGCTTTTTGTATACTTTGTCTGGTTGATGTGTTTGGGTGATGGTTGGACTGATAACAACATGAAATCATTTCTGAGACGTCTGCTTGACCTTTGGGAATAAACAAACAATTTATTCATCAATATCAAAATGAGCGGTCATTTTTTAGCCTCAGGAAGATAAAAAGATTATCATTTGTAATGTTTTTGTTTTGTTTTGTTCGTTAATTTATTTCTTCTCTGTTATACATGCTCAACAGTCGCCGAAAGAAACCTCTGTGCGTACTAATTTTATATGTTCAGATTAAATTAGATAGAACTCTATGGATCCTTTTGGGAAGATTTCCTCAGGGAAATTAAAATAAATAAAAATGTAGATACAAATGGAGCATAATAATAATGAGAAAATAATAAGGCATCCATATATTTTATATTTTGTGTTCCTAATAAACAGAGTAATACTAAAGGTAGAACTTCCATCCCACTAATGTGAAAACAATCACTGATAAATAGAGGGGCATCATGGTTGTAAATCCTGCTGCAGCTCAGTTGTTCGCACATAGAAAAGGTTCAGTTAGCGTGCTTTAGCCTCCAGTGTCAGGATGTATACTTTCCTTCAGACAACCTGACGCCTCACCTTCCTCACACCTTCTTCCAATCACAGGAGGTGTGAGCTACACCTTGTGATGCTGATATTCAGTGGGTGATGTCACCTCCGCACATGACCTAAATGTTTTCCAAATGGGACATAAACTACAAATCAACATCAGTGTCAGTGAATCTGTCAGGTCTTTTCATGATTACGTGATTTGTTTGTGTTAACTGCAAGTATTTTTCTCAACAGTCTCATCAATTCCTCAATATCTGGTTTTGTCCAAAATCTGGTGGTAGTTTACTGTCACGAAAAAGTAGAGAAACTCACATTTTTCAAGCTGTTAGAAGAGAATTAAGATTTGAGATTGAGTGTTCAACTGGAATGATTAATGCTGATCCTGGCCGGAATCTCAATCACACTCTCAAACTGATGTGGTTACGCACTCAAGCTGTTCATTAACCTTTGTTATCAATCAAGCCTTGACACAAACATGTCTGAAAGCAAGAGCAGCGGGTCAGCCTCTGATGACAATGACGCGCATAAAAAGGGAGATACTGCAATAATGTAAAATGGTTTGGCGAGATGACCTTTAATGAAATTAAATTCTTGTAGTGTTTAAATACATGCTGCTAATATAGATTTTTTTTAAATGTTTTCCATGTCAGAGTTATGTGAAATGTTAAAATAAAGCCAGGTGTTTTTTTGTGATCATAATCTCATGTGGAAGACAAAATGAGCCAAAAGGTAAAGGGCACCACTTTGTCCACAGGAGGGCGCCAAAATCAACCAAAAATACAAAGTCACAGAAACTCTAACTATGTGTTTAAGTATCTGAGTGTTTCTTGGCTTGACTTAATGTGAAAAAAAAACTTTTTAGAAATATCCTTCATTAGTGTGTATTTCTGAGAGAAGCCCCTGGCCAAAGAGGAGGATTAAAGTTAAAGAAAAGTGTGAATTTCTGTGTTTATGTGGCTATGATGGTTTCTTCATCTCACCAGTTATTAAAACTAAAAAATGGGATTGGTTCATGGAAAGTGGTTCAAGAACCAGCTCTCAAAATAATCCTTTTTTTGCCAAACTCGACCCTGGAGTTAATTAGGGAAATTATCTTTAACCTTTCAGACATTTTTTTTTCATTCACAGTTGCAAAGTACGTTATGGTCTTTACAAACCAAATATACACAATACAAAATCAAATATAATTTACAAACATGAACCGTCACTCCTCCTCTCTGTCTGATATACAACAGTCATGCGGCAGCAGACTAGGCGCTGTTCATGCACGCTCACACATGCCTCCTCACCTCGGTGTCCTGACTCTTGCTGTTCCAACGTGGGTTCAGGTGGCCCACACGTGAGCTCAGCGTGGTGGAGACGGAGTAGCGGGCCTCCCCGTCGCACTGCGAGATGCCGTTGTCTACAGCATCCACCTCCTCCACGAAGTTCTCATACAGCTGTACGAAAGAAAGAAAACATGTGACAGGGGAGGGCAATACTGGAATGACATGAGACGAAATGTGCCGCTGATCAAGACACGGAAGTTAAGTTAGATGAGCGATTGACTTTGACAACATTATTCTGATTGAAGTCTATGTAGTCAGAGGGCAGTTAGAGAAAGCTTAAGTGAAAAACTGGATTATTAAACCAAATAGACAAGAAAAACTGCAGCTTTTCTACACTGGAAAAGTTCTGAACTGAAGTGGGAGAGTGGAGAAGTTGAGTCTTTTTCTAGTGCTGAGAAAATCCTAAGTACAGTAGAAGGTCAATCACCAAAGAGTTGACATTTAACAAGTAGCTTACAAGTGGAACGAAGTTTTGGGGGAAAAGATGGAGGGCGAGTTTGGCTGAACTTCGAGAAGACGGAGACATCTATATATTTAAAATCCCCAGCCATTAACAAAAGGATTACATGGGTTTTAAACAGATGGACACACTGAGAGGTCAGAGATAGAGCCGGCTAACAAAGGGCTAATGATTCAAGTCCCCTAGGTTTAAGTAGGTTGTGTGTCCCTGAATGTCAAAATGTTTCGGTTGCTGACACTTCCGGCTGATCTGGATGTCTGCTTTAAATATAACTGCAGAGGAACATTTCCACAGTCCTGTTTTTCTGCTTTTATGTCTCATCACATTTCACAGCCAACTGTCTGAAAAAAAAAAAAAGCAAAAAGCAAAAATGAATTTGGGCTGGGTAAGAAAACGATAGTGATATATATTTAAAATTAGTTTCCCTCAATATCGAGAAGAAACATGGTCGATATGCTTTTTGATAGTCGGCATTTTGCCATGTTTTGGTAAACTACATGCATAGCCAATGAAAAAGGGAGTTGCTTTGGGTCTGCGCCGAGCTGAACCAATCATGTGCTGAATTAGAACCAAAAGCAAAGAACTGCGTAGTAGCAGGCTGCAGCTACACACAACCACAGCGCTTCCAAGAAAATAAGTGCTACCCCCGACAGAAATGACGATGAAGGTATTTTGTTTTTTTTAAGTTGGACATGAAGCAGAAAAATGTGCGCTGCAAATTATGTCGAGTACATGTATCTCAAAGACGGGGAATAACTCTAATCTTTTTCAACACCTGAAGCGGTGTCGCACAATGCAAACGTTTATAAAACCCCGAGTGGAGCAAGGAGCCCATGGCGCCTGTGCAGCCGAAACAGCCGACCATTCTGCAGCACCTTTTTGACAAAACGTCAAAGAGACACAAAGACCTCACAGATGCAGTAGTTTACTGTATTGCAAAAGACATGCTACCAATAAACATTGTTCAATTTCATTTTTTATATCGTGATAAATATCGATATTGACTGATATGAAAAAATATACCGTGATAAACTTTTTCCCATATCGCCCAGCCCTAATTTAAAGATGAATAAATGTCCAGTATTGTTAATAGTGATAATGAGGTGCAGCACTGATTGTCTGCCTGAGTGTTGTCTGAAGTAGGAGGGTACAGCCAAGTGCAGACAGATGCAAACACCAATATGGTGAGCGCACCAGAAGAACCCACGCCAAATCTGAATGTTATTCCTATTTTCTTGCCTTTCATGTGTGAATAAACTCTGCAACACCAAAGTAGCACAGAAGGAAGGAAGCTAAACTGGTCTTGCTTGCATACCTATGCAACTCATTCCTGTTGTTACGGTATGTCACCACAGGAGCCAATTTAAGAGACTGTGTCCCAGGTTACAGAAACAATGCAGCGTTTTTTTTCACTTGCACACTCTCAGGGTTGCTGGGCTGCAGTTCATACTGATTAGCACTTTATAAAACACCCTCTGCCAACAGTCGGGTAAATGCAAAACAAGACAGTTATTAAGAACAGTCCATTTAGCATTTTGATAATGAGTAAAATCCTGATTAAAATGTAGTCAGTTATACAATGTCTGGTCTGAATTGCGAAAGGTTGAAGTGCGAGTATGAGCTCAGCACGTAGGTAATAATTTATAAATCAATGCTGGAAAGAAAGCTTTTTCATAATTATAACCTTCCTTTACACACAAGTACTCTAATGGAAAATCCATCACATGTTCCATCTTTTCACAGCAGAAGACATAAATACGCTGTGTTAGCAGTGAAAAATCACCAAACATGACCAGTATCTTCTAAATTCAACTTTTCCCTCTCCCTGGTTTGAGATGAAGTAATCCACTTTTTCTGGTGTGCACCCTTTTCTGCTTTGAGGTAGGTGCAAAAGACACCAAGGACGAGGTCCAACCCCAGCTATGTGAGTGAGGTGAGGGGGAAACCATCTGTTTCCACTGAAGCGTTTGTGTTGTGACTAAAACACAATAGAAGCTAATTCCCTGCCTGCTATAAATCTGTCCTCCTCCTCTTCCTCTCACCTTGTCATAGAGCACCTCCAGCTGCCTGTTGTCCTCCTTCAGCTGCGTCAGCTGGGCCAGCAGCTGACGACCGAAGTGGAGATAGACCAGACCTGCTGAGCTGAGCTTAGTCACCCATGGCTTCTCCGGACACAGGCTGTGATAGCTCTCTGAAAAAGTCCTGAATAGGGGAAACACATTCTGTTAATCTATGATTTCTCCTATGAACAATGTTGTCAGCAGATGCCTTCAACTTCATGCATCCTTACCCAGAATCGCAATGCAAGTAGCTTGTTTGTTCATAAAACAGAGAATTTACATTTTCATTTAAAATCTTTACATTGAACGAGCTCTAGCTGGAGACATTAAAGCTCATGTGAAGAGTTTAAAGATGGTTTGAAACATACTTAAGTTAATACTGACACCTTTAATGACCTATTAGAGGAAAATAGACCATAACCAGCCAGACTGACCATTTCTACGAAGTAAATCAGGTAAGCCCTGATGAGTCAATCACAGAGTGTGGCAGAAAATTTATGATCATTACTTCATGGAAATGCAATCAGACTGGGACACTAAGGCAGAAGAAAAACGGCAACTGCAAAGCAAATACAAGATACACAAGAACTCTGATTGCATTTCCATGAAGTAAAAAACATAAATGTTTTTCCTTGAGCTGCGAAACTCCGCTGCACTCGGTGAGCGACTCGTCAGGGCTCCCCCAGAAACAAGCGGCTGCTGGAAGAGAGTAGGTGAGTTGTGTTTAGTCTCTTTGCTAAAGAAATCAGGCAAAGCTAAAAAGATGTTTGGTGGCTAGTATTGTTGATGAAGTTAGGTGCTGTTCTGAGCATAATTTGTGACTACAGAGTGGCGTTTTGGTTGAGGTTTGCGTGTGGAGACATAAACCGCTGTGTATTGCTATTGTGCGGTCTACGTCTGAAGTTGGTATAACTAGAGAAGCAAGCAGTCGGCAACATTCATCTCTTGAGGGGGTGTCTAACTTGGTGTTATGATGTGTTTGACCCTAAATCAATTTTACGCCGGAATATCCCTTTTAAAATAATCTAATTTAGAAGTTGTTAAAACATAAATTTACATTCTGACCGGTGGACTGGTCGAAGTAAAAAAAATAAATAAATAAAAAAAAATAAACTGTCAGAATAGAGTCAATCAATTCACACATTCATCACAGAGTCTGCCACAAAGATGGGTTTGCCAAATATTAGCAGAGCTAGCACCACTAGCTACAGTCAGTTTTGTAGGTTAACGCCCTCATGCCTGTGCTGGTTGCTTTGCTGTGGCGAGGTGGTCAAATGTTAGTTCCACCAAAAACGCCATAAAACTTTTTATCCATTTTCTAGACCATTGTTCAACTCTGTGCAACGAGAAGCCATTTGTCATCTGTGTTTTCTTTTCCAGTCAGGTAGTCGAGCAGTATAGCGTTAAGGCAGCGGACATTTAACACGGTAGTAGCAGCAAAATCCTAGTTTGTTTTTATTTTATACACCAGAGATTAATGGGGGGAAATTACAAATACATTAATTAATAATCAAAATGACCACAATCGTTTTTCTGCCTGGAGTCTAAATGATAAACTGATCACCCCAGATCTGTCAAACACATGATTTAATTCAGTTTATTTTAATGAACTCGAAAAAACGTGAAAAATCAAATAACAGTTTATCTGAAGGGTGATGATTGGGATCATTACTCCCACTTTGAATGAATCTGACTGGATCACTGATCATATCATCTCTGAGAAGATAATGGCTGCATGACTAATTTTCACCCTAAACAAATCTAAGAGCACGGGGAGCTTTTCACAGTTTGCCGAGTGAAAATAATCCATTAAAATCTAATTATGAGCGGAGATAATAAACTTATTTGATGTCATGTGTCACAGCTGCGTTCTCGTTCAGCTCGAGGAGCCATGCTTCATACTGAGGACACAGAAGTCTTCTCATATTGATGTTTACACTGAGAAACACAGTGGATGATGCTTCAGGGATAAAATGTTATTGAGCAACTTGCACATTTTCCAATAACTGGACTTTTTCTGTAAAATGTCATTCATACATGCTGCACGTTAATGCGTATGTAACAGATACCAATAAAACAGACATAAGCCCACTAGTCTCATCCTCAGCTATAGAGAACGAGAACGAGAGAGAGAGGGAGGGAGAGTTTGCATGGACTAGAAAAAGAAATCACGCTCTGGTGTGTGTTTGTGAGCGTGCAGGCACATACATAAAAGCCACCGGAGGTCTCTCTACAGCCACGTGCTGAGAAGGGTGGGCTCCAGCACCCAGCCACTGCTGGTCATTTAATTTAGGCCTAATTAGGATGCTTGGGCTGCAGCACAGCGGAAAACCGACCGTCAAATGAATGAATGACATGCAAGGGAAGCGGGGGGTAATCACAGCCATTAGAGGGCTAATTGGCCAAGCTGAGGCATTTCTATGCTGATTATCGGGACACTGGAGTGAATGAGTGAGAGGAAAATGACACAGAGAGATGCTGGAAAAGATACGTTCCCTGAGGAAGTCATCAAAGTGTTTTTATGGAAATCGAGATGGTACGAATCTGAGAAAAATGGCACTTAACACAAAAAAAACTGAGTCATGGTAATGAGAAGATAAAAAGAAAAAGTTTGAAATATTTTGGCAAAATAACAACAAATAACTTTCCATTTACATAAGCGTACCTGGAATAATGAGCCCAACATTTCCTTTGATACACTGCCACCAGAGTGTGCTTCTGCAAGAAACAGAGAGCTAACCTTATAAAACTATTTTATTATGATTCTGAGTCTGTCAAGTCAGAGTCTTGAATCGAGCGTAATTTTCAAACTTAATCCCTTCCTGATCTCATATGTTGTGACCTGATAAGCTCTGATCTTTCCTCATATCTCCTCTTCTACTCCTCATCTATGACTGTTTTTTTCCTGTTTAAGACGCTTTTAAAAAATTCACAGATGGTGGTTTAGGAAAAATGCAGTATCCTCAACAAAGGTTTCTTTATCCTGACTTGAAGAGGTCATTTAACTTGTCAGAATACAGTCTGATTCTCTTTTTCCAGAGTGCTCATTTTGTCAGGTTAATATGAAGTTGGAGACACTATGGTTAGTTTTGCTCTGCATGAAGACTTGAGGATAGATTCATGTTTGATAGATCATTAAAAGCAGAATATCATCTTTGTAAAGGCACAGTAACTTCCTGTAGTCTGAGCTGGTTAACTTCAGGGTTAATAGTCATAAAAGTCATAAAACATGCATTCAAGCTACCGTGAGGAGGTTTTAGTTAGTTATGAGACAGCCTTAAAATGAAACCGATGCTTCTTCATGAGCTGTAAAGGTAAACAAAGCCATCAGCAGCAGGACTGGTCACTCTTCTGTTATTTTCACTGCTAAAAACTGCTGCTGAGGGGCAGGTGTCAGAAAAAGTGATTTATAGCATACTCCAGAAAGAGCAGCTTTCTGTATCTATCATGACGAGGGTGCGCAGTGAGCGATAGGTTTGAATAAGATTTTGAATTATAAAACATTTTTTACACATTTAGGACAAGATCAGCAAAGAAGGGAAGTGTTTTGTTTACGAGAATCACCAAAATGATTGCAGACCAAAGTTCCTAACAAGAGCTTTAAAGTGTCAGCAGATCTTTTTTAGTTTCAATAAAAATGTCATGAAAGGATTGAAAATGCCCCAGATCTCTATACATGGCTTACATGAACATACTGTATATATTTTTTTAATTTGTTGTGATTAATCCTGATTTTTCAATGCATCAGTTCCAAATGTGCAGATTATAATATCAACCAAGTTGGAGTTAATCATGCAGCTCTTTCAGAAATGTGTTTCTCTTCTACTTCCAGTTTTTGCTGTCTTATTTGCCTTTTACTTTGTCTATGTTGCTGATTGGCTTCTGACCTTTCCAACCTTTATATCAGTGTTTTTACCACTCAGTCTCAGTAGATTAAATCAATAAAAAAGAGGAGGTTCAATGGTAAATGGACTATGTGTATGTAGCACTTCTAGTCTTCTGACCTTTTAGAGCGCTTTAACATGGTATTAATGGGTGTTTATGTTCACACCAATGGCAGAGGCAGTTTTCACTGATGCCATTCACACACCACAGGGCACAGCCAGAGGGAGCATGTTAGGGTCAAGTGTCCTTCCCAAGGACACTTCAGCACATGGACAGAGGGACCTCCCAAACTCTGAGCTGCTGACTCTTTCCTCACATTAAACAGATATGACGTCTTCATGTCACTCTGATTTCCAAAGTCTGTTATACTAAAATGGTTGAAATACTCCTTTAATGATTTAATTTCGTGCTCCTGTTGTGCAGTTCTCACTGTGATGTTTTTGTGTTGCTGTCAACTTCATCTGTACACTGTCACAGTTTGAAGAAGTGTTATTAAAATGAGGACTAATTGTTCCCGTCAGCTCTTCTCTTACTTCTCCCTGCACCCAGGCACCTCTCACATCCATCCCTGCTATCACATTCATCGTGCCCCCATCAGTGCGTGAGTGACAGCCACACTCTCCTGCTGCCCCCTGACAGCGTCAGTGGCAGCCTTCGTGCCTCGTGAACCAGCAGCAGGGGGGCGCTCGATTGAAGGAGTACTAATTATCACTAACCACCTGCCAGGAAGAGAGCCCTGGCATATCTTTATCACCATGGACATAAAAGCTATCACTGATTATCATCAGGACACTGAGCAGACATGACATCTGCAATAGGTTGATTACTCAACGTGATGAGACTTGAAGCGAACAAACTCATGTGGAAGGAACCTGGCAGGAAGTGGAGCGTGAGAAAAACATGCAGCCTTTTCCTTCCTGATTTATAGATAAGACTAGCAGATAGTGACACTATAGTTCTCAAGCAGCAGTAAGTCTTATTGTATGAACTCAAGTTCAGGTTCATAAAGGCAGTCACTAATAGTTCTTTGCTTTTCAACTGAATGAGGTCTTGAAACAGATATCAGCAAACAGATAAATATTTCTCAAATTCCAGGTTGAAAAAACTGGATCAGGGCTGCAAAAAATCATTAAATCAATGATCAAATAATCTCTATTTTATAAAAGAGGAAAGATGGAAGAAAGAAAGGCTGTAGAGGTGAAAGGATAAGAGAAAGAGGGAAAAGAAGGATGAAAGATAGGGTGGAAAAATTGAAAGTTGGAAGAAAGGAAGGATGGAAAGAAGGAAGGGAAAAAGAAGGGAAGGAAGGAAAGAAGGCAGAGAGGAATGAAGGAAGGAATAATGGAAGGAAAGATGGATGAAACAGCCAGTGCAAGGGATTTTGGGGCCTTTTCCCTTAAAAATTCACTTTCAAACCCATTTGATCTCAAAGCAATTGTCAAATTTGTTGGCTAATATCCAGTCACTTCAGTTGATCTAAAAAGCTTTCTATTTTAACTTCCACCTGAAAGTCAAGAAACTCAGTGTCCAGTTGCACAAACACAAGAAGAAAGAAAATCTCTGTTCAGTTTCTTTAGGGATTAAGGATGGGGATGAAAGAGTAATTTCTATTCTGACATGTCATGGATAATAAAGTGTGACCTGCAGTAATTTTATTATTAACATATCTTTTTTGGATAACTTAGAAAATACAAGACATTCATATAGTTAAACAACATGATATTTGGCTGAATTAGAAAAACAAAATGCTCCTCCAAGGTCAAGAGCAAGATTCATGTCATTAACACCAACATGAGGAGTCATGAAGTGGTGAAATACCAATATCTGGCAACAGCAATATGATACCTGTGATGCACAATCAGGAGGACAATATGTTGCTTTAACAATATTTTATCCCAGTTGTAGTATCTCTAAATTTCCCACATTAAAAAAGGCCTGTTGTGATCTTTTGCAGTGTCTAAAGAATTTCTTTGCAGCAGCTTTCTGCTGCTGTTGTACCTCTGATGATGGTCGTAGCGATGCTTCTTTGGGTCGAACTCTCCTCCCACATCAACGACAATGTCACACTCCGACAGTAGAGCTGGGTCCCTGGTCCGAATGATCTCAGCATCCTGTGTAACAAAGAAAATGTTTATTTTTCTTAGGACATTCTTTTTTTATTTGCAGCAGTGGCAGTTCTTGGCCATCGTACATTTAGGTCTAATTAAGGTTTTCATAAGCTTTCAATCCACTTAAAAAAAAAACAAAAAAAAAACAGGTAGATGATCCACCAATTGAACCATTATTTTGAGAAAGTCTGTCCTAAAGTATAAAACATATTAATAACTACACCTGTTCAAGGTTAAATCAATGCAATCTATAAGTGAGCTCCATCCTTCAGTACAACAGCACCCCCGTCTGGACTATTTTATATGACATCAGATCAATCACATGGATTTTTACTAGTAACTCCTCCGCAAAGATCGATCAATAAATGATCAATCAAGTTTGAACAAACCACTCAGATCAGCAGGAACTAGATGCACTTGAGCAGCAGAACTGTGAGGAACCAAAAGCACAAGAACCCCTCTCATCTCTGACTATCCCAGCCTCCCGGTACGGTACCAAACAAACCCAACTCCAGCTCACCGGACCTACCTTGTACTCGGGCAGCTGGCGGAGGAAGAAACAGGCCAGAACCTCGTCGCAGTGAAAGGTTCCGTTGTGGGTTCCGATTTTTTTAACTGACATGTTTTCAGCACGAAGTCTCTTAGCTGGACTTGACATGAAAGACAAATCTGTGCGAGTTATGTCTCCAGAAAGCAAACAAACCAGAATAGACTGCGAGTTTAAAGGAGGTAATACAGTTGCTGATTTATTTAGGCTTCTGTTGAAGATATTTGTTGATCTGTTAAGAGCGAACCGCCACATTAAACACTGCACACGAGAGGGACGACTGGAGGAAGGATTTAACAGCCGGACCGGATGTGGTACGTCTGTGCAGAGAGCCGGGTCTGGGTAAGTTTGTTTGACTGTTTTTAATTCTCGTTTCTGTTTGTTATTTTTAGACCATATATTTTAGATAAAGTCTCTGTTTTCTTAAAGTGCAATTACACTCATATGAGCCGGTGAATTATCATTTCGAATGGGGTTACAGATTACAGTCTTGTGTTCTTATTTTTTGGACAGAAAGGGGCGCTGTTGGGGTGAAAAACATAATATATTCCCTGTTTTTGACATTTTATCACATCTTTTTATAATTTTACGAAATTTTCTTTTATGTTTCAGCGAATGAGATGTACTTAAGGAAAAAAGACGCTATTTCTCCTAAATTAATGAGTTAGTTTGGTCGTCAAACAAACATTTTATCTCAATTTCGACATATCTTACTAACTCAGAAAAAAAAAAAACAGTTTAAAAAATGTATCCATAAAAAATTCACATAATTCTGAGAAATTGTTTTATTTCTACATTTTCTATTATTCCTAGATAGTTATTTTTATTTCTTTGATTTGTTTCTTAAGTGAAAGCTAAACCCTTCTTTAAATTCGTGTTTAAAATAGCCGATAATATCAATCACACGAACACAGTCTCTGATAATTGATATTAAGTAATTAAGATGGAGAGAGTTATGTGAAAGATAGTGTTGTAAAAGTTTAATTTCATTTGTACCTCTGATTATTATGACCCAAATCATTCATGAGGATTTCTGTGTGTATCCAAACCAAACAACCATTTTAATTCTGTTTAAAATAATACACTCAGACCTGTGTGATCGGCAAAAGAAGAACTAGATCGGGATCATCAAATTTGGGTCAGACGGAAAATCTCACGTTTTAACTCTCGTTCTCGCGGTATTACCTTCCAGGTCTATTGACAAGGTAATTAGCCAGATGGGACCCCTGTAATAGGCTGAGCGGAGGAGACACAGCGTTCTTATCAGACTTTTTCTGGATTGGTACAGCTCCGTTTTTACTCACAACCTGATTCAGCAGTGAAAACCAAACAGCCTTTCTTGTCACATTTGAAGGTAAGCTTGTTCTTTTAAAATAATGTGCACAGAATCTGCAGTACACGATTCACTCCTGCGATGATACTTGCAGTCCTATGCAGTGTAAATGCATTGACATGATTTCACTACAACAACCATCTGCACTATAGTCCTCATGTAAAAAAACATGCTGGATTTTATCGATGCTGGAACAATAAGGAGCGATCCAGATCTTCATCTGTAAACGTTTTTCAGTCCACCTGCCAAGATGCAGGTTAGTTTTCTAACAGCAGATGGCGCTCTCCTGCAGTTACTCCTTCAACCTGCTCGGTCCTGGACACTTTGACAGCTGTTTATTTTAGTCTAATGAAATCGATAAACATTGATTTAAGGGGAACCTTCCATTTCTCAGTGGAGTGGAAGGTAAAGGGTTTTACTTTGAATAACAAGCCTGTGCTTCTTTTTGCCATAAATTACCTTTGTTTTGCTTTAAACTACTCCCAATTTGTTATGTGGCTTTAAACAGTTTTAAAAAATTAAAACTCAATTTGTAGTATGTAGAGCAGAAAACGTTGGACATTTGAGTGCCATTATCAATCAATCAATTAGTCTTTATTTATATAGCACTTTTCATATACAACCATGTAGCACAAAGTGTTTCACACAGAAAAAGGAACAAAAGAAACAAAGAATACCCAAATGTACCCCAGCCCAACCCTTTATTCCCACTCCACGATCTAAATGCAACAGAAACAGTATTAAAATGCATGAACTTAAAAAGGGCTTTAGTAGACTGAGGAAACGTTATTTTAAAACTCAAGATAAGGAAACACTGGAGGTTTAGGTCAAAATCTAAAAACAAAGTAGTAATTTAAGAAATGATAAATAAAATAAAAACAACATTAAAAGATACTAAAATAAGAGCACCAAAATAGCTCAATAAAAGACGATCCTGTTATTAAAACTAGAAAGAGATAAATGCTGAAACACAAAGTTAATGATATAAAATTTAGTTAAAAGCAAGATTAAAAAGGTACGTTTTCAGTTTGCTTTTAAAATCAGTAAGATTAGGTGCAGTCCTCAGGTCTTCAGGTAAGCTTGGTTTTGACCTTGGGTAATGTCAACAGAGAGCTTCCTGAAGGCGTGAGGACTCTACCTGGCTCATAAGGCAAAAGCAGATCAGATAGATAAGAAGGACCAAAGCTGTTTAAAGCCTTAAAAACCAATAAAGAAACCTTAAAATCTATTAAGGTCTATTAAGGCAACATTAAATATACTAAATCTGTTAATCTCTTATTTACCAGTAGGGGGAGAAAAGCTGCCGTCATTGCTTCATTTACTGAAACCAGGAAAAAATTGGAAACATCCAAATTAGATTTTTAAAGGAAAAGATAATTCTGTAAAGTAGTGGCACTTTTTACACCATGTGTTGAAACTGTTTATTTTCAGTTGATTTGAGAGAATTAGAAAAATGTAATAAAATGCTACTAAACCACTTACTTACTTTCTGCATCTTCTTGTTGCAATTAACACTGACACTGATGATGTTCTGCACAGTGTAGTTGGCAGTCTGTTATTATCAGGTCCCATTGCCCCAGATCAGCACCACGGACAGCGGCCTTTATACAGTCTATGGCGACCACACTAAAACAACAAGCTTGTATTGTCTGGTGATGTGGCACAGTGAATGATTGGCAATGTTTTCAGTCAACCCTTTTCACATATAATTAGTCTCCTCACGTTCTGGATATACCATTACTTCAGTCACAGTTTGTAGAGGAATGGTAATTGGACTCCGAATTAGTGACCCTTTATAAAGGTAATATGTGATCCAGTCAAGTGGGTAATTTGCATAACTCTGTATAATTGGAGAATGGTATTCCTCCAGAGTACACATTATGGAAACCATGCCACTGTTTCTGAATAATCTGAATATATTAAAGGTAAAGATCATGTCATCTTTGATCAGTTATGTAGCTGACAGAATAATATGTTGATACCTACAGCTGCCTAATACAACAGATGTCAAATGATCTTAGAATTCATGATTTAAAGAGAAAAACACATACTGAGAGCCATAATTGCATGGTAGTTTGGCACAAAAATAACACACGATTCATAAATTTGGCACCAAGCTTGCCCAAAAGAACAAGTAGATTTTTTTTAGGAAGGTATGCCAAAACTTTGCTCCAACTGTCTAATAATAAAAGATAAGAATCACTTGTAAAATAGGACTTATTTTGTCTACATTACACAATGTACTAAACTCAAGCTGAGAGGTCATGAGAGCTTATTACCAGCTGCTTTATCTTGAATGTTTACTAGCTTTAAAAAAAACCTTGGAAATCCAAAACACAACAGGAGATGTCTGCTATATTTGTTTGGTCTCAGTATGTGCTATAGCTGCCTCATTTTTCCCAAAAACCAAATGAGTCATGGTCACAGGCTCACGCTGATAAACAAGCCTGAAGGTAATGTTCACCAGCCAGCCTCCCACATCACTGACCAGCCAACACTGTATCAGGCAGCCTGCGACCCCCCCCCCCCCCCCCCAACATCGGCTCGACCAACGAGATACAGTTGTGGGTGGTGACCGAAAGAACGTCACAGTGCCTGACTGTGATGTTCCCTGCTGCTTCCAGTTTTACACGCAGGGATGATGGGAAATGATCCTGCCCTGGCTTTCCTTAAAAGGAAGAGCGGAGCAGTGCACAATCAAAAAGTCAATTATTCTGCTATAGGGCGAGTGTACGTCATGTTCCCCTGTGCTATAAGACTGCAGTGGCTGCTTCGATCGGCAGAAAGTTTGTTTATGTTTTTGCTACTTATGACAGCTAGAAAAAAAGTATATTATGTCATTTTTTAAGGGAGGAAACACATTATACATATAAAGATATAGATAAACATATAGATATTAAATAAAAACATTTTATACAGTCAGATAATATAAATGTAAACTCAAGTGTTGGTTAAAAAACATTAAAATCTTATCTTTTTGTTGATAATGAAGTGTAATTAGTAAGTATAATCAGCCCCCCTTAGGGTTAAAGAATAAATTATAGGTATACATATAGATATTAAATAAAAAATATATAAAAGTAAACTCCAGTGTTGGTTAAAAAACATAAAAATCTTATCTTTTTGTTCATACTTAAGTTTAATCAGTTAGTAAAATCAGTGCCCTTGGGGTTTAAGAATAAATTATAGATAAACATATACTGTAGATATTAAATAAAAACATTTTATAATGTCAGATAATATAAAAGTAAACTCCAGTGTTGGTTAAAAAACATAAAAATCTTATCTTTTTGTTGATACTAAAGTTTAATACTTTATTATAATCAGTCCCCTTGGGGTTAAAGAATAAATTATTTGAATCTATTTCCCTCCATATGACCTTTACATTATTACATTAATAATTTATGAACATAAAAATGAACCAAATTATTCCAGCCTTCATCCTTTCTTTAATTTACTGTCATGTTGGCTATCTTATATTGCAGTTATTGTCAGTAAATCTACTATGGTTGCATCCCTCTCATCTCCAAGTCTTTTAGCTGTTTTATTAAACTCCATGTTGACCCTGAGGCACGTCGAATTTCATATTTTTTTAATAGCTTGGCTTCCCATTTCAAAATATCTGTTCTCGTGTTTCCCTGCTTGTGTTTTCTTGTCCCATAACCCGGGAGCAAAAGTTCATTAACATGAACTGTTTCCCCAAACAAAAGATCTAATGAGATACACACGGATACCCCCGCAGCCGAAAGAAAGAGACCCCCCAAAAAACAGGCCCTAAAAATCATCCGCATAATTATAAACACTTCCCCTGTAACAGCTGGTGTGCCCCCCGACACTCTGGGGCATTTGGGAAGTGTAGTTAATCCAATGATAATCCTGTGCATAGTTTACACATATTATCGCTTTAATTGCTACGTGTGCT